GATAATGTATATGTACTTAATCCTTATATTCTTAATTTAAATGAGCAATTTTTGTTGATGTCGATTATATATTCGCTTAACAGCGTAAGAAAGAGACCAAAGATAAAAACGTAAATAGAACTGCCTTTGTTAGAACTGCGCGTGAGATAAATATATAAGGATTAAATAATCATATAAGAATTAGAGGAAATGGGAGATGAAAAACACTTTTTATTCTCATCATTCTTAAAGTTCTTTTTTCCTTTTCTTTTTCTCTTCTTTTTCTTTTCTTTTTTCTAATGAGAATGATGAGAATTGTAGCTCTCAAAAGAGCTGAAGCTGCAAAAAGACAACGGTTATGTCTAATAATGCTGTTTCACTAATAGAGATTTTAATTCAGATTCGTACAATAAGAAAGATAAACAAGAATGAGAAACGGACATTCTAGCAGTTTCTAAACGAAAACAGCAATCTGAGCATTATTAGACGAATAAAAATCAACACTTGTAGAATTTATATCAGATTCTAAGATCAATATTCATAGTTTTTTAAATTATGTGCAATTTTTCATTGAGAACATAATTACAAATTTGTATTGATAAACCTTATGTTGCCTCAGCAACCTTGCTTGAATAGACATTCATATTTTATGTGAAAAGAAAAGTAGAACTCATGTTACGTGAAATTAGGTTAATCGGAGGAATAATCAAATCTCAAGCTATTTTATCATTTTTCAAAATATAAACTATGAACGCTGATCTAATTTCGACTCGGGTATGTCCTTACTTCGAGTAAGGTTCGTTAAAATCAGAAAAGTAATAATGCGTAATAATAATAACTCGAGGTACCTCGAATACCATGCATGATGTATCGCTGTCCTCGGCTACGTCTCTCGGCGCGCTCCAAGTCCCCTCTCCATCCTGACTTCTCGATCCGATGTCCTCCTTCTGGTCTCCGTCGCAGCACCCCCGGATACTCCATCGTAGCACTGGCGACGACACTGACTCTAGCTCTAACACTCGCGCAAGTAAGGTTCGGTCAAAAGAGAAACGCGTATTAACCGACACTCGTACTATTCTGCGTCGCGGTATGCGCGTCGTTCGTCGGCCCGAGGCGCAATGTCCTTTCCGCAATCACGGAGTCATATATAAGTGTACGAAAACAAACATTCGGGTAGGCACGGTTACCCCCCACCAGTCGCTGACCTTGCCGATCAGTGTTGATGCCTGCGTCGTCCGTTAGCTGAAAATCAAAACAACTCGTGTTTTCAAAGCATGTCTGTGAAAGACTCGCTTCAAACTTCACAATACTTATTTACGTCTGTTCCAAGAATCATATTACGCCGAATTCAAACTGTCTCTATTTTGACATGACATACACGAGATCTGCGATCGCATCATTGATCTTTCTTTGGACAAGAAAATTCTGAGAGGAACGCTGCTCGAGAATATCGCATTTTATGTTTCAGGTGTCTTGCAGATTATCGAATCCGATGTAACAGATCAGGGAAAGTATGAATGCGTCGCTATAAATAACACCGTGGGCACGGAGTACTCCAAGTCAATCACGTTATACGTGAAACATACGAATATTTAATTATTATTATTATATATTATAATAAAAATGTTGTCATATATGTATTAAACAAGTTTTAGTTCGATACAGTTTTTGGTGCAGCCGCGCCAAAATTTTTTGTATTAAATATTTTTTATTGCATTGTTATAATAATTAATTTGTTACAATAACATACCAACATTCTCACCTTTTTATGCCTCTCTCTTTCACCCCTCTCGCCTGTTCCCACCCTCCCTCTCTCTCTCTCTCTCTCTCTCTCTCTCTCTCTCTCTCTCTCTCTCTCTCTCTCTCTCTCTCTGTCTCTCGCTCTCTCGCTCTCGCTCTCGCTCTCTCTCCCGTTCTCTCTCCCGTTCTCTCCCCCATTCTCTCTCCCGTTCTCTCTCCCGTTCTCTCTCCCGTTCTCTCTTCCGTTCTCTCTCTCTCTCTCTCTCTCTCTCTCTCTCTCTCTCTCTCTCTCTCTCGCTCTCTTTCTCTCTGTTACACACTTTCACCTCCTGTATTCTAGCAATATTCTTCTCTCTTTTACTCTCTATCGCTTGCTCACTCGCACTCGCTGTTCTTTGCTTCACCGCACTTTGCTTCAGCGCACCTCTGGTGTCGGAAAAACGAGATGCACAAATCCCCTCTCCTCGGCGGTCTAGCGTTTCTTTCTTATTACTTTCTTACTGAATCGTAATTTTCCGTAATTTGGACTTTGTCTTAAAATATATATACTTGGAAACAACATACACAAAACACTAGGACACTTTTCTTCCTATTTTTTAGGGCTGAATCGATTGGGACTAAAAAACGTCGATCGGTTCAGCCATTGCTGAGATATGAATATCTTACCTCGTTTCAACTCGCAGTTTCGCGTATAATAGGCACGGTGTGCCTCGCGCCGTTCGGGCGCAACTTCGTTGCGTTTGAATTTGGCGCGAGGCACTACCGTGCCTCTTGATACATATTTTTATTTTTCCTGCTCCTCCCCCCTTGCCTTTTTAGACCTACGGGCATAGTCTGGCATAGAGATGGCAACTGTGGACGTGGTTGCAGCACAGACATAAACCGCCTGAAAGTGGATGCAGCACGGACTTCCACCACATGCAGATTTTACCACCGAGACCTGAAAGTGGACGTAGCATCGTAGTTCCCTTCTCAAAATGGATGCAGATGGCGTCCTTTCCCAGTGCAGAAAATCGGTGTCGCGGAAAATGCCGTGTTGGCCGCGCTCTCAGGGGCTTATTCCGTACCTGCATATCGACAGTTGTCGGTGTCGTTAGCAGTTTTTGCGCAGCTTTTTTGTTATATTTGTTATATAAAACCTGCGCAATGCCGCTAATGACACCGACAACTGTCGATATGCAGGTACGATCATACAGCCCCTGGTATAATGATATTCTAAATTAGTTCTAAAATCTCCGCTACGAACCGCCACCAATCTCAAGGCAGATTCGGAGTCGTGGTGTCAACGATCATGCCACGTTGAAAACATGAAGTCGTAATGCGGCTCAATGACAACTCAGACGGATCTTTTATTTTCAAATACTATTATATTTAACGGTATCGTAAAACATATGTATCATTCAATAGCAAATAATTTGGCAAAAGGGACGATAATAAGGTGCTTTGCAAAACATTTTACAGCTTCAAATCTCTAGTTGCCGGATATATTGAAATCGCAATGTTGTTTTACCAAGCTTTTTGCCAAGATATATCGAGTGAAATAAAAAATGGCGATCATTTAATTTTCAACCTAATTTATTAATGATTTTCACAATGAAATATTGTATAAAAAATATGATATATACAATTTAAAGAGAGAACTTCGACTATTTACTTATTAGCGAAAGCGTTGTACACGTTGATTCGTTTACTTTCGATGAGCAATCCAAGCCAGAAGTTCATTCGCATTTCAAACATTGAGTAGCTCTGTGGAAAACGCACCGCATCAGGTAGACAAGTTAAAAATTCTCCAACAGTTTTCCAATGGTACAAACGTCATTCATCAATTATATATATAATTGTTCATTCATACAGTACAATTCGAGAAACTCTATGAAATATTTTGACATATGACGGATTTCTATTTATATTCGTAATAACATTGCAAGAAAAGAAACTTTATGGCCTCAAATACGCATAAAACTCCATGCTGTAAAATCTCTCGTCTCTCGAACTGACTCGTTTACAATATTTTTACGAAAATTACAACTCGTTGAATTTCACTTATGTTTCGTAATCAAGCTTGCCACGTTGAGACGGTACGATTCGACGGCAAGCAGAAAGGCTCTTTCTTCCCAAGTAGTATGACTCAATAGCGGATAAAAGAAACTCTGTCATCGTCTGATAACACACGACCGGATCGGAGACTGGAGAGATCTCACGCTGATCGTTGCATTTCGTCTACCTAACTTTCGTTCGCGCACAAACCGCGAGGGATCGTATGTCCGGATCGCCGAACTCGGCGAGAAATCGCGAACCGGTTTCGCTCCTCGCTGGCGATCGGCCTCGTTGGACTTCTCTCCGCCGGAATCACACAGCCGGGCGAACATATGACGCGCAGCTGGGCCTGAATATAAGACCCGGCTGACTCATTGGCGTGGCACGCGCCAACCCTCGGATATTTCGGGTTTTCCCCCTTTCGCCGCTCTGCCACCGTTTATCCCGCCTGGAATAGAGCAATCCAGCTGAGAGAACGAGGGAGAGAAAGAGCTGGCACTGCCAGGCAAAAAGGTCGTCGCCGAGGAAGCCGAGGAGGCAAAGCCAAGCGTCGTTCAATGTCAGACCTACGATGCGCGCCGTCGCACGTGAATTCCCGGTCGTCGTCGTCGTCGTCGTCGTTGTCGTCGTCGTCGTCGTCGAGGGTGAGTCAGCCACCCCCGGATGACAGTCGAGGAAACGATCGGAAGTCATGGGCGCAAAGGGGGAAGCGAGGGGCGCGGCTGAACGGCAACAGGGAGCGTAAGAGCCGTCCGTCCATTGGTCTCATTTTTGCAAGTGGTGGGGTCGAGTCCAGGGACGGACGAAGCAGACATTCCGTGGGCCACTGCGTTTTACACTACAAGAGTTTCTACTATAGGAATGCGACTGAAATGACTTGAGAGATATTCGCATTCGTGCGTCATAAACATAGTGAGGGAAGTCTTCTCCTCGCAAGGTAAACCGTTTTGCTGAAAGAAACATAGAATGATTATATGATCACGAGTAATTTTTAAGGCAATTACTTGATCACTGTACTGCGTATCGATCACATATTTGTATTAATTACTCCTTACAAGTCGTTCTCTCCAGAAATCTCCACACGAAGGGAAGCTTCGACGTGAAGATTCTAGCTTCTGTTACTTTCAGGCTGCACTTTCGAACCCCTCCTCACGCGCCGACCCTGGCCAGTGTGTAGAGAGGGGGAAGCGATGCACAGAGAAGGGATGCGGACGCCGCTGGACGCTGTTACCTGCTGTTACGTGCCGCAGAAGCGTCAACCGACTAGCCAGTGTACCGTCTACGGCCTGCCCTTGAACAGCGTTTACGTCTGCGATTGTGCCCGCGGCTGCCTGCCCCCGCGACTCGCATCTGACAGGTCAGTGCACCCCTACGGCCCGGCGCGAGTCGCATCGTCGAGGGTCGTTTCGCGACGCGCGCGTGCAATGGCGGATATCGGAGTCGATCGAATCAAGCCGAACCGGCATGAAGCCGCTCCCGGCCAACGTCGTCGTTTGTCCTCCCTTGCTCTCTTCCTTCGGCCGCCCTGTTTCTCGGACTTTGGTGTGTCTCTCGGAGGAGCGATGCGACCAACGACGCCGTTGTTCTCAGTCTCTCTCGCTATTATTGTTCTCTTTGGACACGCGGGTAGTTCGTGTAGACTCTCTTTCTCTCCCTCTCTCTCTCTCTCTCTCTCTCTCTCTCTCTCTCTCTCTCTCTCTCTCTCTCTCTCTCTCTCTCTCTCTCTCTCTCTATCTTTCTCTCTCTCTCTCTCTCTCTCTCTCGTCGAGAAACGGTCGACTTCGAGATCTGCCATTATAAACGTGAACGCGCTCGGCGACAGGACATCGTGTATACACGACGTCCCCTTCGCGCCCGGCGAAACGCACCGACGACGATGCGAGGTTTCCTCCCGGTTTCGGTTCGGTTCGGCTCGTCTTGTCGCTGGAGACGCTACATTGCCGGAATTAACGAGGTGTTCTCGCCGGTAACGGCCGGCATTTCGGTCACCGGCGGCGCTATTGATCGCGATCGATTCTTCTTAGATGGCTCTTGGCGGTGTTTCACATGCGAGTTCTTATCATAGATCGCAAGACTGACATAGACCCTCCGATTTTGCTGAATTTGTTGACGAGCGAGAGCGAATCTCCCGCGATGACGGAAACGCTATGATCGGCACGCTATTTCGTGTGGCCATCTTTCGAAGAGGTCCGATCTGACCGCTTTTGCGGACACTCGAGGTGCCATTTTCGTCGTGATGATGAAAACGCGACGGTAAGGTAGGATTTTCCGTAAATCCGCGCGCAAGTTCGAGGTTATGCGACGTATCGCCGACCGGCCGGCCGGGCTCGCGACGCAGAGATATCGATCGATCGGCCTTTCGACGACGAAGCGCGATCGAAAATGGAATCAGGGGTGTGGTCGAGAGGCAGCTTTCCTCGCAGGACGGAAACTAAATGACTCGCTCTCGCGTCCCGTGTGATAATGATATCTCAGATGAACGATATTTCTCGCGAAGCCCGACTGAGAATCGGCCGGAACGGCGACCGCCTTCTTCATTCCAAGGTAACGTCGGTTACGCGAACGCAATATTTTTCAAAACTTCCAACCTCCGAACCGAGCAGTACTCAACTGCATCTAATTATATTCGTCGAACAATGGCGTTGCAGAGTTCGTCTTTTATTACGTATCTCATACATTATTATTTTACTATTAAACGCCCGGAGCCAGGATTCAGGGAAAAAGAGAGAGAGAGGACGTATGTGTATATACATATATATATATTTGACTGCGGAATTTTTTATCTTTATCCGGCTTATACTTCTTCGACACAAACAAACATGAGGATTCTTCGCGCGAATACATATCCGAATTACTTGACATTTACAGATTCCCTGTGTATACCGACGTGATGCTCTTCGTCTATGTATATGTACGAGAGATACTCTTAATTGGATGTAAGCTGATAATAAATTTATTCGAGTCGCTGCTGCCACGGGGCGAGGAAGATCGCTCGGATCGCGGGAGAAGGCAATCTCTCTCACTCTTTCTCTCTCTCTCTCTCTCTCCCTCTCTGGAGGCTCGCTCGTCCTTCGTAGACAGGCGGGCAGCGCGCGCGGCCCGGCAGGACGGGACAAGGGCGTGGTTTTGACAGATGCATGCGGCGCCCAGGGAGCACACGCATTATGCGTCTCTTCCTCTCGCCGTCGCCGTCGCCGGCATATAACGCGCACATTTCCCGAGCTCAGTGCCGCGGCATTCGCGTCGGTGAACCTGATTGCGGCCGCACAGAGCACAATCTCGCCGATTGAAATCTGCCGTCGAATATCTACGTAGGATCTCTGGCATGAGAACCGCAGATTACGAGAGAGTGACTTCGGTAGCGGGATATCACCGTGTCGGCGTTATGACGCACACTTGGCCTGCTGTTATCTCAAGCATCGAACATCAAACGTTAGAATATCAGTAGCTTTTCCCCAAGATCGAGCAGTGCGTAGCAGTTTCTCAGATGCGCAAACGAATGTGCGTTATGTAGATGTACCGTGTGTGACCGCGAGAGACGCTGTGCAGAATTCGGGAAAGGACGTGGGGAGCGCGATCGTATCACGAGGGGTCCGCGATAACACACGAGGACACGTGTGCACTGGATATTATTCGCGTTTCCTCGGGGGGAAATCGCCGTCGCCGCGGCATTTGCATTTGATCATGTTCGCTCGCGTGTGCGGCGGCGACGGCGGCGACCGCTTCAAGGCGAACGAGGGGCTTCTGAGCGACCGAGGCGCGACGCGTTCGCGATCGCGTTGCGATCCGGCTTGCTCGCGATTAGCGTCTCTCTACTCTGTGCATCTCTTCTCATTTCGCGACACGGCGGTGTTACTAGGCGTTAACGCACACCCGGTACACTCGCCGCGCCGCGCCGCGCCACGTCATCCCGGCTGACGTCTCTGCCTCTCTTCTCGGCTGCCGGCCGCCGGCACTTGTGCGCGCGGATGACGATCTTGCTTGAAGTCGCATTTAATCCCTTGTAATTACGCGCTCTACGCCGACCGATAAGCCGCGGCCGGGACACGTCCCTTTTCGCCTGGCGCTAAGTTTCGCGACATCCGAGCGATTTGCGCGTCACCGCGCCGGCATGTTTCTCTTTTTTCCTTGCGCACGTGAGTTGGACGAAAGAGAGAGAGAGAGACTCCATTGCACTCCGATAATGCGACGGTGACTTTGGCGACTTCTCCGTAGAATTTGTCAGCCGTGAGAGCGCATCGAACGCGCGTAGATCCGGGATGCCTTAACGCGCGAATGTTTGCCGAGAGTTTCGCGGGGAGCCGCGAGGTAACTCGGAAGAAAGCGCAGGTGTCACACTCAGCGGTGCCACGTTTTCGCCATGGCGGTTGAAGCGCCGCGCGGTAAAGCCGCGCGCTCTCCACGACTCTCGTGGCCCCTTTGAAGTCGCGATAAGTGCGATATTAGCTCCTGAGAGCGCCGGCATTCCCGCGAGCTTCCGAGAGACGAGGGGAAAGCGCGCGAGAGAATAATCGCCTCGTACTCGGGGGACTCGGAGTCGAGCGGCTCGCGATGAATTTCGTGTCTGCAAACGGAATGCACCTGAACTCACATCTCTCCCGCTCGTACGCGCTTCATTAATTTCGCCTGTCGCTCAGATCGGACACGGTACAACATTTGCATACCATTCGGCACCGAGCGCGCTCGTTCCGCGCCACTTTGCGCGGCTAGGCTACGTCTTGAAGTAGCTAAATTCCCGAGAAAAACTAAATTCTCGATCCTGCGAGGATTGACATAAAGACGCGGATTTAAGAGACACAGAAAGAAACGCGGATTAAAATCGAGAATAAACGAGCGGAAGCACGTGCTTCGCGACGGCCGCAGGATTTCCTTCGTCGCATCATTGCTGACTCGATCGCATCGACTGAAAATGTGTTCGTGAAAAATTTGTCTCCTTTGATTTCCTCCAAATCCTCCAACACGCTTCGTCCTTGATTACCTGTAACCCTAATTCGAGCCCGGTCGCTCGTTCCAACGTTCGACTCTCGGCTCTTCGTCGAGGGAAACCGCCCTCTCTCACCCGTGACCATGAAAACTGAGGGTCGACGGGATCGTCGTAGCGCGCATATAGATATCCGCGGAGTTCACGAACCCCACTCTCTCTCTCTCTCTGTCTCTCCGGACGTTGCCGGCAATGCCAATCGATGAAACCGTCTGCCGCGACGGCCGCCGCCGCCGCCACCGCCGCCGCCGTCGAGAGGCAGCCGCTCCCCTGGCGTAACCTCGGAACTGCCCCCGTCCGTATGCGTATCTCTCGCGCGCGCTATCACCCATTCATGCGTCGCGGATAAAAGCGCGCGCGGGTGTCAATGTTAACGCACGGGGGCGATGGTGGTTGCTTTCGCCGGCCGGTCGACCGATTCGGTCCGATTGATCAGCGCATTTGTGCTCGTTCACTCTCGCGTCGTTCCCAAGCGATCTTGCTGTCGCCTCTTGTACTCGCTGACACTTTCCGATCCTCAGGCTTCCAGGACAACGGCCAAGCTGAGCGCATGGCATCGCCATGATATTTCGCAGCCGCTTCCTGAGAGAAGCCTGACCGCGATCCGGCTAACTCCGAGTGACTCTTCAGCAGCCGGGTACCCGCCGGGCACGGCAGCCTGTGCTCGTCCTTGTTCAGCTGGACACTCGACTATCGGAACACACCCGATAATTCGGACGGTACCTATGTACCGTCTCGTACCTATGTACGTCCCTGGCGGTACGCGCCACCGCTCGATACGATACGCGCGTCCAGGGTTCGTTAGCCGTCACGGTCGCACGGAAGAGAACCGGAGAGAGAGAGAGAGAGAGAGAGGGGGGGAGGGGGGAGAGGCCGAAAGAGAGATGAAGAAAGAGAGAGAGAGAGAGAAGAGAGTCGCGGTTGCTCGCGTGCGAGCGCGACGCGCTCGCGGCGCGTTTTCTAGCTAACAAATACGAACGCGCGCGGTTTCACGTGGGCTTTTGTATGCGCGGCCGCGTAGGTGCAGCGCGGTCGATACCGAGCGCGCGCACGCTGCTGATGCACGTGTGGCCGCGTGGCGTACGTGCGAGGAAGAGAGCGGAGAGAAGGAGAGACCGGAGCACGGCTGCGGCGGTGGCTCACCATTAAACGCGATTGCCCAAGTTAATTGGCAGCCGCGCGAACTCGTTAGCCAGCGACCGTAGGATCTCGCTCCGCGGACCGGAGCCGCGACAATGCGCCAGAATCTCTCTCTCTGTCTCTCTCTCTCTCTCCCGCGACAGTCCGATCCACTGATGGTTCGACTGAACCACCTCGGGGAATGGGACATGTGCGCCGGAGCGGCGGGACTACGTCGTCGACGGGATGTGGAATGTGCACGATGATCCAATAAATTCGTCGTGAAGTCGTCGGACGTCTCTTGATCCCGCAGTCTGACCCGGAGACTCGCGCACGTTTCAGCCATCTTCGCGCGGAGTCCTCGTAATCGCAGAAAATCGCGATAGTCGGCCGTCGTGTAGATATTTAGTAACGCGATGTCTAATCTATCCCGATGACTCGCGCTCTCTATAAACGTCGTCGCGTTCTGACCGGCGCGGCGCATCTCGATGCCGACTCGATGCAACCTAGTTTCCTTATTAAATCTCCTCCGCGGACTGCTTTCCACCTCGGGGAGAGAGAGAGAGAGAGAGAGAGAGAGAGAGAGAGAGAGAGAGAGAGAGAGAGAGAGAGAGAGAGAGAGAGACACGCACTCGTCCGCTTACTCCGACGAGGGTCGCGGGATTTATCGAGGTTTCGCCGAGCATCGCCGCCGCGATGTCGTCGCCTCATTAGATTCTACCGTTTGCAGTTTGCATAATAACCGATAAAGAGCTCGCCGGGACCGCTCGACCGTACTTCCTCGGCACGGCCAGGACGTTCAATTAAACGGAACTAACGGTCATTGTTACGGCGCTTCTTGCCGGCTAAACCGGCCGTAATTTTCTTGCCGATCTCAAAGCGCGGCGAGCCCGAGCGGCGATTATGAATCGCGCGCGGCTTAATGAATGGGATCCTGAGCAGGAGGTATATCTTCATTTTCAATTACACGTTGGATTTGCGTTGACGCGTGCCGATAAGAGAAACTCTCCGATTGATCGGCGATCTTACAGCGTCATCTTACAGCGACGGTAAATTTCTCGAGAGAATTTACACGGGAAGGAGAAAAGTGCCGTCGCGAATTCTCGAGCGTGGTATCACGTCCGCGCGCGCGCGCGCGCGCAGCCGGCTTCTCCTTGCTCCTCCTCTTCTGCCGCGATAACTGTTTCGCGATTTTGCAGTGACAAATCCGCGACAGAACGCACGCGCGCGTCACGATAAATCTTGCCGTGCGTAACGAGAGCCGCCGCGAGAGAGTTTTACTTGGCCGCGCTTCCCGTCTCGCGTCGGCCAATCGAGATCTCGTCCTCGTCTCTTACCGTTACATGCAGCCGAGAGTATACGAGCAGAGAGTGTCTTATGTACACGTTGCAAACGCCTACACACAGGCGTACGAAAGAGAGAGAGAGAGAGAGAGAGAGGAGAGAGAGAGAGAGAGAGAAAAGGCTACCGGCGAGGTGGATAAGCAAAGGACGACGCGCATGAGCCTCGCTGCTTCACCATTGCGTATTCGGCCTCTTTCGAGTTCTCCCTATATACAGGCATACGACCGACTGCCTTATAAGGACCTATACACAGCCTTGTCGATGCTGACCCACCGTTTGAACGTATCTCTCGAAAGCCTCTCTCCACGGACTCTCCAGGGCCGTATGCTCCGGGCCTGAGGCTCTCGACGTCGGATGAGAGAGACCCGGTCCACTTCGGCCGAATTTCGCACCGCCGCGATCATGGCCATCCGTCGAACTTTTCTTATCTTCTGTAAATTGTGCTGCGAAGTTATTTAGTAAATTTGATTGACAACCGTACGCGCACAATAAGCGCGGCTGAGACGAGCACAGCCTTTCCCGAATCGTCTGTTCTTTATATTTCTACTTGATTCGTAAATTCAACAACTCGACAATATTCGCGATGATTTAGTAAATAGTTTGTGGTCGAAGTGAAAATTCTAGCGGACAGTTTCATCTACTCTTCTTCATTGATTTGTTTAATAAATTTAATAATTATATTGAATTTTCCTGGGGCAATATTCGCGATATTGATGAATTTGCTAGATAATTATTAGTTTGTGGTTAAAGTCGATTTTTTATTTTTTTTAGGATTTTTTTGGAGATGTCGCGAAGACAGCGGACGCCGCTGTTACGAAATATCGGTCGGTTCTTAATCGCCGTCTTCTGTGTTTCGCGAGTTCACTTTGCCGAGAGAACTGGCGTGAACGACGCAGAAGAAAGGAATGAACGACGCAGAAAAAAACGAGAAAAAAGAAACGGTCGAAGAACTCGTACGAAATCGATGGCCTTGCACCGTGTCACAATCGCCGAACGCGCGTACTGATAATGCGCTTAGCAAAATCCGACGTTGCTGTGACTTCACCCACGTGGAATGCAGACCTTTTCTTACTCCGCGATGCTTTTTGATTCGTGCTTACGCGCGCCAGTTGATACGTACGTACTACGCTACTTCGCCGGGCGTATTTGATGACATGTTGTTACTCGCTTTCCAATGGGGATCCTCGTCTCGCTGCAAATCACACACCGCCGAATAACGGTGTGTCTCGTTGCTCGAGCGGCGTATGCGATTAATAATTGAGATAACTCGCAATCCCGCGAAGTAACATTGCAATCTCCGGCGACTAGCAACTAACGTCGCGATTAATGGAAATATCGCGACATTAATTTTAATGCGTCAGCCGGCGAGGGGGGGGGAGGGGGGTAAGTCGAAGAGCGCGATTACTGCGCATCCAGTGCGCGAGAGAAGAGAAAAGAAACAGGTCGATTTCATCGCGAAACGCAGAACCGCGGAAGAAAAATGTGCACGTGGGAGGTGAACGCTGATCGGTACGCCGCGCGCGATCGCCCACGCGCGATAATTAGATTTGCGTTATTCCTTGCATTTTTTCGCGTTGACTCAGATGAACTTTCAATTCTGCCTAAATGCGCACAAGCGAAAGAGGGTGGGCAAAGGGGACGCCGAACGGATGAGTCATTGACAGTTTAGCGCGTAAACGCGTCGCGAATACTAGATTCGATGTGTATAAGAAGCGTGTGTGAGTGTGTCCAAGTTGACACGTACGCAAAATACGCGTGTGTGTGCACGCGTCGAGACGACGGCACGACGTCCGCGTCGATTCCGTGCCGCAAATATCGATTATTTGCCGAGCAACATTTCGAGCCCGGCGCCACCGGATTCGCCGGTGTTTTCTTGCCGAAGCAAATATTATTCTCGGAGACCGAAATTTACGATCTAACGCGAGAGAGAGAGAGAGAGGGGGGGGAGGAGGAAGGAAGACGGAGAGACGCGATGTATTCCGAGATGAGAATCTACGAGATTGTTTTTTTTTTTTTTTTTTAATATGAAATATTCGCGAAAGTTGCTCGCTTTTTCACCCGTTAATTTGAAGGTTGCGCTCGTTAACGCAAAGACGTGTGTCGCGCGCGGTACGCACCATTCCGCAAGATAACCCGTGCGTGTAGATATAGGTGTGGGTGTGATTTGATGTAATATTACGACGTAATATTACGAGATGGCGATCGTCGTTATCCTACGGGAAAGAGGCGGCGGAAGAACACGGTATCGTCGCGAGGCATTTATCGGGGTCCCTCTTGGTCGCGGCAGTGTGTCATTATCGTAAATAACAAATGATTAGTCCGGATGAAGTCAACCGTGGTGTAACGTCTGCCACGCACATAGCGCGAGGATGCGAGGAAACATGCCCGCGCGATTCTCATTGACGCCGCCGAAATTGGCTCTCTCCCTGAGTCGACATGCGAATTTCGGCGCCCGCTGAATTCATGATCTTCAGCAGAGCCGTTGAGATTATGAGAGACTGTGAGACGTTGAGTCTCCTTCGTATATCTCGTGCCGCGCGTTTAGAAATCTCGGCAGAGCCGAGAGCGGTGAGCTTTTACTTCGACTATACCGCGTCTTCAATACCCGATGAAATTTCATGCCGTTGCCGCGCTCGGAAAGAAGTGTGCGACAAGGAACGGAATATATTAGAAGGAAACGCAGACCGGAAACACCGCGAGCCACCGCTGCTTCCGCTTCATGGCACGTAAATTCTTCGGTCGAGCATTACGGAAGCTCACAGATAACAGTCGAATCCTTCGCGCGAAAATTCATGCGTTTCCTTTTTGCGATTTAAAAATACTATTTTTGGGACTTTGGAAGATGACGTATCCAACTTCAATACAACGTTAATTAAAAGAAAAGAAAAGGATAGATGTACGCTCCGGCGCGTTTGCTTTTCATTTTGTTGACAATGGCATGGATCTTAAGGACTCGAATGGACTACCGTCGAGATTTCCGATCGACCGCGAGTAAAATTCCGCTACACTCGCGGCGGGTGCGTCGAGACGCGCGCGCGCGCGCTTCCGTCGCGATGTGGCTGTCGATAACTTCGTTCTCGTCAGCTTCGTCGCTTTCAACAGCAAGCGCTGTTGTCAGCGCGCGGATTGTTAGCGTGGTAACAAAAGAACCGCCGCGTTCGCTGACAATTGAAAACACGTAGCCGCCGCCTCTTGCCGATACGCTCGTTTTATTGCCGCCGATGCTCGCTCGCGTGCCGCTCCTCTTTATGTACCTTACGGAGAAATGGCTCGCGTACGTAATAACACGCGCGATATCGCACGTTCCGCTAGCTGCTATCTTCCAGGAAGTTATATCGATGCTCCTCGAATGCACGCTCGTACATCACAAATATATTCGCCCGTACAATTGTGTTAACATCACCACCGACGGACAGGAATGTGGGGTCTCATTAAAACGATAAAATAATGTAAATATTATTCTCGCGTCTCTCTGTTATTCTCGAAAGAAACACACTTTAGCGTTTCGTATTTTTTTTTTTTTTTTTTCTTTTCTGCCAGGGAACGCAGTATCGCATCTATTAACGAACCACCTACCGACGAGAAATCTAAGAAAAGACATGTCGTTCCGAGGAGATAAGTTACATAGCGTGTTAACGCTCCTCCAGTTACGGCTTAGAGACCTTCAGGGTGAACGTATCGTTCGGAGTTAAATTGTACAGGATGTCCCAAATCGCTGTCGCGAATCACTTAAAATCTGATAAATGAGAAAAAAATTAAAATTTTGAATTAGCATGTAGAATTTTCTTTTCTCAATACATTTCCAAGGATCTCCATCACCAATGGATGTTTTGCGACATTTAGAATGCTCAGGGAACTTTCATAGAAATGCTCGTAAAAGGCGCTGATGAAAAAAAGACGATCGTATTTCGGAGTTCACGCAGCATGTTAGTTAGTAATGTGTAATCAACTTCAACCGTTCGCTATGAACGACTTTGAGATCGCCGCGTCCGGCGCATAAAATTTTGAGCTCTCATTAAGCATCTGGATGCATTTTATTTATTAACTCTGATTTATACGATTAATCTTACCACGACAATTGGATAATCTTAAATTTCGCGAAAATTACCAGTTAATCAAGTCATCGGTACAAACGAAGGCAGGCGTCGTTACGCGATAGGGTCTAATTCACTGAATGAATGGATATAAAGTGTAGACGTGTGAATTAGGAGGATATCTTGCGTAATTTGATTCGGTGAATGCTGCTTCGATGAAAATGATGGTCGATCTCAGAATGATGTCCATGTGATTACAGATCAAGGAGTGACAACGTTGCGCCATGTCGAGTCCGTCGTTGAAGGATCTGCCTAAAGTAGCCCTAGATCTGAAAAGCGAATTGGAAGGTTTCAACCATGGCTGCATGAAGAAAGCTGCTACCGCCGAGAAAAATGTTTTACCCTCTGCTGAAGGTACATGCGCGAGATGTAAACACACACATATATCTTGATTGACAGTGCATGAAATCGATCCTTGTTGAACTGAGTCACTTGAATTCTGTTATTTGCTCGTAATGCAAGATTTATCGTATATTGTCTATTAATTTATGCGTGCCTTTCTATTAATTTCACAACTAATATGTTTTCAATGAAATTACATTTATTTGTACTACAGTCTCTAATAAGTTGTGTATTTAGCGCTAAATGTGATTATACTGTGTGTCCGAATTTTAAAAATAATGCAAAACTAGTACGGCATTCTCTCTTTTTCTCTCTTTCTCTATTTATCAGTTGCCACGTAATAAAACTCTGTGAATTGCTGATATAGACGTACGACAGGAGCGACAGCACTCGGAGTTGATACACGGCTTGGAAACCTTTAAGACAGATCAGTTGAAGCACGCCGATACAAAAGAGAAGATTATATTGCCTAACGCCAAAGGTATTGCTTCTTAAGACCTTAGCAAGGGACTTTTGGAGCATTACTTCATTTTCCAGCGCTGCGACGAAGAGTATTTCTTCGGCTTGTCAACGCAATGGCAATGGACATCTGGGATCAACTGTCACTTCCGCTTAGCTGGGAATTATCGTTTGCATGCAAAGCTTTTTCGCTCTACTAGTTATAATTGATAATTTGTTAGTGAGGGATATGTGGTGATTATGGCGATGATTCTGATGATGTCTTTCTGTTGCTTTAATTGTCTTTCGTTAACCTCTCATTATCGTAATCTTGCCAAATTAAAATGTTAAAAAGTCAAGCAAAATTTAGAAAAATAACTTGCGCAGTGCGAAATATATATTTTTATAGATCTTTTTACTGAGCTTCAATCTCTGTTTATCTTATACGAATTCCTTAACTCAATTTGTAATAAATTGTTGGTTTTGACACGTGTGTCGAAATCGAAAAAAAACTAAAATAATGTAATCACAGTTTAGAAAAGTCCATTATTGAATCGATTAATCCCATATATAATAGCATATATAACAAAAAGGTTAATTATATATTCTAATATATTCGGGAAGATGAATTCAAAAATATAAGCAAGATTTATTTATGTAAAATCCACTTTGGACACATATGATTTATTCGAAGTTCAATTTCTTCACGTAATATCACTTTAATACTATTCCAATTTGAGCTCAAATACTCACGTATAATTTAACCTCGTGAAAACGTGCGGATTTTATATCACACGCGCGAAGTATTAATGGCGTGCGCCTTATAAAGGAAGAGCAAGGACGACGAACGGTACCAGTCACTGATCGATTGCGTCTGAACGCGCGCATGATTTTCAAATTTATTCTCTATACTAATCCGCTCGCTCGAGTTGGATTAGTATCCAGCGATATAGCAAATCCATCTATCTAACCGAGATGCGAGATGAGGAGATGAGAATTCCATTTCTCATCCGCGATCTTACTCATTTGCAATGTACGTCGTTTCTATATGTTCTAATACGGATTGTACCGTTTTCAGATGTTGCTGCAGAGAAGACTCAGCAAACGCTGATCGCTGGCATCGAGAAGTTCGATACCGCAAGTCTCAAGCATACTGAGACTCAAGAAAAGAACCCGCTACCTGATAAAGATGGTACGTAGATGAGGAACATGATTTTTACATATAAACATAAACATCTTTTTGTGTGAATTTATATCTTGTAGTAAAATTATAAAATGAAATATGAAATAAATCCAATATTTTTAATAAATATCCTCCTAATGCATTTGTGTTGCATTGTGTTGCAGCGATTCAGCAAGAGAAAGGAAAACAGCAATTGATCTCCGGCATCGAGAACTTCGATCCGGCGAAGTTGAAGCACGCGGAAACTCTGGAGAAAAATCCTTTGCCGACCAAAGAAGGTTCGCATGCGTTATTAATCCCAAAACAGAATTGTTTTTTATCGTCGTAGACTATTTGATCTTAGAATTGTTTTGGTACCTTAGAACCACTTATATATACACTTGAAAGAAGAGGGTCATGGTCAGTTCAAACAATGCCATAGAACTCGTATTCAAGATATATACGATGAGGATAGTTATCTCTGTAGAATTTATATGCGATTCATAGTTGTACATGTAGTGTATGTCACATGAAGTGGATAAGAAAAAAAAAGATTAGATCTAGTGCGAGATATCTTTTTCGCCTTACAATAGCATTAGGCATGTCGATAAGCAATGACGCTTCCTCCGATGATGGTCCCAGTTTATTATTTATGAGTATTATGTGTTTCAGCGATCGACGCCGAAAAGATAGCCGCTTAAAACGAGAGTCGCCGTATACACGAAGGAACACGAAGGAAGGGAACGGGAAACGGCGACTCGTCGCTTCTTCCATTTTCTATATCCGTGACATTTTATAATTATTCGTACATTGCCAAGAATGAATGCGCGAACGCGAAGCACTGTGTTAGTCGTAATCCTATGATTATACTTATACTTACTACTGCCATCGGGCGTGTTTCCTCCTTCTGGCGAGATCGGAAGACTCTCGACGAAAACGTCCAATTGAATCACTGGGGTAGTCGCGATGACTACGCCGCTGCTGCTGTTCCGTTTTAATCTCGATGTCCAATCCGCTTGTCGAGAGACGATTGAACGGCAATTAGACAACGACTTGAACGAAAGCGGATCTAAAGAGGGGAAAGAAAAAAAGGGAGAATTCTCGTTTCGCCGTGTGGTTTGTCTAACTTGCTTCCTAGCTGGACTATTCGCTCGTTTTGTCACGCGAACAAACATCGTGACACGAGTGTTCGCCTAAGTCAATCCGACTAAATAAGATGAGGAAGCGAAGAAACTTGCAACTAAAATGATCGGTAAACGCGATGGGAGTTTGGAACATTTATTATCGTGAGAGGAGGGAGGGTCTTTTACTAAACTCGCTTTGGACCGCGCGGGATCGTCGTCACCTCGCCAAAGGATGTAGTTTTTTCTATCGAGGAAGAGAGAAAGAGAGTTGCTTCATGCGCGGGTATACGTTATTTTCGATAATAGCAGGCAAATTTCTCGGTGGCATTGCATGATGATCTGTTACAGCAGATAGCAGACGCGGAAGCACACAGTGGTCGATCTTATATTTATGTAAAAATCATATTTTGTATAACGGGCTATTGTACTTTTTTAATATTTCGTACACATCGCATTGTCATTCCGATGAAATTATTACGACGAATAAAAAAAGTAATTTGTACGACGGCTTGTTGGAGCTTTTTCCTCCTCACCCTGATGTGAAAATTTCTCACCTTAGAAGGAAATATTTTGCGCCATATTTATAATCCTAATGGAGAATGTGAGATGGCTGCGTTCGAGGAGCGCGACTACTGTGTCGGTCGGTAAATTAAAAATTAAATTTTTTAAATTTAGCGCGACTACTGTCGGTCTACATCAACGACCTCTATGACTTGTAATACATTTCTACATCGATTGCCAACATTGAATATACATTATACTTCACATTGAGGGCATTGAAGGGCGAGAGAGAGAGAGGGGGGGAGGAAAATAGAGAAAAAAAACGCGTAAAATGTGACTAAGAAGAATAACGTATTTAGAGATTTGACCTTTTCCTCTTCAAACAGCTAATAAAAAAATTACTCGTCCTATAAACAACATTATGTGTGATGATCCGAAAATACTTAAATAAAAGTTAAAAAAGAATTGAAAACTTAAGTCAAGGATATAGAACAACTGAAATTATTTCTAAGAATGGCGAGAAAGATATGAAAATTTAATGTTAAAGTAACAAAGTCACAAAGACCAGCCATGTACTATTGCAATTTACAATCGTACGCATATGTGCGCATTTGCGTAGTTTGAAAGTCGTGATTATCATACGTTACGCTATTCTACTGACTATAATTGTCGTTACGACATTACAATATAGTTTAGTCGCTCGTCGCGGTTGCCGCGAAGAACTGATTGTTCGCCGGTTATTTACGAAGAATCTGCGGATGATCTTCGCTCCTTTTCCTCTTCGAGATACTGCAACCGGAAGTGCTCTACTCCTTTTCCGTGTCAGTTGAAGCATTTTCGATACGCACTTTTGCCATACGCCCGAAACGCTTAGATTCGTTTGTATTAATATGGCGATTAGTGTATGAAACACTTAAGATATGTTTTTAAGATACGGCGACTACTTGTGCATTATCTTCGACGCATTTGTGCTATTTGAAATAAATAGCCCTTCCAGTCACCCACGAAGTGCTCACGTAGCGTTCACCAAGGTGCAATCGATATCGATTAAATATCAATATCGATTATTAGGCGAATCATACGTCCAATAACAAAAGAGGTGAGGACACTTTGTGTCATACTCGTTCGTGAGATGGTGAGCAGCGTTGTTTTGCAGTAACAATGGCCGAGAGTGAGAGGTAAAGTATATTCTCGTGCAAAGTTTTTGTATCATATTTTTGTGTGAGTTTCCTCCATTGCGGGAGTTTGTCGCGTTTGATACTGATTGATTCTTTGATTGGACTCTGAAATTTCGATTCTGAATTTTACCTTTCAACCACGAGAATCGCTTTTGTCAATCTTCATCTTTCATGAAGACCGACGTCGTCTTCGAACCTGGATCTCCTTGGCAAACTTTTCAAGTTAGAACCTGATGCGTGTGAAAATTTTAAACCGAGGACGTGAAAGACATTATTGACCATTGATGATCCTTGATACCGCCGTTCCGAATCTTTATACTCGGTTATCTACCCATCACTTGCCATCCATACTCGCAATCTTTTGCCATCGCGGTATACGCTAATGACATAATTTACATAGCAAAAATCTGAAATTTGTTTTTTAAACTAATATTCATGATTTTATAATTGTAAATCATTTGCGATCTTTGAATGAGAGTACAATTAACTACTGATGTATCTCCATGGAACATTTATTCATCTCTCTTTATGGAGATCATTACTTCTCACACATTAAATAAGCATATATTGATGAATAACTCTAGATTTACTAAGTTACAAGAATTTGTTAATTAAGAATGGAGTTGTGAAATCTTTAGATTCATTAGTGGTATCTAAACAGTTTAAAAAAGGCACATATAAAGCACAAAAGGAACTAATTAACTATTTATTCTCTTAGAAATAATTTTGCATATAGAGTAACATCGTTCATGATATGAGCAAAAACATTTTATCCTTGTAGGATACTTCTGTAGTTAATTTTTCCATATTTTGCAGATTTTGTATCTCTTTAAATTTGGACTGAAGCAACAGTCGCTTAATATTTCCAATTGCATACCTTTCTGACTAAAATCTAAATCTGAACGTTTGACAATATCTAATGTTTTAGTAACAACAGAGATATATTACTTTTATTATAGTATTGATTTTTTTTTTTTCAAAACAAACATTTCTAAGATGAATATAAGGTCTGTACCAAATTGTGTATTTTTTATTTGTGCAATTTTTACAGCTTAGAAATATTTTACATACATTAATACATATTTATTTTGACAATATTCTTTTTATTCTACGACTTTGTCAAGAAGCTTTGACTCGACGACATATGCCAGTGACCAGACATCCAGCATTAGATATTGCCCAGATATATTTACCAGAAGAATGCCAAAACGGATGCAAGAAAACAGCAATATAGATAAATGGCTGGAAGATAAAGGTTACTATAGAAAGGACACTCCTAAAGATCCAACTTGTTTATTTCGGGCGATCAGTGAACAAGTGTATCATACACAATATTATCATATAAAAGTCAGGAAAGAATGCATAGCATTTATGAAAGAAAAGAGACACTTGTTCGAGGAGGTGAGACTTTTGTTCGTTCGCATTACATATTTACATACTGAACAAATCAACATTTCTCTCTTTCTCGCTTTTCTTTATTTCCTCTTTTTTATAGTTGGTAGCTGTGCCGTACGAGCATTATTTGGATCAAATGGCATGCTTCACCGAATGGGGAAGTATGAACGAAATTCGTGCCATGTCCCTACTTTATAAACGAGATGTGATTATATTTAATGGGCAAAAGCAGACAGTTGAGAACATAACTAATAGTGATTTCGATCAAAATTTATTAATATATTATACACCGCCGAAGCAATATGAAACTGTCTTGTCATCCTTATATGTTAAAAAGGCTGCTTACTGTCAATGTAAATGAATATTTTTTTGTTCTTACATATTACTACGACAGAAGACTTTGAGACGTTGGGCTGTAATTTTCCTGTTTCTAGCTCTTGTTTATGGGACTCTGTACGAGCGTGTTTTCAACATGACTGGTATCAAGCACACTGCTGATAAAATGCTAAACGATCGAAATAACGCATTCAGACACGACAAATTTTTCCAAAAGGGAAATCTCGAAATTAGAGAGTAAGTTACTTTTAAACAAGCTTTAGTGTTCATGCGATTATTGTGAATGCAACGGAAATCCTCAAGTGCAAGTCGGTTTTAACTTTTGGTACATTTTCGCAGACAATTGACCGTGGATTTATATAACAAAATTGAAACTGGTCGTATCAACGGATCAGCGGATGAAATGCAATCCGACCCGAAAGGAATACCACCTATTCCTTACAGAGTCGCAAAAGCGCTTAGTCCCGATATATATCGCAATACGGATTTCGATACGTGGCATGAGATAAAAAGAGGTATACGTGCAAAAACATACATTATACAGCACGAAACTTGCTTTTATACTTCGAATGAAATGTTTAAAAATAAAGTGATTTGTATACATACATAGAAGTAAAATACGGAGGATGGAACAGACACAATAGCAACGAGCTTCAAATCGGCGGCAAATGTTTGATTAATCTAAGCTACCTGATCGACCAAGCCAAAAATAATAATAATAATCCGTCGCAACCCAGTACTAGTGGAAACAATGGCAAAAATATACAGCCGAAACCAAAACAAGATAAATCCTTTTATTTTGGATATATACAAGGGATGGGTCCAAATGAAGAGCCGGTTCTCGTTTTTGTCGAAGAGTTGGGTGAAATACGTCGCGTCCCGTACGCTGCCTTAAAACCGTTTCCTCTCGCGAAAAAGAATAAGCAGAATAATTCGACACCACATAATAAAAAAAACATACCTATGGATACAGGTTATTTTGTTAAATTATTTAATTGTAATTTTTTCTTACCATGCGTTTCATTAATGCTTATTTGTACTTTTTCGCAGGTCGACGATGGAGGAAAACGTACAATTCGACTTCACGTAAAAAGAAAGATACGGTCAGTTTAACAATTAGTACCGTAACAAGTAATACGAATAATACAAATACGAGTAAAGATGGTGTTGACAGCAATAATACCAGAGGTATTGACAAAGCCGACTTTAAAGCTGATGAACACAATGATGAATCTTCGTACGTATCTTTGTCAAAGTAATTTAATTACGTCACAACTTTTTTACATTAAAACTTTCGAATACATCAATTCGTAGAACGAATACTTATATTTTGTAATTGAATTTACAGTAAAGTAAATGAAGACCAAATCACAGAAAATCATGCTACAAAGGACTGTACTAATCATGTGACAAACGTAAGAATATTTCGATGTTATTTTCAAATATCCGAAAACATTGGTGTACGTTTCTCTTTATCTTTTTTTTTTTGTTATATGATTGGTATTTGCAGGAAGCAGCTAACAAGCCGTCTACGACGGTTGCTCACAATAACCCACAGTCTTTAAAGACGAACAACGCAGCACAAGGAGTAAACGAAGACTGTAAGAAAACTAATAGTACACCAGTACTTACAAAGTATAATAGCGATAATAGTTTTGTAAGCAAGCCTGCAAGATCTCATAATAATCATGACAACAGTCATCAGAATACGTATTCCAAAGCGAAGGTGATGGACGAGAATTATTGTTCTTCTAACAGTAAGTGTTCAGAAATAAGCAATATGTCATTTATAATTGTCACACTAATAATGTTACACTGTAACTTTTGTTTCACAAATGTAGGAATATATAAGAAATATAATATTAGATATTTAAAGAATAATCTTGTTACAAGTTTCATAAAAGCATTTCTTGCATGATATAAACTTTTGCATTGCTATTTAAATAAATTTAAAAATGCATGTATTAATGAATACAATTTGTGTATACAATACGATCCAAATAGAAACTTGCAACATCACTTTGTTATATTTCAGTTAATCCACAAATAAATATAGTACCCAACTCAGACTTATTCTACGTTTTCCCGGATGGTAGCACATGCCCGGTTTTTCCATTTTTGCCACGGAATTTTGGTGATTTGGACCAAACTGATCGTAAGTTATTTTGCGAGTCTTGGCCATCGCGTATAATTATGCAATTGCACTCGAAAACATATTTATTTTGAATAATATTTCTTTTCATATTCCTTTTTAGATTTTATTCCACCGAGATTTGCGTATAATTCGGGTATAGAGGTATGTGTATAGATATATGTATATTTTTGTATTAATATATATATACACACACATCTGTACATGTTTGTGTTAAACTCTCCTATACATGCCCAAAGTTTGTCAATCTCATTTTGGTTACGTCCTTATGTGTGATGGACAAAAAAAAATATACCATGCTTTATTGTCGAACATCGAAAATGTATATAAGATTCATGAATAAACTTGACCACTCTTGCAGTATTTACGTGTAAATGAAGCTTGGAATTATGGAGCTATGATATTTGGATCAGGTCATCATGGTGCATCACCATTAGAAGGGACACCTAATGCTGGCATGAATAGTAGTGTATCGATAAAAGTTTAAATTTGCATAAATCGTCCTACGATGTTACGACAAACGTGGTGTCTTCTTTTTCATCAGATGTTGCATATATGCGTGAGGATACGCGTCTTGCCAACGGCGTGCAGAATTGTTCGTTAGCGTGCAACGAGGCAGCGGGATGCAACATTGACGGCAGGGATATCGGCAATGTCGAGCCGATAGTCCACAAAACTCCGTCTCCGTATATAAACGGTATGCAAAATACGAAGCATCCGAAGCAAGGAACACCTAGAAATTTAGGTGGCAAGGACTTCTCGTTTCAAGGGTCAGATAAAAAATACAATGGGATGCCTAATAAAGGCAGCAAAGGTAATAATTAAGCATTGTTTCATCCGTTTCTTTATAAGACTCCTGGGTGCTGATTCGCTGCCGCCATATTCCTTACGGAAATTACGTTGTAAAAAGTAAAAAGATGTATTTATACAATGATGTTTACAATCGGTTAAGCATATTTTTTTAAATATTCTAAAAACTTGCTCTAACAATCAATAAATATGCGAAAAATGAACGTGATAAAATCATGAAGAAAGATAAGTTAAAAGGGAAGGTTATGTTAATTTTACAATTATTTACTTGTTTGATAGAGTTTGATAGAGCAAAAAGAAAGCTTTGGAGCGTTTTAGAAATATATTCAATCCATATTATATAATTAATTCCACAATATCTCTTTGTTTCAACGTAATTAATAGGAATTTTTAATATGTTTCCTGGCTTTTGACGTCATTAACTAAGAGTTTCGTGGTGAGGGACTAGAAGTCTCAAGAAAAGTACACGTCGCGCAGCTTTGTTGGAGAAAAAAAAAAGATCATGATGACAACTACGAACACGACACACAAGTTTTGACTGACGAAGAATCTTTTCCATTTGCAGGCAACAAGGCCCGTTATCAGCAGAACAATCGCAACGCGCTGGCATATGCACAATACTGGAATTACCACAGCGCGGTTGTCCCGATTGCTTCCGCGAACGATGCGAGAATCACTCATATGCAGCAGCAACCGCAACATTTAGATCCAATGATCCTGCAACACCAACAACAACAACAACAGCAGCAGCAGCAACAGCAGCAGCAAGCAGCGATGAATTCAGTGAACGCGTGCGCTCCTTACATACCGCCGAACAACATGATATTTTATCCGAACGACGCGGCAGCCGCGGAAGCCTGCTGCAACCCGTACTACATGAACGGTGCGTTCGTTCCTATCGCGTGCTTCCCACCGGGAACCCCGCCGTATCATGACGGGCCTGAGAACGCGGCAACTGGCCCATCGCCGCCCTATCCGCCGCATTTCTTCCCGCAACATGCCGAGGCTTATCCGTCGGCACCGAGTTATCCGTCAACCATGTATCCGTCTATGATATATGGCCCACCAGCGCCACCGCCGCAGATGCAGTTTCCTCCCGTTATGCAACAACAGCAACAACAACAACAACAGCAACACCAGCTGCCACCGCCGCCAACGGCGAACATGCCAGAACATTGGTACCCCATGGTAGGACCATCGTCACATTACGTGCAGTACGCGGCTCCAGCCGCACCCGTCATCACCGAACAGCCCTGCAACGGGCAAACTACCGGCGGCTCGGCTTAGGATTGAAGATCAAGTTTTGCGATACTGAAGATTAAAGAACGACGCGCGGTTATCCTGCAGGTATCATGGTGCTCGGCTCGGTGCTTACCAGAGAGATTTGTATCCGTAACTTGCACCGACCACATCATTACTTGTAATACGTACCTGTGCCTCTGCACCTGTGATCATTGCACAGTCCTTGATAGCGTACAAATTATTGTCTAAGATAAGATTCTAAAGATCGACCAGCGATGAATAAGAAAACCAATAGCAATAGCGCTCATCACGGCGTTCGCAGTTGGATTGTGCTTCGAAGACTAAATCTGACTATGTTAGACTGATATTGACTGATATTAATAGAGAGAAGACTGATTATTTAGCAAAATACTTCAGTGACAGACTACGAAGTACTACAGACCGTTGAACGCGTGATACATGAGCTGGTGATATGCGACTTTCTATCGTAATTCTTTAGCTCTTTGTAGAGAGAGTATATATACATATATATATATAACATCTTGTGCTATGTGTACGCCTTGTACGTATAGTGTCGATAATCTCGAAGATTTATCTATTTATATACAATGTGTTAAGTTCGCTACGTAATTTTATACATAATCTCCGTGAATGCGATTGAATTGCGTTATAAATCTATTTTCCTCATTATTTTCTTTACTATATTATACAAGGAAGATCGAAGTGTGTATACCTCATCGTCGATCGAATCGAGATAAAGCCGAGATAAAAGAGATTGTTACTTGTAACAGTAAGTTATTGCTTATTACTGGTAAGTTATTACTTACAACAGTAAGTTATTATACAATGATTACTTATAATAGTAAGTTATCGAAATTGCTGTTACTTAAAACAGTAACAATAATTGGCCTAAGATGCGTTACATACTTATAGGTGCCATGTTGAATTAAATATTCCTTATACAACATAGCCTAGAAAGTGGTGAGGGTAGTAGATTTATGATTCAATCCAGTTGCATCCGTGGAGTTTGCACTTTAAATTATGCAGCGAGCTTGACACATCATACATAAAAGGGATAAAATTACGAAATTGTCGATGCTGCGTATAGTATAACTTGACTACTATTAAACATTAGTACTCAAAACATTTAAACGTCAGTATAAATTCAGTTCTTGCAAATTTGGTTAAAAAAAGACGAGAAATCCTCTTTGGCTTTAACATTGTACGGATGATGCAGCCAGTTAGAACATATACTAATATATAGTGGTAGGTTTAATATATTACATACTGTTACTCGTTTGTGTGAAAGAGTTGATTATTTAGAAGTGTAAGTGATAAAAGTATCAATCTTTTATATCATCTAAGTATTGACGTCATAAAAACTAAGATCTTGTTCGCTATAATATTATGTTTACGATATTCTTTATATCTATATACACTTTTTGTTAAAACTTTTGTCAAATAAACTATATAGACAGACTGATGGCTTTGTTTGGCTTGTTAACGATACGCCTATATTTTGGTTCAATTTCACAAAATGCACCTTTTCAAGCTCGTACGTGCGTGCGTGCGTGCGTGTGTATAAACTTCTAAAAGAGACAACAAATTACTTCATTGACAAATGGAGTTATCAGTGCCAAGTGAATTTTATGATAACTTATGATTGAGCTTTTCCGGAGATTCGTCATGTGCACTTGGAAGAATGGCGATAATTGACGGATAAACTGTATGACCTCGTCATATATGTATTAGCGGCGATATCTGAAAACTTTTTTTAAAAGCATTACACAATTTAGCCGCCGTGCGCTTAATCGCGCTTTGCAAAAGGAAAGATACCACAAATTTTCTAAATTTTATTAAACGAAGTGATATTCTTACAAAAGTCCAGAATGATCGTCATTGTGGTGCTCGTGTCCACCGATGTATACCGTATCATAATGGAAATCATATAATAAAGAAATAGATGTGCGTGTGTGTGTATGTGCGTACACACACACACACACACACACACATACACGCACATACATGTTCTTTTACGATACATTTACAATTCAGAATAGAGAGACAATAGTCTCGTGTATATAATGAAGAAAAAGAGAACGTCGTAAGAACGCTCGAAAAATTTTGTTGTCCAAACCAAAAGCTACATTGTACAAAACTTACCGGCCCGTCTTACAGCGGTAAATTCACCATTTTATCATATTGTTTTATATCGTTATCCTAGCTCTAGTATAAGACGAGATTCTCTAAAGTGTAGCCTTCGTTATCCGCCCATAGTGTTCGTCAAAAAAAGTGCGCGTCTATCACGTTCTCACTTCGTCTTGTATATAATTACTTGGCTAAAACTAAAATCTACATGTTGTAGACTCAATTCTTAAGACTATAAACGGGACACTGAAACTTACCAGCCAACCTTAGGTTTCCTGATATATACCTCGCACACTAATTAAAATTTAAAGTATTTTGCATTATATATACGGACTCTTTAATGCACGTCTTGATTTTACTCTCTCGCTCTTACTTTTCTATAATTCTTTCCCATAAACATGATTAAAGTTATGTCCGTTTCAAACAACAATGCTCCGCATCCTTCCGTAATTTTACACGTATATGATGTTTACGAAGGAGACAGAGAGTTGCACAGATTTCGATCAACTTCAATTCAATATTTACGACAAAAGTTTCGTATGTACTTAACAGTAAAGTCGCACGATACTGGATCCGAGGTAACACACGATAAACAACATCGGCCATCACATGTTCTTGCTTACGTTAAAGCTTGGAAAACCACAGCGCATATTCTGTTCGTACAAATGTTATTCACAAATTTTACTTGTACATTTCTTGCATAGTATCGTCGTTTTAATTGTACAGTTTAAGTAGAGTAGAACACGAGAGACAGCTCGGGGCTACTGCAGGCTGGTAATAAAAGGGATCTCTATGAATTAACATTAGATATCTCAATACAGACAGAGATTAGTGCGTATTCGGTCGATCGGAACAGTGAGACTGCGCTTTTGCAAACAATGCGTGTAAGGGTGAAATTTATTTAAACTTACGGAATTATATTCATATGAGACGTCTAGGTTCTATCCTGAAACATCTTAGATTATCTCTCCCATGAATAAATTTGCAAAGGTGTTTGCAGAACGAAAATTATCTGTTTTCCAGTACAATAAAAACGTTCAATCGGTTAATCCTGGAAATTAATGTGTTATCGTGGACAAAAAGCACGTCATGATTAATCGTTCAACTGTATACTCACAAAGGTCTGTGTATATTTGAAGTGGAAATTTTAATAACAATAATCTCCCCAAGTGCAATACATGTGTGTATGTGTATGTGTGTATATATATATATATATATATAATGTATATATATATATATATATATATACACATATATACACATACACACACACACATATGTATATATGTGCGCGAGAAAATGATTATTCCCTACGTTTACATTTTAAAAGCATTACAGCTATGTAAACTCGCTATTATAGGGTTCGTTTTGATTTCAATCGGCGGAATTCTACGCTGGTATTATTATACAACGAAGTGCTAATAACACTAGAGGCACTCTAAGAACTGAGATTTCGCAAGGTAATCAAGAAAAGGTCCAGTGTGATACACGAAGCTTAATGTTAAACTATGTACACGTATATTACACTTGATCTTCACTATTTACAATCGAAAATCTCAGGTGGACAATACTCGAATATCGTTGACACAATAATAATAACGCAAAAAGGAAAACGGAAAATGGAATGGTAAATCCTATCATTCTTTCGTGAACGTACAGAATCTCGATATAAATGTTCATTTAAAAGTGCAACTCTTACAAGAAAATACTTATAATCAATTATACTCTCGCTCGCTTGCTCTCTCTCTCTCTCTCTCTCTCTCTCTCTCTCTCTCTCTCTCTCTCTCTCTCTCTCTCTCTCTCTCTCTCTCTCTCTCTCTCTCTCTCTCTCTCTTGTGTTGCGAACCGGTGTAGGCGAACTTTCTCTATTTTTTTCTTTTGTATCGTTAGAGACCAGAAAATCCGTTCCCACATTTTGTCGTAAAGTTAATGCATAATTTTTTTCATTGCAAGATCCCCGTGTTCAAGTTAAATGCCCGCATTCTTACGAGAATCTCTCTTCATTGCACACATTTACACAATAAAACATTGCTGTGTTAGACTCGCGTAGACTATATTGGTGTTTCATCAGGTATATGTATATGTGTTAGGTGTCTGTACGTGTATGTGTCCTTTAGATATGGTGCGTCAATCATATATAATCTAATCTGTACACTCGCAACTGGTTCAGATACACAATAATATTAACATATTTAATATTGGACTAATAAAAACGGGATGCACAATGATAAAATGCAGATGTTGAAAGATTCCGTAAAACGATGTTAGAAAAGTAGCTCACCACGAGCGGCATAACAATTTTCACTCCATAATTCGACAATTTGCATTCTTCAATAATCGTCGCACTTTCGGATTATAAAATTTAGTTTGCTAAGTGTTAGTCATTTTGCAAAGTAATCACGAAGTATAAGTGAAACCGGGTAAAATTAGTTGTTACATTTATACGAGGGAAGAAAACATCAACATATAACGCTGCGACGCGTATCTCAGAAATTTTATTTCCGCTTAATCCATGAAAAAGAGAAGTCTCAGTTCATCATAATTCTCATATATTCCGCTTCACTCAGTCACTATTTATATACGATAAAGGTATTACAGTAATTTGCTATGTACGAATTAATCTTCAGTTACTTCCACATCAGATCTGAATCACATAGGTATTACACTACAAGACCCGGATGTCAACTCTGATTTGAAAACAACCTTTTCTCTCTATGTAAGTCCATATTAAATATATTTTACAATAATATTATCATTGTACATGAACAACGTATGCTCTACACCTCGCGTTGCTTATCGCTAACTAACCAGCGCAAACGAAAGCATCGTTATGTATTCGAGCGTCATAAAATAAAATTCGTAAGACGTAAAATCGATATTAAAAATACGCATACCGTGCAGGCATACGTAGGACATAACGAATATTATCTAACAAAAATATATTAAGTATTCCACCTAATGAGGGAATACATTTAATAAAAAAATTGGACATTTAAACTGGAAGAAAGTATATTATTGAGAAATAGTAAGTATCCGAATAGAGCAAAAATCTGAAGGACGTTTGGAAATTTTCAAAGAAACCACATATAATTTTAGGACCAAGTTGCATTGATGCTCCGAATAAATTAATAACGCTGAATCCTGTGCTAATCAGCAGTTGATTGTCTCTTACTGAAGTATAATCATACATATAACGTAACAAATTAATCTTATTTAATTAAAATCTTACTTCGTAAAATACACACACACACACACACACACACACACACACACACACACACACACACACACACACACACACACACACACGTATAAGTAAAGAGAAATTTTATTAAAATTCTTATTCCCTTATTGCATCTATATTAATGAAGTTATAGACTGAATGAGTCACATAATTTATGAAATGAAAGGATGTTCTTTTCCATATACTTCCTATTAAAGCATTGTAAAATAAATCTAATTTTGCTGGAAATTTATAGCATGTATACATTGAACAATATATACGTGTGCACTTATTAACACAAATAAATCATATATGCCATTGATCGCAAATTGCCACATGTATAAAAACTAATCTATTTCGTCATATATTGCAAGAAAAAGGGTCACACAATTTTGCTTCTAACATCATAATTCAATACGACAATAGTAAGAGACCAAAAATCGTGATCGCAAGTTAACAGTAATTTATATCAATGCAACTTAGTCTGATACGTTTCTCTTCACGGTGTCTGAAAAAAGTCGTAAGAGCGTCTGAGAGAATAACGATAACACAAAAAGAAACTTTATTGCCACTGGTTGAAGCAGCGACCGACAAGAAGGTGTTAATTAGTTAAAATAGACGAGGGGGAACTGGATTTGTGAACCCCAATATGTGCGCCGCTGGTACCTCCTATAGTAAAACAGATGTTACGTTAATGTATGAAAATAGGCTGTACTTGGAGAGAAGCCTTGCGATCTCGAGATTAAGTTGCAGCAGAGCGAAATACTTGCATAAAAATAATCGATGAATACTCACATAAAAGTAGTAGTAAACAGGCGAAACGAGGTTATTCCTTGTTTTCCTCGGTAGTAACGGCGTTGGAGGGATTTTGGGACTCGGATGATGCTAAGGGTGGTGCTTCCGCTGCTGTGTCGGTCGCATCTTGACTCGAATCTGAATTGTCCTTTATATCCTCCTGCTGCTTCTTCTCTTCGCTTACGGCGGTGCTTTTGGCTTCGTCCGCCACGTTCTCCGACTCCTCCGAAGTCTTTTCGTCCTTGGAATTGGCCTCGGACGTTTTCTCATCAGCATCTTTGTTACTGTCCGCAGCCTCCGCGCTTTTGTCTTCGTTCTCTGTCGCTTTATTGCTTTCCTTTTCCTCCTTCTCCTCGTTTATCTCCATCTTCGTAGACTCCTCCTCCTCCTCCTCCGTGTGCTTCTCGCTTTTGTTGTTGGACGTCTCGTCGTCCGTGCTGTTCTCATTGTTCTTCTCTTGCCTCTTGGGACGTCCACGTCCGCGACCACCGCTGCCTCTCGTCGATGTTTCCCTCTTCTCTTTCTTGGGGGGCGATGGCATTGGTGTTGTCGTCGTAGTTAGGCCTCTAAGAGAGCTACGAGTGCGTCTTCTACCTTCCACCTCACCAGGTTGATTCATGGTCTGTAACAATGTGTCAAATGTAATCTAACCAACAGTGCTTTACATTTTTTCTCAAAAATATATATGAATACAATTATTCTGCCAAGACGCGTATACGGGATGTAACAATATCTTACGAGATGATTTTTCCAGAATGAAAATGGCAAAATTTTCCACAGTTGTACGACTAACATGCCTTATATTTAACGCTTTTTACATTTTAGCAAATTATAGTGTTATCAGTATCATTATATGATATTTGATACTACAGGTATCAAATAATACTTCATAATTGGCGCCTTTGCAGCTATAGGTCTCCCGTGCCCCACCTCTCGCTAACATTTCCCCTCCTTCACCCCTGTCCCCCACCTGCTCGACAGATGCATCCCACCACCGAGGCTCTTGCGATCACGTAAGCAACAAGCGTCGACGGAGAACCGAAAACGGAGGGAATTAACCCCCCGCGCGCGCGCGAGGGATGAGACGAGGACCTTGACTTCTCGTGACCTCGCGGATTTTTGGACTCGCGCACTACAAAATTCGAGCACGACATGCAAACTTCCCGCTAACTTTTCCCGCTCGAATATGCGCCCGGACACACGTGGAATTTTCCTCGCAGACGCACCTTCAGAATCGCCTCGCCTTCCTTAGTGGTGATTTCGAGAGTGGAGAGCCTCTTGGTGCCGCTACGTTTGTTTTTCACCGGAGTCGGTTTCTCCTCCGTCGACTGCTCCTGTGAACAATCAAGAGAGAGTATAGTTGCTACTTACTCGTTCTCTTACGTATATCACATGCGACATACATGCACATACACGCACACACGTGCGTGTACGTCTATACACCGCATATACGCCTGTTACGCAGCCGCATCGCTGACGTCTCACGAGAGATTATTTACTCGTGAGGAGTCGAGTCGAGAGTCGCGTGAGAAAGACGAAGAGGAGCCAAAAGATGCAAGCGCGTACGGCACGACGATCGACAAAACGAGACGGAGCGTGACACGAAAATTACGACGTATTCGCGATAAGATTATCGTAAGAAGGGAGGGGACCATTGAACTACAGTAGGTATCCACGATCATCGTCGTCGGCCCATCTGTCGTTCTGTTCTGTTGCGCCGTTCAAGTTTCCCGCCATTTTGCTGTGCACTCGGCCGTGTTATCTCCAACGTCAACGCCTCGCGCGACGACTACTCCCGCCGCCTCCCGGGTCGCCGACAGCGTCTCGCTGCCGTCGTGAACGACAGCGGCGTCGGTGGACAGGCGAAAGCGGCTAACGCGTGATACATCATCGTCATCGGTAGCGATCGCGTTCCCGTTCGTGACGGCTGTGGCGATTTCGCGCCTTTTCGTTCAGGCGCCGTTCAGGCGGTGTACGAGCAAAATTAAAGGGGGGGGGGAGAGAGAGAGAGAAAGAGAGACAGAGAGAAAGCGGGAGAGGGAGGGGGGGAGAGAGAGAGCAGTTGCAACGAACCTCTCCCCTCCTATCTGCGATTGCGAGGTCCGTAAATAAAAAACATCCACCATCTTTGTCGATGACGAGAGGAGACGTATGTGCATACGCGCAGCTCTGAAAAATCGTCGGACAAACGGCTGCGAAGCGGTATGCGCGATCGCGGCGCGGCGCGACGCGACATGGCACGGTACGGCCGCGTTGCATCATTGTGCGTGTAAACGCTTGCCGTACGTGCATCATACAAACTGACTCGATATCCTCGTTGTCGTCGTTGTGTCGCTGTCGCTCCGGGTGCCCCCCGGGAGTTCGCGTAGGCCGTGTGAGAGCGTCACCGCGGCCTCGGGAATTTGCGGGGGGCCCCACCGCACACACGCCGCTCACGGCATGAAAACTCGGCTTGACGAAGGTGTTTCTGGCGTACCCGCCGCCCGCTCACCTTGGACACATCCTCGACGTTGTTGTCGCTCTTCGTTTCCGTCTTGGCGTCTGACATATCTTCGCGTGCGAATCACTCAAAAACACTGGGAAATCCACGATTCCACGGCGAGAATTCGTGCTGCACCCGGTCGCACTGTTTATACGATGAGGAAAGATGGCGGTTAGCGTGGGTCACGTGACACCTCGTCAAACCTCAGAGCGGGAGTTAGACGCGCCGCCCCGTGTCGCCGTGGCGAACTATGCGCGTAGCGACGCAAACGCGCGACCCCGAGATTCTCCCTCGACCGCGGTAATCTCCGCTCACATACTGCCGGCCGTTTCGCCGGTATTTTTTCTCTCTTTTTTTTTTTTATTGTTCCAACGAGAAACAGAGTTCGTTACCGCGCCAGCAGTGAGATAATGTGATTCCGTATACCTCGGAGAATCATATACAACGAAATCAAGCCAAGCGTGTATTCATGATAAATGATAAAAGATACATGAAACAAGTGGAAACGTGAAAAAACGCGAAAGAAAACCAAGATAAAATGTATGCACTGCCTACTTATTTGCACAAAAATAACACCGTACATAATTCTCTAATGTACTTTACATGTAATCGCGTAGAATCACATTAACTTGCTGTTATAAATATATAAACAATGCTTTTTACAAAATTACATAGAAATACAAATATATCCACACAGAGCAACACGGCAAAGATCGAAGATGTTACAATTTTCATGCGTTCGAATTTTCGACGGAGATATTAATTAACCATTTCGAGTTTGTGATGCTCGCATCTCCTTTCCACATGTAAATAAGCGATCGCAATTTAGAAGACCCTTCTCGTAAACGTGTGTCGATTAGATTTAACTTTAATCGACTCGTGTCTCAATTACGTACTTACCTGAATTAAAAACGCTTTCATACGCTGTCTCATATGTTGTGTCAGAACATAGATTTTTTTTTTGTTTCTTGCGCATATTATAGAACGTGCACAACCGCGCTGAGAATTACCAAGTATCGTTTATATATTATTAGCTTGATGTAGCAGAACTGAAACGTGCGAGGAGGTTCGTTGCTTAGGATCTGAATGAAACGTAAGACCATATGAACGTGTATCCAAAGTGCCTAAATACCTATTTCTCTCTTTCAGAATTACACCGGCAACGCATGTAAAATTGTGATCTAAAACCTCTTCTCAACGTTAATCTCCGCATTTTCGTAAAGTAGAAACGATCGGAAGTAATTTCCTGTGCGAAATGTCCCTTGACTTTCGAGTTAAACAATATTAAATTAATGAGTCGGCATTCTTCGGAACCAGAATCTTGCTCTGAAATCATCACTGCATGTTAGAAACGCTGGTGCTGTTGGTGAATGAACAATTAGTCTCACGGGACCATTGTGACCCAACGATAATAATTGTTTTCTTGACGCATTCCGTGAATTCCAAGCGCACAGAGAAGTAGTGGCTTCGTCGGGGAACATTACGTAATCTTCCGTATGATTAAAGATAGCTTGTGCTTTGTGTTCTTGTTTACCTGTAGAAAGCAGCATATTCAATCGTATATAGTCGAACGATTTTATAATTATAACATTTAAAAAGCATACTGTACGTCAAACACATTCTGAGTCTGTCTAAATATAGGCTTTTACCTGTAGTCCCGGCACCTGTATATGCTATCAAGCATCTGCTGGTAGATAATTCCCACAATTTTATCAAGGAATCTTTCCCTGAGGACAGTAAATACTGCAATTCAAAATTATAATCGTTTAGTAATTGCGTTTGAAGGGATAATACTCTGTGTAAGTTATCTTCTGTAATTTTGAATACACAACACGTATGTGTATAAACTTTTACTATGTTATCACCGAGTATATACTACCTTGCCGTTCCTCGTGAAGGTCACCGAGCATACTTCGTAGCCATCGTGCGCTTTTACAAATGTATTTATACATCGATTCGACACGCCGTCCCACAGCTTAATACTCCCATCCTTTCCTGCCGATGCATAAGTCTTCGCATCTGGTGAATACTTGATACTTGTGATCCCTGCTGTATGTTGGTGGTTTGGTATGCTGCATACAAAGCACTGCGCAGTGTTCACATCATACAATCTAACTACTGGATGATTAGTCCCTACTATGAGGAAGTCGCCGGTCGGATGGAAAGACAAGCACCGGATTTGATCGGCGTCGGTAATTGTCCTGAATGCCTTTTTAACACTAGCTTTGCTAAAATCAAATAGTTTTACCGAGAAGTCGCGACTGCCAGATACAAGAATGGGTTCTCTAGGATGAAATTCCAAACACGTCACTTCTTCCAAGTGATCATACAAAGTTCTTATGACTGGATGTCCACCTGTTTGATCCCCAGGTGCCATTTCATCTGGTGCAGACTTGGCGAGCATTCTGTCCACGTCCAGGATTTTGATCGAGGCATCCACAGAGCCAGTAGCTATCAATTGGCCATCCGCGGAAAAAGCTCCAGCTCTGCAATTTCCTTTATGGGACGTGACATATGCAGTTTCATACTGTGCTGGTTCTGGAGCTTGAGTCTGAGCCTCGGTCTCAAATTCCAAATCCAATCCAGGCCCTAAAGTGTTGTCAAAGCTACTGGCAAATGTGGATGCATTATTGTTATCCTTCTTGGAACGATCCGGTTCATGAGCAACACCAATCAACATTAAATGAAGTAACCGATCCGAGGGTGGACAGGGTGGTTCTGCTTGTATCATGTTGGACAGCTGCACAGCCAATGTCTGATGACCGTCGTAGAACAGTTGACTGAAATATTCAACATGATTTATTTAATTGCCAACCACTTGTTCTATTTGCCAATAAAGTTGCAATAGTAAAAAAAAAAACTGTTGTAGCAACGATAATTGTGCACTGGCATTAAAAATTACACTTTACGTGAGAATATTAAGAGCAAACGATTGAAATTTGGTAGAGTGTGTGTGTGTGTGTGTGTGTGCGAGACGAGAATGAACAACCTGATTATCAGTCTGTAGAGCAGCTCTCTGCTCTTTATTATGTTCTTCGGATCCACATCGGGTTCCTTCATCGCGTTCTGGCTCGTCGTGTTTCCTGATGGAGACTGAATGTTGACGACTTTTATCACGCCGTCAAACGCAGCGCAAAAATCGCTTTTTAATCGATGCCTTTTTCCAGGTTATGTCGCGTTGTTGTTACTGACCCAGTCTCATCGACATGAGAGAGGTGTTCTGTTCTTTTTAACTGAACTAGGTTACACTTTTTACAGTTAGAGTGAAACAAAATATGTGAATTTGCATTGAAGAGAAAAGGAATGTAGATAAGCGTAGAGCATTAATTCAGCTGAAACGAACAGATGTTGCGTTTTTAGCGCAAAACGTCACTTATAAACATATAGATGGAGCATGTTACTTCGGACTTGAAGTATACATCTACTTCTTCAGAGGGTGTGACTTAAAAAGATCTTTAGAAAATTTTTGTGATATGGCCGTTCTTAGGTTTCTTTTCAATATGGCGTTGCAATCTGTAAAATACGATTGAGGTTATATTTCGAATCGGCAGCGGTTTATGTCTTCTTAAACCTAACCTGAAAGTAATAAAGGAACAATAAACTGTGAATTAAGACCTTGAGATATATTCGATTAGTTTATAGAATATTGAAAAATCATTTCGATCTTCTCAAGAAAATGTTATTTAAAATCGAGAATTATGCGATTCGTTTGTCCTCACGATTCTTACGACGATGTTTTTCAAAAAATTTCGACGTTCAACCGGCTGATGTGAAAGAATTTGTATCACATCCCAACCGCAACTTTCTGTCTACATGTCAGGAATGTGAAAAATGTCTAAAGATTGCTATTTTAGGCGCACCTAATGCTGGAAAAAGCACACTTATTAATCAGCTGATCAAGAGAACGGTACCTTATTAAATTATTTTAAATACTAATCGTTCCTTGTAGTGTAAACAATGAAAAAAATGGATGGACAAGTATGCAAGAAAATTGTGCGAAGAGCATTAGAATTATACAGAAAATCCCAGTTGTGTTTTGTAAAGTGTGCTGTATAAATTTTGTCTGTTATTTGTGTCTTATTTCCTTTTGTCTTCTCTCTTAATTAGATATGTCCAACATCCAGTAAGGTACATACTACACAAGCTAAAGCAGATGCAGTTTACTCAGAAGGCAACACACAGTTGATATTTGTAGATACACCTGGAGTAGTGTCAAAGAGTGAGTTGAAACAATACAACTTGGCCACAAGTTTTCAGAAAGACCCTAAAACTTCCTTGCAAGCAGCAGATATCATAGGAGTCATACAGGATAGTTACAATATATTTGCAAGAAATAAGATCAATTCAAATATATTACAATTGTTAAAGGATCTGGACAATGAAATTCCTATGATTCTGATATTTAACAAAGTAGATATATTAAAAAGGAAAGATATATTGTTACATCTTATAACAATTCTAGCCAAGAGCAAGAATTCTCTAAAATTTGCAGATGTATTCATGATATCAGCTTTGACTGGAGATGGTGTTGATGATTTAAGGGTGAGTTATTACAAGAGAAAGCATTTTAAATTGATATATTATGAAGATAACAAGATTGTTCAATATTAGATTGGCACGATTAATACAACTATTCAATATTTGATTAATCAATATATAACGAGACAATAACATGATTATTCAGTATTTGATTTGGTTTTCAGGTTGTAGGTTGCAGGTCTGTGCCACATCCATCTTGAATTTGTGTTCAATATCTGGAAACAGTTTTTTTCCTGCAGGAGGGAACTAGAATGTTCACAAAACACGGGAATAAATCCAAGATGGATGTAGCATATATACAAACCTGAAAATCAAATCAGATATATTTAGATAAAAACTTAAAGATAAAAAACTTTAGATAAAAACTTAAAATCATTCAAAATTATTCAAGTATGTATAAAGTTATAAGTAAATACATTCCTGTATGTTTCAAAATCTTTATAATATATACTTCTCTTGGGAACACAAGCAAGGAATAAGTTTCCTTTTGTAATTTGATAATCTACCTTATAGACGTATTTGTTGGATTCGGCCAAGCCACGCGAATGGTATTACAAGAGACATGTGTACAGCAATCAGACATGTGAGGATATAATACAACAGACAGTGCGAGCAAAGCTATTGGACAATCTGCCGCAAGAGATACCATACAACATGCAAGTAAAGCTAGAACATTTTGATCCTAGTCCAGATGACAGCGTCAGTGCCTCGGTATCTGTTACATGTTCCACCAAGCGCATTTGCGGCATTTTATTAAAATTTAAGGGCAACAGACTTAGGAATATTGCACGTACAGCTGAAGAGGAACTGCGACATGCCTTTCGAACGTCAGTAAAATTGAAGATAAATGTACAATCTGCGAAATAATTCACACTTGTTTTAATCTATTTGCAAGTAAACTGCTCTTTTGTCTCTATGTATTTTGTAAATATATTAAATTGTTAAATAAAAGGGAGATTTGTGTGTTAAATGAAGAGGTTGGAAATCAAATTGCCCAGTTTTCAAGTTATTTTTCTACTATTATTAACTAATTTTAATCGTTCATATAATTCTGTTATTACATATTGCAGACTCTGCAATAGTTCAATCTTCCGCTAGGTCTAACAGGGAAACACCAGATCTATATCCTTCATGTTGTCCACGATCCATTTGTTGAATCTTGTTTCAATTTCTGGCGTAAAGTCGTCTTTCCAACCGCCTACTATACCTCGCCGAATAAACGCATGGGGCTTTGCACTTATACCACGTTGAAGGGTGTTCACCATTTTATTTTCGCGGAACTTATTTATGTTGAGGTGATCTACCAACTTGGCGATTTGTTCATCGCCATAACTTTTTCCATAGAATGCAGCGATTTTTCTAATGCTTCCAGGTAAATCCTGCACAAAATACACGAAGGTTATTTTTAAAGGATATTAAGATCAAATTGAAATAAGAATAAGAATTGTGTGTGTGCGTGTGCGTGCGTGTGCGTTTGTGTGTGTGTGTGTGTTTGATAATGAAAGTTTTGAAATTTACCTTTATCAAATCTTCATAGAAGATAAACAATGTGTTTGGTCTGTGTCTTTTCGCCCAACCTTCCTTCACATGTTCCCAATAAGGACTGTATAACACTAATGTTGCGAAAGAAATTGAGTGTTACATATTTAAAGAATGAACTAATAAAAAGAAGCAAATATCGAGATGCAACATATTAATCGATACCGCAGGAAGCTACTCACTGCGATTGTTCATGAAGAAATCGCAGAATTGCTCAAAATTGCCTTTGAATTTGGTCGCTTCGTTCGCCTTTTGGAAATAATACCATGAGACAACTACGTCTTTGGGATTTCGCGCAACGTAAATAATCTGAAAGTAAAATTATTGTACTGTATTTATCTTTATGAAGTCTCATTTGAGAATAAATTTCTCATTTACATATTTGTATATATACATAATACAAATATTTGCAATATGAATACACAATATAAATATTTACAATGAATATGAATACGATTACGATTATATATGAATATGATATGTGAATATGAGTATGATTCAATATGAATGTACTGCAGTAAAAATATTCAAATAGATTATGGCTTATTGCTATTAATTAATTATCAAAATTTTCAATTTTGAAAATGTGTGGCTACTATATACATACCTTGCAATCGCTGTTCACAATCTTAGGCAATAGTTCGAGCGCCAAGTGAGTCTTTATAAAACGTGGAGAGAGTTGTTCTCGTACGAAGTTTATGCTATTCTCCGCTCGCTTTTCATTGTTGATGATCTTCCTTGCATCCTCTTTATTTTCTATTATCGCCAAGATTCTAGAAAGAGCACAATGAAATATTCTTACAATGAAATATTTTTCTTCAATTCAAAAAGTAAAACATCTCATTGTGGGTTGATGGATGGGAAGTTGGGACTTGCATGAATTAAGTTTCTTATCTAATTAAGAGTATGTTATAAAAAAAAATGTCCAAAAATCGGACAATTTATTTTAAATTGCTCGCGAGACAGATTTCCTCGATCGTAAGTTTGTTAAAAATTACGGAAACTGAAGAATGCAGTAGACCCAGGTAGCAGACTGACGTCAAATGACGTACTAATGACGTCTTAATGACGTTAGCTAACGTCATTAAGACGTCATTAGTACGTCATTTGACGTCAGTCTGCTACCAGGGGAGTTTCGCTTCTACGCGCATAAATATTAATAATTAAATGAACGTTAATATCATACTCTATAAAGGGAAATCTGTCCGGTAGAGATTTACGACCCGCTTCATCGAAGTTCATGTTGTTTGCCACCAACCAGACGAGTTCCTGTGTCAGCGTCGTACCTTGATGGGAACAGAAATAACATGTTAATCGAGAAACGAAAAAACAGACTTTATTAAAGATAAAAAAAGAAATTATAAAAAAGCGATATCAGAACGACTAGCTCTGACATTTTCGTTGTAAAATGAAGAGTCTATTTACCTGATCTAGGATAAGTAACGATCCAGGTATCGTCCGGACGAGGATCAAAGTTATATAATTCTTCTCCGAATGTGGTGAAGTTGTACGGAAAACACCATTCTTTCTCGCCTACTGCAACTAAACCGCGCGTATAAAGTGGATAATATTTTAATACTTCGGTTGTCTTCTCATCACTGAATACTTTGATTTTTAGATTATTGGAAGACATGTCTCCGTTGGCAGTAAAACCTCGTATGTACAACGTTTCTTGAATTGTGCAAATGTATAAAAGTCTTATCTCTCATTGCATGAGATAACATTCTTATCGCTCTAAGTATAGATTATAGCTCCCGTATAGATCATTATATAACGATAAAAATTGTTATTGCACTTTAAACTCCGTTTAAAGCAAGTTGTGGAACTGGGCCTAAAAGAATATGATCAATTTCCTTTTTAATACGAAGCATTCACCACTGCCATCTCGCATTTAGCGCGGTGAAATTTAATGGGAACTTTTCAATTTCTTCGGATCAGAAAGCAGAATTCAGACGTATTCAAAATGTCAATATTTTTTAATATGTTTCAATTCGACATTTTATAGAGGGATATTATGAAGATAACACGATTGTCCAATATTTGATTGGCATACAGGGTGTTTGATAGCTCATCATGCAGACGAAAGTTGGAGATAGATTGGGTGTAGCCGAGAAGAAAAGTCATGTACCATAATGTCAAATTGGCAATAGTTACCGAGTTATTAATTAAAACATGTGAGCCAACGAGCGCGTAGAGAGCGGAGGGCGGCCGCAGTAAGCACGCAGACATTTGATACAGACGGAGTCAATGAGTGGGGGTAGACAAGCGCGCGCGACGAGGGGCAACGTAAGCGACAAGAGGCGAACGCGCGCGACGAGGAGCGAGCGAGCGCGAACGACGAGGAGCGAGCGAGCTATAAGGAAAAAGCTGTAAAGAAAAAGCTCATTTCAATTATGCACATGTTCTCATGTGCATAATTGTATAACAGATCTGATATCAAATATCAAATACCTTTTATTGAATATTCATAAAATCATTAATTATAAAAAAGTACGCACAAGATGAGATAAGTAAAAAGAGTGATTGTGTTAATAGAAATCTTCTTCTGTGGCTTTTGACGCCGATGTTTTGTTCTTGATCTGTTCTTGATTATTATACATGTCTGCCACTTGCTGAGCTAATGTGGCTTCCTCGCAATTCTTATCCTCGCGAATCCTGATAAATCGTGGAAATCTCAGAGATATTCCTTTCTCTGGATCAACCTGCAATTGATATAAGGATAAAACACTTATAACAAATATAACATTTTACAATTATTAATTTCTTAATTTAAGAAATATATTTATTCACTAGAATTAAGGAAAGATGAAGTATTGATTGGAAAGACTTCATTTCTTTTTATTTCTAATTGTAAGAATATCGCAATTAAAAATATTGCAATATTTTTTTTAATAATTTTGAGGCATCAATAAAAAAAAGAATCTCTTAAATTGAGAACATATAAAAAAGAAATACTCTTTAATTAGAAATATTCTTTCTCGACGTGACCTATTCAGCTATATTGAACTATATCTTTATACATATATCTGTTCTTTTCTTTTTTTAATAATTGCTAAGCTTACAATCCCTATAGCCGCACGATGAACTGGCGAAAGAGAGAGATCAGCGCACTTGATCTCCCAGACTTGAATTGGCTCGAACCAGTGATCTGGCTCATGACTGCCATCGAAACGATAATATGATTTAGCTTGAGATATCACGTGGTCCTTGAAAAACTTCGTGTGGTTTTCAAGATCCTCTTCTTTGAAGCCGGTGCCGATCTATCGACGATAAAGCATCTTTGATCAATATATGTCAATGAGAAAATAATGTGCATCAAATATATCCCTATATTTAGATTCACATGTTCCAGTTTTTACTTAAAACGAAATATTTAATAAATTTTTTTATTTAACGTTTTACCTTGCAAACACTTTGATACTCCTCGTTTTCTTGATCGTAGCAAGCCAACAGAAACCCACCATAAGTACCAGTCCTCTTTCCTTTGCCAATGTAACCACCAATTACAACGACGTCAAGTGTATCACCAACGCCGTCTAAGTAATCCTTTTTTAGTTTCAACCAATTTCTCGATCGCTTCGCAATCTCGTAAGTTGCCTCTTCCTCTAATGTTTTCACCATTAGGCCCTCGCAATTTCCTATTTAGATGGTCGCAACTATGTATTTTTTCTTATATCAATTAAAGATATAAGAATAATCAATAAAGTACAATTTTCATTGCTCGACGAAAATGAAAGAATATTAGACATTATTTTTTCAACTTTAATTAACTCTAAGACATAAAATGTCTTTGAATTAAAATCACACAAAATTATAAGAGAATAATCATTACAGTAAATTTCTCTGCAACTATATACTGGACATTTTTATATATTTTCTCAATATCTACATATTTCTATAAAATTCTTTCTTTGTGTGTTGTGAGTTTAAAAATACTAAAAATATCATAAAAACCTTTCACTGATTCGTCCAAGAAGATTTGCATCTCCTCTATCATCGAAGTGTCTAAACTGTTGGCGTATTTCCATTCACCTTCTACTTCTTTGAAATGCTTTTTCAATAATTCACGTCGTTTTGCAAACGGTTCTTTCACCAACGATTTGCCGTTTAGATATAACAAATCGAACATAAACACGCATACTTGCACTTTTATATCTTCCTCATTGGCATCCTAAACAAGGCAAAGGTATCTCGTACAATTATAGAAGCAACAAACAATTAAAAGCATAACGTAATTACGTTAGAAATCCTAATTAAGAAAATACAATTAAAAATTACAGATGCTTACAATTATTCCATTACTCACCTTTCGCTTTCTCGTGCTGAGTATTTGGAAAGGCAGAATTTGTTTCTTCTCTTTGTCCCAAGCAACCGCTTCGCAATCAAGTATACAATTCTCCACTAATTCGTCGCGAGTATTCTTGAATCGGTTTATGATGTCCGGATACTTACTAGTATTGTTTTCTTGATTTCTACTATAGATATTGATCTGACCGTTGTTTGCATGTATCTACCGGAGATTTTGATATTTTTTGATACGTTAATTTTAATATTTTAACCGCAAGAAAAAAATTAAATAAAAACCTGTGCTCTCTCTCCGTCATATTTCCATTCACACGTGAATTTCAAACCTTCGAATCGAGTTAGCACTTCTTGAACGCCTTTAGTAGGATGTGCCAGCATAGGTTTCAAGGGTATTCCAGGCGTAAGTTTACATTTGCTTGGCAAAGTTTCAATTCCGTCCTCCAATAGAATAGGAATTATGAGATTGTAATTCGGACATTCGCTGAAATATTCATTTGAACTCATTAAATTAAGTAATATTTAACTGGAATATTTGTATTAACTTTTATCGAACCACATTTTAACAAATTTTACAGAATAAAATATTCTTTTATATTTTTATAATAATCAGATGGAATGTCTTGTGATATTTAAATTAATTTATAAATAACATCTTCAAGAAATATAATCTTACCAGTATGTTGTTTTCAATATTATTGCTATTTCATCATATTTTTCTTTGAACCGTTCACTCGACATCTTTTTGGCCGCATTTATTATTTCTGGTGGATAGGTTTGCTCTGGCGGTGTCATCGCACATGCTAAGGCCAACGCCTAACAAGAAATAGACTCTCACTGATATTGATCGAAGCGCAACATACGATGCGGATAACCTACTTGCAAGACAGATTGTTCTGCTAAACCAATGCGAAGTTTCCCAGCCAATGATCTGATTAGATATCTCGCTTCGGTGTTACGACAAGCCACGAACAATGTTTGGATCTTATCCAGTTTTTTTGCCAGAGACTGCAGAAAAACATGAGCTTTATTCGAGGGAGATATAAAGATTCATTCAGTTCATATTTCTCTCTCTCTCTCTCTCTCTCACTCTCTCTCTTTCTGTCAATTACTCTTTCAATTACTATGTTATTTCGTTATGTTTTAATCATTAGTATACTCCCAGTTTAGTACAAATATTACTTCTGTAATATTAATACAAAATCTCTGTACAGAAAAATGTATGTACCGAATGTCCTGTCATTACAGCTATCTCTTTTAATTTTGCATACACATTGGAAACTGTCAATGGTGCAGGCTGAAACATAGTTCTCTGATTAGACCTGCTACCTTCTGCTACAATTCCCAAATCACCAATCTGCTGGACATCGGCTTTAATTTGAGCGAGCGTTCTACCGGTACATTGTGCTATCGCTTTCATCAGATTTGTATCAGCAACTCCCAGCTCGATACCTGAAATCAACAAGAATTATATATCTAATATCATCATTATATATCTAATATCATGTAAATGGAGATCTAAGTAACAAAAATTATTTAACCAAAAATAATTTTGGATGTAAAAAGTGAAGAAAATTATGATTTCTCTTTAAAAACATAATGTTATACATAATTTCAATATTCACCTTCATACGCTGGTGCTAATTGATTGAGACACAGATACACACTGGGCAAAAGATCTGTTGGGCTTAGAACTATAACGGATCGAAAATAATTTGATAGTATTTCTATTATTTTTAGCCGTGCGCTTGTTTCCTCAATAAGTTCTAAAGTGCGTGTAAATGCACTGTATGGAGTTCTACGAAAAAATTTAAAGATTTTATTTATTTTTAAGCTTTGTAAGATGTTGCAGATTATTGATATTATATTTAAAAAATTTTTTTTGATATTTAATTCCAGTTAGCTCACTTGTCTCCTTGTTTCCAATATGCATCATTTATTGGATGATAACCAGACATGCTGGGATTATAAGATTGGATAACATTCTTTCCATTGCTTACTTTGTCATTTTTTGTATCTTCCTTTTGCTTAGCTGAAAAAGCAAAAAAGTAGCATCAATATTTCATAATTATTAAAATATAAATTGTGCAATTTAATTTGCAATAATTATTGAAATATTAAGGATGAAGATTATTTTGGAAAAACTTACTTAATAAAATAGATTTCTCCTTTTCCTCTTTCTCTACATCAATATCATTTTCAGTACAATTATTTTTTTCAACTTCTTCACACTTTTCCTTTTTTTCTTCCTTTTTCTTAAGGTTAGATGCATCTTTTGATTTTTTTCCTTTTGTCTTCTTTGACTTTCTAGGTGATATTCTATCTGTCTTATTTTCTGAAGTGAGCTCTTGAAACAAGTGTACAAATATGTTCAATGTATATCTAATATATATGTATGAAATTGATGATTCAATAATTAATTACCTGTCTTTACATGAGATTTTGCAGGTGAGATTTTTGCAGAAGTCTTGGAAGCTATTTTTGGTTCTGAGAGTTTAGTACTTGGCCTTTTTGTAATAGGGGAACTGTAAGAGCAATGACAATAAGAAAACAATATCAATAGGAAGAAATAAATGATATATAAGAATATGAGTTAATATAAAATAAAAATGTTTATATTATATGTTATATAAATATGATAAACAGTTATATTACAAATATAAATAATTATTCATCAGATATTGATCACCTGGGAGATTTACTGCTGCTATTCCTCTTGCGTTTGCTATTTGCTGTTGTATCCTGATCCTCCTGTTTGTTGGACAAGTTGCTGTTGGTTGTATGTATCCGATTAAAAATAACAAATTGTTTGCGAGCGACAACCGCAAACTCGAAATATCGAGTTGGTAGAACCAAGGAGCTCAAATACGAGCGAATTACGAAAGTTCTTAGCATAATCAATTACTAGAGAGAGTGATTATACTTGATAACAGAAAACATACCTTTCCGAATTTGCTTGAGACGAATTTTCTTTCTTGGATGGTATCCTAATGAAGAACGAGCTGAGAAAATAAAGCCAATTAATATGATCCTAAAGAAAGCTTGAAACGTTCATTATCAATGTTTGAATTAGATTATGTGGTAAGAATTATAAATAATTTGGCATCGCGATATTAATCGAACTGTTTTGTCTTTTTCAATCCATCGCAACACAGAAGTACTCACTCTATACTGCGTTGTGCCATTATTACTCGAGTTCTACATATGTCAAGAGATTTCCCGCGCTACGAGGCGCATTGTGTGCTTTCAACAACTACGACGAAGATTAAGGACATCGACGAGATACTATAAAGACTGTTGGCCTTACGGGGTTTAGCGTACCAGAGAAATTTCGATTTCACTGTGCACTAGCGCCCTCTTAGGAATATCGTGGCCGAAATACGAAACATAGCTCGAAATAAGAGGCCTGTTCGTTTTGTCTGCACTGCGAACTGGTACATTAAGTTAAAGTGATTAAGTTAAAGTGAGACAAACATAAGTTTTCTCAACTTCTTCAACTTTGGTCTGTTCTTTTCAGTTGCACTACTGAACTGGTGCAATAAGTTAAAGTGAGAAAAAATATAGTTGTCTCATTCTAATTTATTGCACTAGTTCCGCAGTGCAGCTGAAAAGAACAGACCACTTGTTGCACCAGTTCACCAGTGCAGACGTCCGTTCGTTCGTTCGTTCGGTATATGGCTTTAGGTAGAAAGGTGTACATACCCATACACCATTCTCCAGCTGCGTTATAAGGGCACCAGTGCAAACAAAACAGAAAGAAACCTGAGAGCGCGGCCAACACGGTATTTTTTGCGACACCGACTTTCCGCACTGAGAAAGGACGCCATCTGCATTCATTTTGAGAGAGGAACTACGATGCTACATCTACTTTCCAGTCTCGGTGGTAAAATCTGCATGTGGTGGAAGTCCGTGCTACATTCACTTTCAGGCGGTTTATGTCCGTGCTGCAACCACAGTTGTCATCTCTATGCCAGACTATGCCCGGTGGTCTAAAAAGAGCGGGAGGGGCGGAGAGGGGGAGGGCAGAAAAAATAAAAGCACGTATTAAATGTTAAATCTTCGAATATATATTGCCGTATCAAAGTCTCTTCTATAATAAACAATTTAACATGTGTGGAGACGCATGATGTATCGTTGCCTGTGTCCCGTTCACTTCGTCCTGTTTCTTAATTCAGCATCCCGTCCGCTCCGGACATTCGCTCGTGGCACTAACAGTGGCCGTCGGTGAGCATTCGATCCGCTCGGAGGAGCACGTGTTAATTAACGCGACGAGACTCCGATTATGAATATCCCGCGAGTCGACCAAATATCTGAACTTTTAAAAAAAGCATAAAAAAAAATCACGTTGATATTGTCATATGGGTGAAATCTCACCCCGGTATATATTTTTTTATTTTCGAAATAAAAAAGCCAAACAAATGCAATTAAATGTTATTTATCATCATTGGATATTAGATGAAAAGTAAAAGAGTTATTGTCCGCAGCGGATAATCTAACATTTAATAAGAACGAGACAAAATTCTCATGGGATGAAATTCCACTCTTTAACGCTACCATTTACGACCTTTAATTGTTCTCCGAAAACGGCGTCACAACTTTGATACTCTGTACAATTAGTTGCTAACACATTTTCTAATCGTACACATTCCTCTTTAATTAACATAAAGCTAACAAATATCCAATGCTTCGACAGAATAATTTTCTTTATTTTCAATAATCAATAAATAGTAAATCAATGTCGCGTACAGTTGAAAGGCCTCTTCGCATTCCCCTCGTCGTCGCGGAACCTTCGAAAAAAGAAAAGACGCCCAAGGACAAGTTTCTCTTGCTTCAACCGCCGCCGAGGCCCGCAATGTTTACATCGCGCCGATTGTGTTGATCGGCTCGCGCGAGCGACGACACTTTTTGCCCTTCGTATTATAATACTCGCGCACCTCGTGTATTCGACTTCATTCCGTCAACAGCAGCCGTGCGCGACGCGCTCGTCACTTCTGTCTCGTGTTGAATTGAAAGAAATGTATCTCGTCGGTCCTCGAGACACTCAATCGGCATCGCGTTGATTAACCGCACGGTCGAACCGCAAGTATCGGCATTAGAAGCGTGAGCGAGTGAAATCCGAAGGATTCCAGCAGCCGGGAAGCAGGACGCCGGCAGCAATACGTCCAGGTATGTGGAATCATTTATTATGCGGAAGGTCTCCGATAACGAGAGCGGACGTTTGACGAATTTTCCGGGAATAAGAAGTCGGAATTTCGCGCTCGGCATTCACAATCCGTCATCATCCGACTAGTAATCATAGACACTTTATGAATCTGCAATTACTCTCGTCAATCTCTGTCTGTCTATCCATTTATTGCGTTGTTGTATACAAAAGATATTGATCCAGACAGAGACGGATAACGGTCCATGAACGCGGATCTCTAATTCATCATCAGTTCTCAATCAAATATTCTGAATAATTTCCAACTGTATGAGTATATCGGTTTTGTGTAGAATATTCAACGTCATACCGCTACTTAGACCCTTTTTGTTTTCGGTCAACGCTTCTTTCAAGTCTGTTTACTTTCGTTACGGGATCTAAATTTAAATGTCCATTCGTAAAAGAGTATTTTCGAGAGCACACAACTGTTGGCTCCGCTTCTTGTTGCCGCATTTTTTTTCGTCAGTTCTTTCAAGAGCTTCTATCTAGACTTTCAATGTCAATAAAGAAAAAAAATCGTAGCGAATATTCTCCACTCATCCCGACCAAACATTCTTTCTCTACCGCAGCTTACCAACCAAGAACGCTACATTTTTGTTCCAGACGTTGCGGGAAACAAGTCCGATGGACGCGGATGCCGCACCGGAGGATTCGGTTCGGGCAGAGTAGTGTCGGCCGGAAGGTAAAGTTTAGTACAAGTTTCTTACACATCTGTGTTCAATTCTTTACAATCTTTATTCTTTGCAACTTGTTCCTCATCAGTTCTCTCGAAAGTTTCATGTCTCATTTAAATTTTCAATGTTGGAACAAAAATATAAAGATAAAAATCCCATATCGAAATATTTCCGTATTTTCGATTCGTCTCGATCAAAGATTTCTCTCTCTACCGCAGATTATCAACCGGGAAAATTATTTTTCTGTTTCAGTTGTTGCGGAAAGCAACAGCAATCCGGCGGACGCGGATGCCGCACCGGAGGATCCGGTTCGGGCCAAGCAGAGTCGGTCGGAAGGTAAAGTTTATTACAAGTTTCCTACACATCTGTGTTCAACCCTTTACGACCTTTGCCTTTGTAACTTGTTCCTCATCAGCTCTCTTGAAAGCTTCAAGTCCCATTTAAATTTTCAATGTTGGAACCAAAATATAAAGATAAAAATTCCGTATTTTCGATTCGTCCCGATCAAAGATATTCTCTCTCTACCGCAGATTATTAACCGGGAAAATTATTTTTCTGTTTCAGTTGTTGCGGAAAGCAACAGCAATCCGGCGGACGCGGATGCCGCACCGGAGGATCCGGTTCGGGCCAAACAGAGTCGGCTTGAAGGTAAGTTTACAAATTCACTGTTATAGTCCTCTGTTTGACCCTTGGCGATCTAGAGCTGGGATATAATTTCCGACTCGACTTGAATTACGATCGCACAGGGTAAATTACTGATTTACTCGCCCGTACTCGTTGGTCAAATTTAATGAACGAATGTGAATTTTTTGTTACAGAGTTGAAGCGGAACGTGGCCGGCTCTGACTGCAAGTCGTTTCGGTGAGTCAAAATGAAAAGAGAAACAATATTCTGCATGACGGATGTGGGATTAAAAAATATCGTTCGAGTCAATGCAAATTGCAAATAGATTCCTGCATGTGTGTATTTGTGACGTTTAATAAAATACATTGCTCGAAACAATCAGGGCAACAATTACTTGATCGATAGCCTGCATTATATACGAGATTTAAAATACCGGATGATGATGATACCTTTTTGATATTCAGTCATCTGAATAAGAGATATTCATGTCTACAAACGCGATACCGTCATCAGTTACTTTATTTTTATTTTTCAAGCGGGCCGCAGAATTATTTAACGACAAAATTATTTGACAATATTCAATTGTCCGCGTAAAATATATTCATCGGCATAAATGCCGATACCGTTGGCTACTTTTCTTTTATTTCCTTAAAACAGGCTGTAAAATTATTTGGCAATTCATTACGATCCCTATTGTCTCGAGTAGCGTATAATGCGCCAGAAATTGCGCAGAAATTGCGCCAGCGCACGCCGAGCTTGAGGTATCCTCGCTCGCGTGCCTTTGAATATCGCGATCGCGGTTATCAATATACGCGTTTTTATCCGCGCTGCTAACAAAGAAAGCTTAAATTCTCATTTCGCGAACGTAAGCTTCGTCGTGACAAAACTATCATGCGTGAAAACTTTGCTTCGCTCTCTCTCTCTCTCTCTTTGTGCTCCGTCGGAGCGATCGGTTTCTAATTGTCTAATCTTTCTTCGCATGCATTCGCGAATATTTTCGTAAATATCGATACTCCCGCATTTTCGCGACTTTTCAGGCGTGATCGCGAAAAATACCGTAAAAGTCCGTTGGACGAGTCGATAAATTTTCACACGGTTCTTGCTCCTCGCTGATCGAGTTTATAGAGTCCGTTTCGCAGCGCGTAAAAAGTTTCCACCGATGTCGACGTAAAACGTTCGTTAATTAACGCAAATATCGCCGCTCTAATACCGCGTATCGACGGCGTCGCGGAAGTGTGGCGAAAGTGTAGCAATCAACGTGGGACGCGCTGCAAGATGGATGCTGCGCACGACATGGAGAGCGGCAACACGGACATGGGCGGACATTGATGGATCTAGTTGGATGCAACGGGACGTCATCAATATCGAATTATCATCATCGGTGAGCGTTTGATTCAATGCTCGCAGAGAGCTCTTTTATTATTACATTGTGCATGCCGCAATTTGCATTGACTTTTGTAACGAAAAATATATTCCATGAATTATTGCCATATATTATGGCCATATATTATTGCCATATATTGTTACCATATATTGTTGCCATATATTGTTGCCGTATATTGTTGCTATATATTATTGCCACATATTGCCATGTATTATCGCCATATATTATGGCCACTTGAAATCGCGCGAACAATCGAGAAAATTGAATTTGCCGATAATCGCAAGGCGCGCGGCAGACGTCATGAACGGATGACAGCAGCCCGTCTCAGGGCTGCTCGATAACAATGCTATTGATGCAATGAATTTAACTTTAAACCACAGAGGCCTCCGATCGCAGGAAGCTTTCTGTCGCGGACTAACACCTCGAGCGGAATGTTCCCGAGAAGCGCTCTTGCCGTAAATGCTGGTTATAAGCGAATTTGCCTTGTTAGAGCCTCGTCGCGATATCGTTGTCACAGAAAATAAGGAAGAAAGGAGTTAAACATCCGACACCGTTGTGAAAAGAGGGGCGATGGCGAGTAGAATGTTAGGCTCTTGCGAACGGGAGCGTTAAATTCCACCGCGGCTAATTACACGCTCACAATATTTAGCGAGTATTACCTTGAAATTTCCAATTAGATTATATTTCTCGTCAGCCGTCGTTCTGTCGCCTAGCCCCGTCTCTTTCGCCCGGGTGCCTCATTAGCTTACTTGTGTTTTACTTCGCCGGCGGCTTGTCCTTCTTCTTCTTCTTCTTCTTCTTCTTCTTCTTCTTCTTGCACGCTGGAAACTGTCGTTAGATCATGTGAGCCACTCTTGGCTCGAGCAGCTTTATTGCTTTTTCGATACCATCTCGGCGCGTGCTCATTCATTACATTTCTGTAATTAATAGCTCGGTTGTCGCGTACATCGCAAAATGGTATGGCAATTTTATATTTCTCTTAATCCATTCTATATCTTCGTGAATTCCTAGGAGCGAGGAATTTGTAAAACACTCTGTACCTATGTTTCCGATTGCAATTTTAATATTATTATCAACTTCGAATTATTAACTTATGGAATGCCAACGTGTATATATAAGTAAAAATTATTCTAAATTTTCTCACATCTCGCAATCCTAAGAAACATACACACATACATATTCGGCCTGTTTTCTGTATTAATGGTCTTTGATATCTTTCGATACATACATATTTTGAAACATTTTCTTTGGATATTATATCAAACGGATTTTGCATGTCATGTAATATCCTTTAGACTACACGGACATTATTGTTTTGATCATTTTGATTTCTTTGATATTCATTAAGAATTATCTAGAACGCAATTGTCATATTGAACGACTCAGTTGTCGTGTGAAATGTTTCGATTTTCATAAATTCATATAAAATTTTTCAGTTTTCACTAATTCACAGAAGTCTTTCAGTTTTCATTAGTTCACGCTAGGAAAAAGATTCATGATCTCCTACTCCTCAGATTTCTGTCATTAATAACTCGATAATTAATGCGAATTTCGCAAAACGGTATGAGACTTTTATATTTGTCTCAACCCAATCTACCCTCACACTTGGGGTTGGCAGCTAATTACCAGACACTTCGTATAATCTTTATGATATTAATCATACACAATGTCAATTCTTTCTTTTTGCACATGTTAACATGTTAATTCATGTTAAAAACGCGTAACAATGTGCGAGACCGTGCCTGTCAAATACGCTATTATGGTTGTAGCACACGGACATAAATCGCCTGAAAATGGATGTAGCACGGACTGCCATTACATGCAAGTTTTACCGCCGAAACCTGAAAGTAGTTGTAGCATCGTAGTTCCTCTCTCAAAATGGATGCAGATGGCGCCCTTTCCCAGTGCGGAAAGTCGGTGTTGCCGAAAACGCCGTGTTGGCCGTTTTCACGTTCCTCTCTAGTAAGACGTAAGCAGTAAAGAAAGTGATCAATCGCAATCAATTATTCTCGTCAGTTTTAAAATGGTGTCCTTAAATTTCGATTATGATTGGTCGATTTGCTTACTGCTTACGTCTTACTGCTTAAGTTCGTTTGAGTGTGATGGCCTTAATTCGTCAACGTTATTGGTCTGAATGTAAGGATCTAACAGTAAGGACCAACAGTCACTAATCGCTCACTGAGCGGTTTTCTCCGCTGAACGCACTCACTGATTTCAGTGCCCTGACATAATCTAAAAATCATAAGAATACGTAATCGTTGCTGTTTTTATGAAAATACAAACATAATATATAATAATGGATTTGTTGCTCGTGGATATTATACTGGATATTTACAAATCTGATGATAATGGTTGCGTTCAGAAAATAAAGCGCTCACTGAGCGCTTAGTAACTATTGGTCCTTACTGTTAGATCCTTACATTCAGACCAATAACGTTGACGAATTACTCAACCGTTGTGTTTTCTGAACGCAGCCGATGATAATGATGATGGTGGTGAATTTGTAAAAGGACGAGGAAAATTTTCCGAAGCAGCATTAAATTCGTCGCAAATTTTTTCTCAAGCTTCATTTTTATCTTTCTACGTTGTTCCATCGGTTCTTTTATTTTCGACAAAATGCTCATATTTTAATGTAATGTTAACAAATCAATTTCAGTTTTTGTATAATTTGCTTCTTTTTTTCCTCCTCCATTGAGCCGGATGATTTGCTTTTTCGACATTTTTTAAAACAGTTAATCGAAAATATTTATTTTCGCAAAATATAATCTCACTTGAAAGGAATTGGTTGGTTAGTCGTAGAACCCCAACAAACACTTTGGCCGCGTTCAGTAGACTCAACAGTTGGATAACATTACTAGATTTTCCACCGAATCTCGCTCCTGATTGGTAAATACTTCTGGGTCTATGAAGAATCTAAAAGAAGAATCTAAAAGAATGCTCCAATCACAAACAATAATCACTAAGCGCTCACTGATCACTTTGTTCTACTGAACGCGGCCAATGGTTGCGTTCCGATATTCACTGCCAGCACTGAAAATCTAGTATAGTATACGTAACACAAACTATGTATTTTCAGTACTGGCAGTGAATATCGGAACGCAGCCAATATTGCATGTAACGTGCATGTTGTAATTTCCTACTCAACGATATAACTGTTATATAAAACATGTGTTATATAACAGTTATATCGTTGAGGTAGGTAGAAAATCACAACTAAAGCCAGCGGCACACGGTGCTTGTTTTCGTGCTGGATTGCTTGCTGGATGAAAATACTGCGTTCTGATTGGTGCATTTCCATCCATCTTCGGAAATGTACCAATCACAACGCAATATTTTCATCCAGCAAGCAATCCAGCACGAAAACAAGTACAGTGTGCCGCTGGCTTAACATGCACGTTACATGTAATATTGTGTTTGCTGGGATTGGCCTAGAGAAGAATATGTCGCTGGCAAAATATGATAATTGATAGTACATTTCTAGTACATTTTGTGTCGAAAGTTAGTAGCATAGACATAGTATATCTAGACTGCGTGTTCGAGGAGTGGGAGTATAACTCTCGTAGAAAAGGAAGCACTCTGTTTTTACTGTTCGTTCTCTCTCGCACACAGTCCCGATGGAAGGGGTATAGGGGAGGCAGTTGATGTACAGTGCTGTACAATAACCACTGCCCCTAATTGCGAGAGAGAGAGAGAACGAACAGTAAAAACAGAGTGCTTCCTTTTCTACGAGAGTTATACCCCCACTCTTGAAATTTGGGAGACGCGCAGTCTAGATATACTATGTCTATGGTTAGTAATATGAAGAATAGCTATCTGTTAGATACGTAACCAGAGGCTTTAGTGGAGAAAATTAATTTTTAGTTATCTGATGGATATCTTTATCTGGAAGTTAGCTATTGGGAGATGTGAAGAAACCGGGCATTAGTAAATAGTTAGTCTTATGAAAAATTTGGCTGTGTATTATCGCCCTCTGACGAGGATAATGGATTCAGTTCAGCGAAAGCTGAATCATCAATCTCTTTCAGAAATGTACTCGTATTTTCCGGTTACATCGTTGTTAAAGAAGCTATTTTCTTGTCACTATTTGGATAATGATATCAGAAGCTAAGAAATTTAAAATTTTTACGGATTACGTTGAAATAAAAAGATATATTCATAGATATATACAATCAAAAATACAATTAAAAAGTTAGAAGGCAAAATTAAAATAATGACTAATTCATACAGAAAAATATAATATAATCCCAGACAGCACATATGTCCATAACTGGGACGTTTTTAAGGCATCTTTAAGTCGTCTTTAAGATGTCTGAAAATAAGACATCTTTAAGTCGTCTTAAAGACGTCTTAAAGACGTCTTATGTCCCAGTTTTGGACATTGTGCTGTCTGGGATGTAATTATAATTATAATCTGCTTTCTTAAAGTCTAGTCTGCGAAATAATCTTGACTTAAAAATGTATAAAAAAAAATTGGTTTTTTTTAAATTTTATCTAAATTTTATATTACATTTTCATAGAAAATTTATTCGTGAGAAAGAATTAAGTTAATCTAAAATTCTGATATTGTCATCGTACAATTTAGTCGCAGAGATCATTCCTTCCGGTGATTGACCTGTCCATTCATATCTGTAACGTTATTATCTGTAGCGCTCTTTAAGAAGGATATTAATTACTATACCGTAAATTATAAAATTGATTAACATGGTTTGATAATTATAGCTTTCAGACATATCTCTTATAATGTCACGGAAGAAATGATTCATCTCAGCGATGCATGTTCTTTATCTGGGACATGTTATCCACTTATCTTATATTTACCGGTGATAAACCGTGGAGAACATAGGCAATGATATACTTCGGATACCTGCTCGTATACTTGATCGGTGAATTACGTTTTATTCACGTGTATTGTCGCGTCCAAAGTTACGTATTTCGTTCGCCTGTGAAACGTGATTTCAAAAAAGTTTTCGGCTGAACGTAAAAACATGGTGGCTAAAAGCTCTGGACCGCTGCTGGAGAAGCAGATCAGCGGCATAAAATTCACAATCTTTTGCCTGAACGCCATAATATGGGTGGGTATGAGGACTTATCGCGATTGCGTTGTCTTGTGAAGTGCGTGATAGTGAAATAATAGTATATGCTGTCTAAATTGAATTGAAAGAAATGGAAAAAAAGTAGGTGCATAAAATTGATCAATGTTTAAATGAGAGTAATATATTGTATAGATAATCGGTACCCGGGAAAAAAAAAATCATATTTCATCCATGAGTGGCTATATATAATCATGAATAATCGTATATGTTCACCACGAAAAGAATATTGTTATATAAATACATTCAAAATAAATGCTTATGCTTCTGATAGCGTATACTATCGGCATTTATTTGAATAAAACCATTTGTTTCTTTTCTTATTTAACGTCATTTTTTTCGCATGGACATATATATATATATATATATATATATATATGATTATATATGTGATTATGTATATAAATCAAATTTATACGTAATTTATATATAATCATATATAATTTTATATAATTATATATAATCATATACGATCTTTTCTTCCCCGGATACTTTAACGACGATGATTGTTTTACATGTAAAACTTTAGTAATTCGATTATCAAGATCAAAATTTGTTACAAAAATTATCAAATTAGATTATATTAAGTTTTAAAGTACAAAAGTATAAAACATTTTGCTAAAGATGTTTTTTCACAAATTTTGAAAACATCATTTCACCTCGCCATTGCGTTACCACAGTTAAAGGATCAAGTTCGAAGGAATTTCTTTGAGAGACAGTATCGTTAACTTCCATAATAAATATGTAAGGCGTAATGAAAATCTTATTTTTCTCTTGGCCAAAGATTCTGGGTTGTGCGATGTTTGGATTGTCGATATGGATGCGCATGGAACCAGGCTTTGAGGAGTGGGTGAATTTTCTGGATATGCACGAATTTTACATCGGAATTTACGTATTAATCTTCACATCGGTGTTCGTCATGATTGTCGCCTTTGTCGGCTGTGCCGCCGCTCTTATGGAACACATCCTGGCTCTATATGTCGTAAGGATGCTTATCCCGCAATTAGATTAGCAATTAGATTGGAAAATAAAGCGCTTTCTAATGGGAATGTATTAAAAATTGATTTCATCTTGAGGATTTCGATGATTTTAGAATATAGGTCTCCAAGTGTTCTGTTTCATCTGCGGACTTTCTGGAGCAGCGGTTGTTCTCGACTACTCGACGTATGACAGCAAGATTCAACCTGTCATACGGCATTCCATGATCAATCTCATCAGAAACTCCCATTACGAAACGGCGAGCCTGATTCTGAGAATAATTCAAGAATCTGTAAGAAAGCTTGAATCGTGTTGTGCGATAATTCAATTACAATGATCTATTAAGGCAGAAAAAAAATAATTATCTTGAGGAAAATAAGTTATTTACTAAAATATAATATGTTCATGAAACATATATTGAAACGTTGAAACACATTTTATTGAGTGTTAATTTTCAATCGCAGTAATCAGTAATCTACCTCGGAGAAGAAAAGAAAAGCTTACTTACTTACTTCGGGATTCAAGTTATGTATTCTTGCGACATTATGTATCTCCGACAGGTCGGATGCTGTGGAGCTGACGGTCCTAGGGATTATTTGTCTATGCGAAAGCCGCTACCCACCGAGTGTCGGGATACCGTCACCGGAAACGCTTTCTTTCACGGTTGCGTCGAGGAATTGTCGTGGGTCTTGGAGTCGAAATCGGGATGGCTCGCTGGTTTGGCAATGGCATTATGCATGCTTCATGTAAGAATCAAATGACGCTACATTATTTCTAGCGTAATGCAATGTTTCTCACGTGTGTATCATTTGATTGAGTCTCTAATGTAGTTATTCTCTAATTACTTTATATCTGAGCTGAATTATCTTACCACGCTGATTATATATTACAGGTGGTCATAGGTGTGTTGTCGCTGACGCTTGTACGAGCGATTAAGAAAGAGGAGGAATCAATCACGTTCAAGCGTTAAAATAATAGATCATTTGCGACGAAATGGAAAGAAAAATAAGTTATAATTATTATAAGTTTTTACAAGAAATATTCCGATAAATTATCAGCTTCTTAGATTACTTACTTACTTCAATGTAAACAGCTCGTAGAATCCACGGTATTTTTTATTACATTCCTAATCTTTTATTCCTACAGCTCTAATTTTTAAATAGAAAACTTTTCCTTCAAAATTAAACTCGTGGATTAAAAATACAATTTATCCCAATAAACAAACTATGTTTGTACATGAATCTTATATAATTCCGATAATTTTCTCATGAGAATATTGGTTTTGTCATATCGATTTATGTTAATTATTCATGTTTCATCCGAGCATAGAATCGTGTCTTCAGCCATAGAATTCGTTCTTCTACTCATACTCCTGCGTTTTCTACACTTTTCTATTTGTATAACTTACATTTTATAATTTAATAATTGGAAATAAAAAAAGGAGAATACTATTTGCGATAAAAAGCATCACGATAAAAAAGTTGTCAAATATACAGCTAATGAATAAGTCCAATTATTAATAACTAAATTTTTAACAATTATTGCATAGTTGTAACAATATATAATTTGTTGTCGTATAAAAATGAAATATTATAGTATAATAAATATCATACGATTTTTATTTTATCTCACTTTTTTAAATCAAAACTTTCCTAAATCATCATTCGTGAAATTTATGTCTATTTAACTACTATATTTTTATTTATAATTATTTAATTAAATAAAACGATAAATTATTCATAAATTTAGTATTATTACTATCTCATATTTAGAATCATTCTTTTTTGATCGTTGCAGGATCCGCAATACGGCGGGAGTAGATTTATTCGTTATTTATTTACAAAATACGCGATATACATATACAATATACGATATACATTATAGTCAATAATTTATTTACAGTCGATATTCAGTCCGATCACAATCGTCGCTGGTACTCTATTATAATATCGAATAATAATTTGACATCTGTATCTTCGGATCTTTTTACCCGATAGGGAAAACAAACTACATTTTTCCGTGTTCTACTTACCTCGACATGCAATGGCCTAAATCGATACTGAATGTTTTTAGAAACTATAATTATACGAGATTACGGAATTGTCGCGAGTAGAAAAGAACGGAAAAATATCGTGGGTCTGTAGCATTATTACCAATCTCTACTTTCATTTGACACGGAGATGTAGTGAAATTTAACGCAACAAATGACATTTTATACTGAATTAAAAGTTTTATAATACATAATTTTTTGTAAGAGAGATTTTCTCATTCCCTCTTTCACTTTAATAATGCTATTTAATGAAACATACCTGTAATTTTAAAGATGTCGATACTAATATTACCAAGAAAAAGTAGATCAGTCATGAATATAATTAAAATTTGAGAATTGTTTTATGAGGAGTCTACTTGGCAATAAATCGCGATCAGACTGGATCGCGAAGATTTCGAGAGTTAGATTAAAATCTAACCAACGAAGGGATAACCCGGGTAGGGCACCGGCGGCGGATAATAGCCAGGATAGGCCGCTACCGTCGGTTGCACCGGCACAGTGGTGGTAACGTAAGTGGTGAGTTCGGTTGGTACGACTTTCGTGGAGAAGAGGGTGGTATAGGCGGTCTTGGCACCGAATGTGAGCTTCAGCACTCTTGACTCGGATACAGTGGCGAGAGTTTGAGTGATTAATGGCGCGCTGGTTATTGTGAATTGTGGCTGCTGAGGAAACAACGGCAACTGTGGTACTTGCGGTACCTGTGGCACTTGTGGCACCTGTGGTGGGAGTACAGGGCTCAAGGTAGATGTGCCGTATTCGTAAGATGTCCTGTAAGAAAAGAAATGCAGCGAGATATTGGAAAAATTCAAAGACATATTAGAATAAAGTTTCGATATATAGAGATTGAATTTCTTTCTTCTTCAATTCTTGCAAATTTAAACATATTCAGCAAAGTATTATAGATAGCAAACCTGGGCACTGTGCCGACTGGCCTGGACAACGTGGAGAAGACGGTATTGCCCGCGTTCACCACGGGAATAACATGTGACTCGTACAATGTCTCTAGCACAACCACTGGCCTGGACGTGGTGATCACCTGGGGTTGTGGCTGACCAAAATATTTGAGGAGGGCCAACTGTTGGACCTGTTCCGGAGTCAATTGAGCTTCGGCGCTGCTACTGCTACTGATGATATCGGTCTTCACTTTCGATGGTGACGCCGATCTAAAGACGTCCAGGTCGGAATCGGCGTCATTGTTGGGTACTACCACCCTTTTAGGCACATCTTCGTCGTCACGATCATCTTCGCCGAAATCCAACTCGAGATGCAGCTCACTGCCGGCTTCATCGAGTTTCGAATTGAATTCATTCAGCGTTTTGCTGGGAATGAACTGATAAATTTCCATCGGCGGTAACGTTTTTATTGCCGTTACCACACGCGCAATGTTGTACGTTTGCACCAGAGTTAGTCGGGTGGTGCTGTTACCGTTATAAATTACGGGTAGCATGTGCGTTTTTAGCAACGTTTGCGTTGTTGAGAACGTTTCCGTCAACGTCTCCAACGGTGGCGTCGCTTGACCGGGATCCAACGAGATAGCCGGTAGAGTCGCGACCGACGAGTCCAATGGCAGGCTGGACTCGTAGGCTGCTCCTGTGTTTGCGAGAATGTTCTCTGTTAACGGTTCGGTGGGCGAGATCGAGCTACTCGGCTCGGCTGTGGCGAAGGTCTTCTTGATCGTCGAGGTTACCGTAATGTAGCGGGTATTTCGCAATGTACCCACCTGAAAGAGAAATATTTTAGATTATTGAATTTTTCTTAAGAGGGATAGTTTCAAAATATCCAAATTAATACTGAATTACTAAAACTTACAAAACTCTCTCTCTCTCACTTTATATATATGTATATTCTCGAGATTTAATATAGAAAAAATTTTAGGATCGATTTAATGAATCGCTTCTTCTAAATTGTAATTTAAGAATATTAAAGAGAATTGTAACGAAGATTAAGATTAAAATTTACGACGAGGACTCACCTGGAAAGCGTAGGGTGACTTGATTGTGGCTATTTCAAAGTATACACTATCCTGATCCGCCGCAGTTGAAATCTCCACGTTGAGCGTCTCCACCGGCAGAATTTGTTCGCCAGCATGCTGCTGCTGATCCTGCACGCTCACGCTAGCTACATCCTCGCTTTCGCTGGGATCCAATTCGTCTTCGGTCAAAGATAACTCCTTCCTCTGAGCGTTGGCGACACCACCGGCCGTGGTCGATGCAGCGCCGAGAGATGCTGCTGACGCCACTGTTGTTCTACTATCGTCCAACACCGTCGCGGGCGATTCCGGTGTGCTTGGACTCTCTGTCGATGACGTGCGCGATTCTTCCTCGTCCACTTGCTTGCGAATCATGATCCTCGGTTTCGGCGTGGTTTTATACGACCAGCGACCCTGGGTCCGAGGTAGCTTCACTTTGGGCACCGGAAGACTGGCCGCAGTCGTCGGTTGTTGATCGTTCTTTGACTTTGTGGTCTGCTTTGAAGGCAAATTGGCAGACTGACTGCTTGGCCGAAAACCGCTACGACGACGAGTGACCGACGCCTCCGTAGTAGTTGTCGCGGGGCGATTCCTGAAGAAAAGTATGGTACATTCCAGTAATAGCTTGTGTTTCGTGAAGAAATAAATCGATTGGTGAGATTCTAATAACGATACGCAAACTCGAGTATAATGAAGGTGTGCAAGCACTTACTTGTAATTGGGTCGCGCCGTCGTCGCACGATTCTTTCCGGTTCTAGTTTGTTGCGGCTCGTTGCTGTCATAGTCCTCGGGGATCTTGTTTCGGAACTTGGGTCGAGACTGACCGCCAGCCGAATGATGCCTTCGTGTCGTTCGTATGGGGGTACCTGATATCAACAGATTTCACGGATATCAGCGATAGTTTTCCTGACTGATTTTGTCCGCTTACTTTACCGTCAGCAATTTTAGAAACATGATTAAAAAATATATATTCATTTTTATTTAATTTCATTTAATTTAGCAACGCTGAATTATAATGTCAATTATATGCTACAAAAATCCATTATATTTAAACATCAAATTATATCAAATACGTCTAAAGTATTTAAAGTACCTGGTTTCTATTGTCAGTTACTAAATCTTTCTCGATAGCAGTATGATTTAAACTCAATCATTTTTCTATCTTGAGAAATGATTGATTGACACTCGATTAGAGAAATACGTACCAGAGGACGTGTCGAAGAGCACCTCGAGCGGCAACGAGGACTCTTCCTGTTGTTGATGAGTCGGAGTAGGTTCCAGATGAGGCTTGAGCTTGCCGTGTTGGGGTCCGATGGTCTTTAGGATGCGGTGAGTGTTCGATGGTCGAATTTTGCCTTCAAGGACAGGTGCCGCCGGCGCTGTCAGAATCCTGGACGAGCTCTGTAGGACTTGAGCATATTTGCCGTTAATATAAGTGCCGATCACGCTGGTCTCATGTACAGTGGTAAGACCGTCCTTCACGATAGTGCCGCCCAATTTGGTGACTAGGCCGGTCGGATTCTCTTTATCTCTTCGTGGTGTTGCGCGCGGCTTCGCGTGCGTTTTTGACGAAGGCCGTAAATTGATTAGCTATACATTGTCGGGAGAAAAAATATATAAAAAATTATTACAATATAAAATGTCAGGCCTGGGATTAAGGTTTGCTCAAAATTGCTTTTTAATAACGTATGAAAATACGATAACATTCCTATGTATAATAATAAATGTAATTCCTATGGATAATGATAAATTATTCATAGTTATTCAGTTCTGCGTCGCACTTATATATTATGCACAATAAATTATCAAGATCACGATTTTATTCCGACGCGAGATTTCGCCGGTGTTTTACGATCGCACAAAGTCGTTGGAAAAGTATCGCGTTCGACACGCTCCGAGTGAAACCGATTTATCGCGCGATCGGATCAACTTTCACGTACCGATGGCTACCACCGCCGACAAGGAGTCGCCGTTGGGAAGGATCGACTAGGAAATCGATTACGGCACACGGAAAATTACGCCGACGCAATTATGCCGAATAATTCTTTCGCGCGGCTTGCACACAGCGGTTTCGCGCGCGAGAGTTATCGTGAAAGTCGTTCTCTGCGGACTTAGCAATTGCGCAATTTTACAACAGAACCGAGAAGCGAGAAGCGCGATTTCACGCGACCTTCCCGCTTCCTCGCTGACCACATGACCCATTTTTTATCGATCGAGGGTGCGTCCGATAAAGCGCGATTCAGTGTTTTCATCATGCCGCGAGCAAACCCGTTTCGACACATGCGCGCAAGCAAAAGTTCGTTGGAGACAACGATCAGCCGGTTTGGCGACAATTAGCGGAACCGAGAAACCAGATTCTCAATTTTCATACTCGCTGCCACTATCGCGCGAGCATACGTGCGTGCGTGCGCGCGCGCGCGCGCGATGAAGATCAATGTCGCTTTCATAAACTTGATACTTGGGTGTCCGGCTCATGATAGATCTGGCGTGGAAAATTAGCCTCCATTTCTTCAACATGTTAACATGTCATTTCGACGACCTCGATTCTCCTACCTTGTACGTCTCGTCGATCACTTCTGTAGGTTGCTTCGAGAGAAAATCGTATTCCGGTTCGGCAAGATTGTTCTTCACGCCCGGAGTCTCATCCTTGGCGCGTACTTGAACGACCGACGACAATACAGGTGTCTTTGTCGCCGCCTGCTTAATTGGTTCCTAAAAAAATCACATTAAGTTGTATTCTTTCCATGACTTTACGAGAAATTATATGATAAAATTGTATTCTATTAAAAATTTTATTAAAAATCACACATCTGCACTTGCATCTGAAATATTATCTATTAGCTTCAAAAGATTTATAATATCAAAAAGAAAAAAAAAAATTATCAAAATCTAGTCTCACCTGGTCCTTTGTGGGTTTCGGTGCGGCGTTCGTAGACGGGTTTACCACATTTTGCTCAATTACAGAATTCACGATAACTTTCGTGCCTTTTATCTGTCTCTTCGTCTCGGCCTGGGCATCCTGCTTGTGCGTTTTGCTAGGTTGGATGTCAGGGACATTCTTCTTCTGCTCCGTCGTCGGGGGCTTCGTGTGAATCGCCGGTGTGGCGGACGTGGTCTTCTTCCCGGTGTCCGCCGCCTCTGGAACAACACAACAACGACGCATTAGCATACTCGGCGACTGTCGAGAATAAAAATCGCGGGGTCGCGGGAGTGGAGACAAGACTAAAAAGAGCGTACCGAGGACCAACACCCGTGTCCAAGGACTCGCCGAATACTTTATTCTACGCAGAAAAAGAGCTCGAAATATACGTGAGAGTATTTCTGCACGATTTCATTCCGATTGTATAACGACACCGTGCTTCTTGTGCTCTAATCTCTTAATTGCACACTGGTCGTAACCGTATTGTTCTCCTTTACTTCGCTCGCACCGCTCATCCATATTATTCGCTCTTACAGCAATGAATTCTCACGAGCGTCGGTTGCGCGATTTCACATTAATTGGATTTCACATTAATTTCGCCGATGACGACGTAAACGACACTGCTGCAAACAACGTGGATTTTCGGCTTTGTTGTTTCGGGATACTCGCGTGCCACGATCATTAATATCTTTCATCGCGTTTCCTAGATCTACATCTTTATCTGGAACAAAGGAGGAAGCGGACGAGAATGTTTGCGGCTGTAAGTAACGGGTGGGTGGTTCAAAAGTCAAGGAGACGACATGACGAGCGAACAATGAGCATAATCTGTACGCGGACCAACGCAGCGATATGCTAAAGAGATTGGGCCATCTCGGCGTCCCTCGCCAAGGCTTTTTACGTGTTGTACAGAGAGTCCTCAGCGAGTGCCGTCAAGGTCTCATCTGTAACTCGAAAAATCACACCCATAATGTCGACAGCATCGAGTCGCGATTGCGCTTAGAGGATGATCCCCCGCATCACTCGCACATCGCACAATCGCAATCACGTAAAAGGACATGAATAATGATTTGATGATGGAGAATCGAGGAGGCGTCGATGTAACGACGATATAATGCCGCGGGCATGATTTTGATGGATAATTATTTGCCGGCAAAGCTTCGACAGCATGATCATTCTCACGCATTCATTCAGCGTGATAAAATCCTCACGCATTTTGAGGATGATTATACCTGGTGGCGCGCTCTGAGGACTGAAAACCATCACCGTGTTGCCAATGGTCGTGGTGAAGTCCAAGAATCCGTATACGGTTTGCGTGATGAAGTCATTATTCGTAGCCGCCGGTTCGACCGGTGCAACTGCGTCTACCGGATGGCTCTTGTAGACTTGCGCGGCAGACGCTGCAACTGCACAAGGTCGTGTGAGGAGAGCTCGCCAAATCCTCTCTTACATTCGCATAATAACGCTATCGAGGGACTGATTATAAAGATGAAGATACCGGCATAAAAAGTTGTGGATTTGCAATTATAAGATATAATTACCGTCTTTGCCGTCTCGTAATCTCAAATAAAAAATTCGACTGTGTTTCTCATTTGCACAAATTAGTAATAACGAGTGAAAAAATGTTGTGCTCTTTCTCCCGACGAGATATGACACGCTGGAAGGAAGATTTCACACGCAAACGCGTCTTCGTGGCGCGAAGGGATTCGCATTTTATCTAAAAATTTGCATCTGTTGGCGATGAAATCACGTTACTCACCGCACGCTAAAGTTATGACAAATACAAAGTGTCTCGTTGTCATTGCGCTCAGTCTGCTCTCATCCTACGCAGGAGCATGAATCTTGGAACCTGAAAACATAAAATAAAACGAAATGTCGAAAAATCATCACCATTATATATATATGAATCGCAATGTGACTTGCGTAATCACCGATATCCGTTATATAGTTTAGAGCAATCATTTTCCACGATTGTGAGAATCGAGCAACGATCTACGGATGATTACGTAATTATCGCAGTCGCTTATGATTATCCTCGAAAGCAAATCAAGAAAAAGGTAGAGGATAAAAAAAAAAACGCGCATTACATCAATCGACGCGCGAATATGTCGTTAATTTACAAAGCACCGTTACTTCTCTCTCTCTCTCTCTCTCTCTTTCTCTCTCTCTCCCTCGCCTAACAGTTAACAGTTATGTAAAAAACACGTCGAACACCGTCTCATTAGAGATAACGTCTCGGCGATTATCCCGCTCACGTTCCTTTACGGTAACTGGCAATTATCAAACACCTACGCGATAGATCGTCCTCGGATTTGCATAGTTTACATCTCTCCATCGCTACGGAAGAGACGTTCCAGCGATGAAAAGATCGACGCGTCTCGCATCGAGTGCGGAACAACAATGACGAGTGAATGCGTCCGAGTTACGGGTGCTTTTCGCGCAGAAGACAATCGATTAACGAGAGACACTGACATTGTTGATCCGCCGTAATCAAGTATAAGCGAGAAGCGAAAAGAACGGCTCGATCTCACGCTTCAAGTAGTCAAATGTCGCAAGCGAAAATTTCCTTTTCATTCGATTGCTATCTGCTCGAGCGGCACGAGCATTGTGAGGCGCGAGCTCGCTCGGGAAGCATCCTGTGTGAAGCAAACGCAACTTCAACATACAATCGCGAGCATACGGTAACGCGCGCGCGTCCGTGCGACGCGAAATCGTTATGTAACGCCGGGGAGGGGTGTTGGTAATCGTTTAGCCCGAAACAATAGTAAAAGGCGCCTCCAAAGAGGCACGACCGGAATCCGTAATTTCAGATCGGATTGAAGCCGACAGCAACCTCGAAAGCGCGCGGATTTTCTATTCGCGGCAGTGCGTCGCGTGTGCCGTTACAGTGCGCGCCGTTGCTACTTCCAATCGCCATACGTGATGACCAGAGTCCCTCGGAGGCACATCGAGGAAATATCGATTCCGAAATCGGCCATGAAAACCGTGACGATGAAGAACATATCCGACGAAGCTTCTCGGAACACCTGGTCTAGTTCTAACGTTGCAATGCGTCGCGTGACCCGACGCGCGTTGGCGCGACAAGTAGATTCTATTCCTAATTGATGCTCTGAGATATGTCGATGTACCTCCAGATTCTACTCTAATTTCGTTCTACGTCCGACGAGAATTCGCACGACGCCGCTCGGCAGCTGAACGTCTTTTAAACGTCCAGCGATTTTCCCGAAGGTGCATTGAGACAGCGCAGCATCGCGGAATCCGAGCTCGCTCCTTTCACCCGTATTCTCTCACGACACCGCGGCAGATCTCTCGGCGAGCGGCTGCGAGCTGAAACCGATTGTGAGATTTAAAAAGAGGTACGAGCACAACGTCGCGGAGTGTGCTTCTAATGATAGGGATATGCGGCGAATTATCGCGAAGCGGGGGGAGTTTGCAAATATCGTTGCAACCTCTGTCGATTTACGAGCTTGCCTCAACGTTATGGGACTTTCATCGTTATTAAATAATCGCCAACAGAATAAATTTAATATTTTTTAGAACGAAGCGGAAAGAGAGTTTTTTGTAATCCATCTGTCATTCACATTAACAGTAATATTAGCATATAATATGACAGAGGGAGACGGAGAGGGTGCGAGTTTAGGATTTTGCGGATGTGCATCCAAGTTGCGAATTGAAATAACAAAGGCCGAGAGACGAAGCAGCCGAAAATAATTACCGCGAGAATTCAAGGTGTACGAGGTAATGATCGTGCTGATAAGTCATTCCTCGACTCGCGAAGGAGAAAAGGAGTGGCCCTACTACTACTACTACTCTCTCTCTCTCTCTCTCTCTCTCTCTCTCTCTCTCTCTCCTCTCTCTCTCTCTCTTTTTCTTACTCTGTTCTCTATCATACATATACATGTGCGGAATGTAACGACAAAAAAGAACTGCTATGCTGCAACCCGTGCATAAATCTCAGACAAGTATTCAAGTGAACCCTTTCCCGTGTGCAGTTATTTTTTCGCGACCGGAGGAACGCCGAATTGCACACGGAGGATATTCGCGTGGAGAGATCTAAATTAAATTACATTTATATAGATTAAATTCTGGTCACGTCGGACCTCGAGCGTTGCAGACGCGGTCCCGCGATATTTCTTTCGATGGACACGCAAATTAGCGATCCGCAGGTCGCGGAATTGCACGTTAGACCGGTTAATTTATTACGTCCATGAGCGTGTGTTTCGTGGTCAAGCGTGACGCAGGTCCCCATGCCTCCGGGGGGGAGCCATGAAATATGCTAAAAACCGGTCATCAACGGCGCGAATGGTATTCCCTGCCAGTCGATCTGCCAAGATCACGGTCAGCTCGAGACCATCGACCATCGACCATCGACCGGGTCCGAGAGCAACCGCCTACGCATTCCACGGTTCCATTTTCGGCCCGAGACGTCACTTTTCCCTGCGCGCGAAGCTGCAACCGATGCAGCTCGTTCTCGCCTTCCTGTGTCCGGTACCGCGTCCTCGCGCGCAGCTTCCAGCTTCGTCCAGGAACGAAGAGAGAGCCCCATCGACGCACGGTGTTCGCTTAACTTCGCTTTCGAGTAGTTTCTCGCTTTTTGTATCGCTAACGTATGCTAACCAGTTTCTACTCATTTCCCCTTTTTCTTGGGACATAAACATGTCGACGTTGGGTGTCAACGAACGACGACGATTCATTCGCACGGCTCCAGAGAGACAGTAAATCAAACGGCACTGTTTAGCATAAGTAATAGAATTGAAGAAATATTTAACATATTCACGCCTTTTCGAGCGGAACAAATTCCCAACGCGATTTTCTAATGTTTTCGTAAGGCACAACAAATTTCTTAGAGAAATTCCAACGTGTTTTCGGAGGGCATTAAGAGTGACATCTTTCTACCTGTCGATCTCCCGGTGATTTTCTCGAACATCTCTTACACGACGGTTAAATCGCACGCGGGGTAATACACGAACGATCATTTGGACGCGAATTCACGCATTTACGTCTGACGCAAGAGCGACGCAATCTCCTAGAGTGGAAGTACGCATCTTCCAGCTAGGCGAAGCGCGGGCTGTCGTAGCCTCGCGCCTTAAACTCTGAGAATCCTCGGGAAAGCACTTTCCCATACATGTGGCGCTGCTGCTTTTTATTCTTCTTCTTCTTCTTCTTCTTCTTCTTCTTCTTCTTCTTCTTTCATTATGGAAAGGTTTCATTATGGTAGGAAAGGTTAAGCCGAAGCGTCTGACAAGTTATTGTTGCTCTTCGTTCCCAAGAACAAACGCCGCTAGCGTTGATCTAGTCATTATCCTCTCGAAACATCACCGAGCATCACTGTCACATAAAAAGTTCCGCGTTGCACTATTTCCGTCCTTCCGGGTATCTCAGGAGAAAAAGCAGGATATGCGATTTTCTTTTACTTGGGAGAAAAGTTGATGTCGCGAATTTATACGTACAGGATAGGATAAAAATACCTGGGATCCGACAGCAGGTGCAATTTTGAGAGATAAAGTTCCGGAGATCATCATTGTTAATCGTAGCTTGTGAGAGTTGCATTTTCAAAAATAGAGTCAGAATTTCGTCCATTTAAATATTTCGAATTGCAACGAATACAAGACATTGTTTCCAACTTCCTTGTCAACGGCAGGATCACGGTCGTCCGCGACCGTTTCATTGGTTTTGTTACGTCGATTTTTCACACTCGTCTCGAGGACGATCCTTTTTCTTCCTACTAGAATATCCTACATCGCGCGGCCTTTCCCAGCTGAATTTCTCGCGGAGATGTATGCTTTTTTTGGTGGGATCACGCTAATTTCTAGTCTGGTAATTTATTCCTCGTGGCTTGTGGGTGCTATCGGTTTCTCAGTCTCTTTAAGATCATCTCCAAGATCGCGTTAGAGACACGGCAGTGCTCTCCGAGTCACAGCTCGAAGTGAAAGCGAAGCGTACTTCCAATTCATTTTATCGCTCGCAGCTGTCGAAAGTATCGCGGGTGTTAAAAGCAAAAAAATAGAGAATAATTATGTGTGTTAAATATTGACAAATTACAACAACGTCACACACACACACACACACACACACCAAACGCAACATAATGAGCGTAAATTATTTTACTGCCCGATGCTAGGAAACATACAGATTTTCAACACGGCGCTATTGCGAATATTACTACCATTTTCTTGCTCTTAAAGATCTCGTCGACGAGTTAAACGCTCGTTCGCTCGATATCCGCTTTGAAAATTGCCGAGCTTACCGCAAAACCGCGTCGGATTGGATTCCATCATTAAACGATCGCGCGCGTTTGCGAAAGCAAGAATTGCTCGCAATGTTCACAGACGCGAGAACGAACGAGATAACGCAACGGACGATTACAGCAATTCGAACATAGCGGTAGCGGGCGTTTCGCTCACGTTGACCCCCCCGGTGAATTGAATTCGCACGAACATGGACGAACGGGTTTATTTTCGTGGATGACAAAAGTGTTTACAATCTTACACGCATCCTTGAAACGCGATTTTACGTCACTTCGCATCTTTTTCGTCTCGATTGTTCGAATATTGAAGCCACGTGATGCTGCACGTTAGCGTAAAACGTCCGATATTCTACGTGCAAAGTAGATTTAAAATTAATTAAAATTAATTGAAAGATATGACGTTGTCTACCTTTGCGCAGATGAAGCTGTAAAATACACTTCATTAGTGAAATATCCAATGTAACGGGCGCAATCGTCCGATAAAAATGCGAGGAAGAAAGATACGAGCGAGGTAACGCGTACATTACCGGAGTTAGCTGCGATTAGCGCAACGGGATGTGTGAAATTTTCCTGCCGCTTATGGCGCAGCCAGCATTGCTGGTTATTTCTTAATTGCTTCCTGATCGGTCGCAGAGCGTGCGATCGAGCCCAGATCGACCCAGATTTTCCTTTTCTCGCGATGGATTTGAAGCAAAAGTCTAGGACGGTGTAAGGCGGGTGAGAAGGTAAGATGTAAGACGGACGGTCAGTCGGTCGGAAGCGGAAGCTCACTCGGTTTTCACTCGGAACCTTTAGCGTTCCGCGAGTTATTTTACTTTCCACCAGCGCAAGTGCATACGTAACCCGTACGTACGTACGCACTTGCACGCTCCCGTTCCCGCGAGATCATCGCGCTGGAAATGCAATCGCCGCGCAATCCTAATCGCGCTTGTTACCGTGACGATTAACCGCGAGGTGCCAGCAAGTTTCATCCGAAATTCGCAATCCGAAAAGAAACTTGACGAATCGAGAATTATGGATCGCGAAATGGATGGAGCTTCATCCCGATATACAACGACGTAAAATTGTACAAATAATAATAATAATAATAATAATAATAATAATAATATAATACGTGAAACCACAGTCCCTCACAATTGCAGATCAAATTGCGGGATATTACACGAGGCAAAGTAAACGTGCGAATCTAAAATCGTCAATGTCGAGAGTCACGCGGAATCTAACATACGACACACGATTGTGAGTGAGTTCCTGTGAATCTGTAGAATTATATATAAATCGCACAGTCACATACAGGATTTACCCTACGTTATTCAGGGTTAACGAAATTGCGAAAGCCTGTCCGCTCTGTAATCACGCCCTTCTCGGTAATCTCACGGTGCATTATCATGGTTACGTGATTAGATCGAGACTGCGGCGGTATGTGTATCGAGGTGAGCGAATCGAGAGCAGTGAACGTGCTTTCGCACGCACGCTGTCACGCGCGTGGACCACATAAAATCCCGTGGTCACGAGCGGGCGACGCGCGTTGCACGTGTCGGATCAGAAATATCCGCGTTAAACGGGGCCTCGACGGCACGTGACAGGGCCCGCTTAGAAAGCAAGCTCAGTTTCTTAGGAATGTCCATTTAGCAATCGCTCCTCGACTGGCCCCGAATGGAAACGCAGTTGCGATCGAATAAGCGCAAGTTTGAGGAACGACACCAAGCGTCGGAGTGTCGAATCCTGCGGATCTTTTTACAATGTCGCCGCTCCAACTTAACATCAATATAGATTTTCTCTAATAATCGAGTTACACGAGTAACGACGAGCCCCGTCTGTCTGTGACAAAGTGGCTGACAGATCAACGTCTCCTGCTGATTTTTCTAATCAAAATTCAAAACAAGAAATCACGCTGCAAAGCACTACGGCACTACTACTCTTGCTTCTTTCGGACACACCCTGATGTGTACATTAGGTATACCGAGCACGTAATGTAACGCAATGCGCGAGATATCCCAATTACAACCGGGAACCGATGCCAGAGATGCCGTAGGGAACGTACAGAGACGGTGCAAACAGTTATGTTTACTTTCACTTGTATCTCGTTCAGCTTTACAGCTAAGACACACAGAGAATGCATGGCCTTCCGTGAACGTCACATCTTTGCGATACGCCCGAGAAATTATGCATATGATATGAGAAAATGTGATAGTTGTGAGAATTAACAATGTTAATACAGTTCTATGAATATTAATTGAATTGAAGTTTGAGATGCGCAGTGATTTTCTGCAAGTGTTCATTCGAGAGTCTTGCTCTTCGAAAGTTGTACAACTTTGGACACCTTGACAGCAAAAGCCTTAAGTGAAAATTGAAAGTATAATGACTAGTGACAATTCAAGAGAAATACTTTGCAGTCATGCGTAGTTATTTCGCCAATATGGTTCGAATCTCTTTTATAGCTGTGATTAAAGGTCGAAAGTGACTGATTTGAAATTTCGCTTCGGGTGATTTCATTCTTCTTAACCGCGACGAAGCCTATTCATCGTTATTCACTGCCACATCGGATGCAACTGAATTCCCAGGCGTATCGTGAGACGAGGATGACATTCACTCGTCCATTTACAGCGCACGACCGTTAACTATACTTCTATGATGCAGACACGCGTGCAGCCTCGCAGGATTCATTCACGCCGACGAGATATTAATTGATAATGCCGCGAAGTCATGTTCTAAGAATAATAAAAGATCAGTGTGCTACGAGTAGAAGTATAATGTAATCGAAATTTTGTATGACGATCGATATATAATTTTATTTCATACTTATGAAACATGAAAGCCGAGCGAAGTGTTTGTCCAATTTGTTTATTTATTTATTTATTTATTTATTTATTTATTATTTTATTAATAACTCGAAAAAACTGAATTCGAATGAATTTCTTCAAGTGCTGATGAAAACGTGAACTAAGAACCGGCAATATTTCTTGCTTCTATTGAAAGTTTGCGCAACGGCACGAAGAAATTCGACTCGGCGTTTCTTCCTGTTCTCGGCTGAATTAAGATCGAAAACATCGTCGCATTCATATCTCTTCCGTATAAATTAAGCATAAGACGCGGACGAGTACTCTCTCGCAGTCGCGTCGCGAGTCGCGCTTTCTCTCGTATTAATAGCTTCTATATATGAAAGTAACACGATTCTTATTCATTAGTTACTCCGATCGCTATACATTTGTCTTGGAACATCTCTTACGGGCGGTAAAAAACACAATAGAATAAAGAAATTATAATAAATAATAAATAATACAAAACAATCGTTATTTGCATGATCTAATAAAAATTCCTTCGTAATATATTATGTTTTTACAAATTATAGATCAAGTATCTTGCGCGATAGATGAAACATAAAATTACTTGAAACTGTATATATATATATATATTACGTTTAACTAAATTTTGAAAAATTAAAAAAAATATTAAACAAATGGTTTAAATAAATTTAGCTCTAACTTAGATATATTCAATTATAAAATGTATAATAATTGATTATTTTCTTAACAGTATAAAATATTGCTTTTGACGAATTATAATGCTTATTTTTGTATCACTCGCAATTCTATATCCCTTCCGGGGTTGATAGAAACAGTAGAAAAGAAAATCTATTGTGGTTTTCTACATACCAAATCGCGCGGAACTACGTTGTCCCCAGACTCGATCTTTTCAGAGATGCTCAACGTGACAATTCGCTGACGACTACACGATGCACGGCGATCAACATGCCAACTCTTAGCTCGCTTCGTACTGACTGCGCGAGACCATGGGCCCACAGTGTGAGCCTCCGCGATCCTGGGGCTTTCACTTCGCGAGTAACCGTTTTGCGGTACTCACCACAGCGTCTGGCTACGGCACCTTCGCGAATCGCCGATCGTTGATAAAGATATAGCCGATTCAATCCGGCATAACCACGCGCCGTTATCCCTACGGAACGAAAATATAAATATTCGAATATTTATAAATATACAGAAAAATATTCGAGTATCTCGTATGCGACTTCATCATATTTTATTACGTTTATTTATTTAGTTATGTATATAACCAACAACATATATATATGGTGCAGGATTTTTAATTTCAGTAATTTAAAAAGAAAAACTTAATTTTTGTAAGTTTACTGTACAGTTCTTTGTTACTGTGGTATTTTGGTACTGTGCGTAAATATTAAGATGGGATTATACTTTTTTAATATTGAGAGAAATGACGAGGTGATTAAAGTCAGCTTTAAGTACCGCTTTCTGCACGAAATACTCGAATATTTAATACAAATGTAATCTAGTACCTTACGAATTAATAACTTCATTATATTGGAAATACTTGGATGATATACATGTATCGATTATGTGTTATTATAACAGACTCTACTTATTGTGATTATTGTAAATTATATTAAGTTTATACACAATTATATTGCAGTGACTGCAAAATTCTACGGAATTGTATCATGATAAGACATTGCAGTAAGCCACATGTCCCAATTTAACATATGTAAAAACATTAAAAAAAAAAAAAATCTATATACATATGCATTTCAATCAATAAAATTTAACGTATAAAATAACATATAAATTAATATCGCAAAAAGGACATGTTCCGCGTTTATAAATAATTATGGAAAGTTCTTTAGCTATCTTAGCAAGAGTCTTCCTCCTCAGTAGGAATATCTTCCCGATGTTGTTTCGGATTCCATCGACGCCACAATAATTCCCTTACAGTAAATTCAGAGAGTATTTCAGGGCTAGTCATACTGAGATCTTGAGATACAGATGACGGCCATAAAACTTGTGCGAAAAGTATCTCCTATTTAAAAAAAATTATATATATATATATATAATTTTTACTATACATATAAAAAAAAAATATATATATATATATTGTAGTCATAAGTTATATTAATAATAAGTGCACATGTATATACTTTTGCAGCAGTTTCGGACAGTCTTTCTAGTCCAAACAAACTGTTCCATGTAACGGATCGACTGGATGTAGCAGAATCTACAATTAACGAGTCCGCATCTACTACCTCAACTATGACGATGTAAGAAGCGTGATAAAAGGGTGGTCCTTCTTTATAAATCACTAAAACATTAAGCAATATTCTAGACAGACATAACATAGCATTTGTGTCAAAAATATTTTCAAACAGAAAAATATTTAACATTTAAATAGTTTTCTAATAAAAGAAGTTACTTATGGACTTTACGATTTACTGAAATGTATTCTTATGATATAGATAATATTTAAAAACTTTAGATAAGAAAATATTTAAAATATACAAAAAAAGACGTAATAGATACTAACAAAAATCGCCGCCATATTTGATACCAGATTTAACTATCCATCCTTTACTTCTGTAATAATGGTAGACTACATATTTCTGCAGGAAGTCTGTTTTTTCCTTGCAAAAGTATAGCCAGGCGTTGTTAATGTCAATTAGACTGCCATCGAAATGAACCACTTGTAGGCAACCTAATCCGAACATTAGAAAGAAGGTTTCTTCGAAAGTAAGATGGAGAGCCTCACGAACGGGAAAACCATCGTTCTCGATTTTCGGTTTGATATTCTGCAAATAGTTTTCCGTCTCCGAATCGCTGTCCGGCAGAACTAACACAGTTCCATGAAGATTTTTGTCGTCAGTTGCACGATCATCAGTGCCTTTGAAATCGTAGTAATCTAAGTTGCAGAGTTCCTCAACGTCTTTCTCTTCTTCTGGGCAATCTTGATTATCATGAGTGATATTCGTAATAACACAAACATCGTCACATTTATCAGAGTTTCTATTAGCGATTACGCATATATCATCTTCCTCCGCAGAATCTAGTACAATTTCATCGACTTCTGCGTCTTTTGTGTTAACTTCGTTATTCTGCTCACTATCATTCTCAGTAGTGGAATTTGAATATATTTCGACAATATCATCCAAGTTTTCTTTCCGGCTATCCATATTTTTTTCTTCATATAAAATATCCATTTTTGTATCTGCAATTACATCATTACATTATATATTGCATATATTGCACTTTAAAAGAAAAGAATTTAAATATCAATTTTCAGTTATAAATCTCGGACTTTGTACAACAAACTTAAACCTAAATGAATAACAAACAAGAAGAAACTTGAATAAATAAAGATTAAACTTCATAATAAACTTAAAAAAATGAAGATTAACTTTCTAATGGACAAGATGTTTAATTTTTATAATATATAATATATGCATTTTATATTATATACATAAAAATATCCCTTATCTCTTATACCTTTGTAGTTGGAAGAAGTAGTTGAATTTAACTCCTTAACTTCTTTCAACCATTCTTGCCTACGAAGCCACTGTCTGTTCCGTACTACTGGTGGTGCTCCATACCTTGGTTTACCAAAGGAAGGATAACTACGTGATAGTGATCCCTTGCCAAAAAATCCCTGTAAATGTTTATATTTAGCTATTGTAGATATATGAAAGATTAATCTAATAAGGCTTATCCCTACTACCATGGAATGTACTGCATTAATCTCTTCAGGTTCAATTATACATGAGCCCACATCTGTTAGATGAGCTGTATATACTGGCCATTCTTCTGTTCCATTTAATGGAATAGGAAATGGTATCTGTGGGTTGGACTTTGCTCTTTTCTTTTTCTTTGGTGGTCGCAGATTCATATTCAATTTACACAAAACTGTAAAAAACTTTAATGATAAATATTTATTAGAAAATAATGATGTTTATAGCGTTAAGTAAATATTTACGTGTTACAAGAATTAATTAAAAAAATATTTGATTCATTGAAACAAGACATTACATCATCTAATATCCTGAGTAAATTATTTTTTATATAAGATGAATAACTCAAAATACATGTTTTTAACTGAAACAAAGAAAATATTTCACGTTCTATATTTAAATTATCTTCTAGTATCAAAAGATTTTTACTTCTTCAAAATTAATAATTTTAGACATCTAATACCTGTAAGTTGTCAAATTAAGTTAGGTTAGGTTAGGTTAGCCTAGGTCAGGTCAAGTTAGGTCAAGATCGGAAGTATGTTCTTTGTAGCTGTATTAAGTTGCACTATTTACACTTCAAATAAATGTGTGTGTATGTATGTATATATATATATATATCAGAAATCTAATAGACGAAAATAAAAATATATATCACTACATATAACATTATTTGGTATTACTGGATTCAGATAAGGCAGCTGTAAATACTGCAGTAAAGGCAGCTGTAAAACAAATGTGAAATAAAGTTTGTTTCTATTTTGTAACTTTGAAGCATTACAAAAATATGTAAAATAGTATTTCAGGCATTATGCATGAGAAAAATAATATTATGTGACTGCAACATTCCATTGTTTCTTCAATTTCTTCTTATAAAATAACTTATGCACATTAAATCTTAAAATTAAGAGATTATTTCCAAATCACTCTCATATTTAAAAGAAAATAAAGATTATGTGCAACATTTAGGAAATTTTATAACACACATTATCCTTATTTTTTATTACACACATAATCTTTACTTAATTTGAATATGAATCTAAAACGATTTGAAAATAGTCTTTAGTTAGGATAATTAAAAGGAAAAATAAAGGAAGTTTAACTTTACGTTTGTTTCTTCCAATTTGTTGGAAATATGCACTGGATCAGTAGGGCTTTTCAATTAGTTCATTGTCAATGAGGAAATATGGTCCTAAATTACATACATGAATCAAAGATTCTTTTGAAAATTGATATATCTAATTTTCATGATGATTGTTCAAATCTTTTATCTTTTAATATCTTTTTTATTATTTATGTTGCGGCAATTTTCAACATTTCTGCTATATCGACAATTTTTTCGCGCGATTTTCCCAATTGTTTACCACGTTCACACTCAACCCGATCAATCTTCTCCCAGTCACTATAAGATACGATCTGAACACCTTTAGAGTCCAGAATCTTACGTAAACCATCTGATCCTGCTTTATTCTCTTTCAGGGACCCTTTCAATTCCTTACATATTAATCTACCGACTTCAAAAGCGTTTGTCATGGTCGATAAAATGACGCCAACTGGACCAGTCGCTGCCCATCCAGTACTGTAGAGGTTTCCGTCGACTTTGCCGGCAACGTTCTCTACGCGTCCCTTTCTTACGTCGAACGGAATTGAATTATCGATTTGCAAGGATTTGTAGCCGATACTACGTAGAGCCAAACCGCATGTGATTTCCTCAAATTCGCCGATCGCTTCAGCCACCTGATTTTGTATCATGTCCCCTCGTAGACGATTGACGGACAGACGAATGCTTTTCACATGATCGGTACCACGAAATTCTAGTGGACTTCGTAGAAAAATAGGATGTAATTCTTTGGTATATGTTGAATTATTCGTCAAATTCATCGATTCTTCTAAAGATTTCAGCATAAGTTCTGTCAGTCTTTTTCGTGGTCTGGCTAAGGTTGGCACAATTGTCTGAACACCCGCGAAGTCTTGTGGTCGCCAGACAGTTTTCATGTTTTCTAGTTTAATGAGCTCACGTAGTTCCGCGATTGTAAATGCTACTTGTAGCGGTCCTCTTCGTCCAATCATGCTGACTTTGCGTACTCTGCTCTGAGATAATCGATCCAGAGCATAAGACGTGATATCTGTATTCTGAGAAAATTAAATAAAAATTCCCATATATTTGCTATATTCTAATGTGTGAACACAAAATTGTGTGACTTTAATAAAATCGCTCAGTATAAGTATGGAAAAGTCAAATATTAATTTAAAAATATAGTTGAAATCTTAATTAATAATTACCTTAAGTTTATCGACTGGCATCAAGAGAATCCTCGTAATGTCTACAGCTACATTACCTTGGCCTATAATAACTACTTCTTCTACATTTAAGTTTATTTCCAAATCCTTATCAGTTGGTACTCCATTATACCAACCAACAAAACGTCGGCCTGATATAATATTTTCCAAATTTTCACCTGGTATATTGAGCTTTTGATCTTTTTGGGCACCGAAAGTCTGAAATAATAATATAGAATTTAAAGGATAATTATCTATATAAAAAAGATTTATTGCTGTTATGTATAAGAATATGAATATTTGTTGTATATCTTAAATTAATTAAATTAGAAGGATGTAACTCTGAGCCATACTAAGTTGAGTTTTATTTTAATCAATTCAATTTTCCCCACAAAATGATTGATAACAAAAAAATGTTTCAGATGAAAATGGAACGGTTTTTAAGGGGACGTATTTTCGTATTATACATTATTTTTTTTTAAATACAAGCACCAAAAAGATACGAGGATTACATCTATTTTTTGAAGTAGAATTGGAAAGTAGGAATTATTCATTTTTATGTATTTACAATTATAACCCAGAAAAGGAAAGGAAAGGAAAGGAGAAGAAAAAGAAATGACTAAAGTATATTCTAAATATGACTAAAATACATTCTCCTCAAACAAAACCGTCTTACTTTCATCTGAAATGTGTTTTTGTATCATCAATCATTTCGGAAAAGACTAATTCGATTAAGATGGGATATCCTATATATACATACCAATAACACAGCATCATAAAGCTCGCGCAGTTGTGGAACAGTGACATCTGTGCCGATGTTAATATTTCCTAAAAATTGAACGCGCGGATTAGTAGCTGTTTTATGAAAGGTGTTGAGGACGTTTTTCACTTCTGGATGATCTGGAGCAACTCCAAAGCGTACAAGGCCGAAGGGAAGCGGTAGTTTCTCCAGTATGTCGATTGTCACATCATTCAAACCCTGTAAAATATTACTTATTTTTATACGGTACTGTTTATCTGTATATTTTGCGATCTAGATTTTTTAATTTTATGCTGATTTTTCTATATATTAATTTCCACGTTTTCATGAAGAATATTTATATTTAATATTATTATGAAAATATTGCCATTAATGAAAATCTCAGGAAAATAAAATAATATAAGCAATTTCCTTCTGTAATTACAGTGAATTTTCTTTTTTGCAATCAATTTATGTTGTATGTTAGTACCTTCAGCATCTGTTGAGCCGCGTAAAAGCCTGCAGGACCTGCTCCGATAATGCACACCTTCGGCGTACGCTGTTCAGTGGACAACATGCGAATGTTGTTCCCGATAAAATTTAATCTCATCTCTACAAGTCGTGTTGATCTAAAACGTGTATTAGATTTTCAGCTGCTGATTTATCTTTCAAACAGGCAGGCAGCCGAGACATTTGCACAACATTGTTAATGTTATCCATAGAAAAAATGCTTTATTTTAAAAATTAAACCTCAACTTACAAGCACAACACTCCAGTTAGATCTGGAATTATTTATTAGTATATGTTATTCATCGTTGAATTTGTGACTAAACCGTCGCTGTGTGACATTACCAAGGACTATAAATTAAGCATTAGCAAAATAATCGTTTGTGTGATTTGGTTGGACAAAATTAGATTTTCTCGTTATATATGTTAGAAGTTAATTTGAAAAACAGATATTAAAAAGTAAAATAAACAATTCTTCTCTACTAAATGAAAGAAGTGATTTCTCATCAGTCCCTGATAATTATAGCATAACACATAAGCATACAACTCTTTCACTTTTATTTTATATCCTACCTTCCCAAAGATGCAGCCAATTTTTCCCATTCATGATATTTCATTTTATATTATGCATTTTATAGATATACGAAAATTTTGTACACACGTAAGTTATATCTTCGTTAAATAAATAAAAGGATGTGCGAATTTGCAGTGCATGGAAAATCATACATGTATTATTTACATATTATGTATATGACTATATATACATTTTTATAATTCCCTCGTTGCTACGTTTTGCTTAATGTATCAAGTACACGAAACGTGTGCAACTTGATTGCAAAATGATTAAGTTGCATTATAATAGGATACTGGTCCCACTCTAAAAGAAAATGGCTTTGTCAGATATAGAGTGTAAACACAAATAATGAGACTTTTGCACTGTATAGTGCAGATAATGATATATAAATTATATATTAAATGATGTAACAAATTTCCACAGAGAATTATTATAAGTAAAATTTTGTATAAAAAATTATTATTTACTTTAAAGAATATTATTCTGTTCACCAAGTATCTTTGAATATTTTGCATAAAAACATATACATATATTTTAAGGAAAATATATTTGTGCAAAATAAACGTTTATATATATCTGAGAATCTTACCATATAAGATCATCATAGGTATTATCGACCAAATTGTCATGTTCTTACTGAGTGCATCATATGATGCAGCAAGGATCGTACGCAAGTAATTCAATACTTTCTCGTCACGTCGATACGTCTTCAATATAATATGATAGCTTTTATCAGCATGAATCTCTGTAATTATCCTCTCAAAAGAATTTCCCAAAATGTATAAGAGACTGACACTCAACTGTGTTAATAAAGGATAATCAATGAGAACGAGTGTCTGTTCAATTTGAAGTTTTTCTACACAATCGCAAACTTTGGCGATTATCTGATGACTGTCGTAAACATGAATAAATTGGAAGCTTAATATGTTGTAATGCTGATCGATCGGATGTATGCACGTTTCCACAACCTTCGTAGATGGAAAGTGAGTGACGGAATGTGTATCTTGTATTATATGGTTAACTTCATTCAGTATTTGCAGAATTTTTGCTTCGCAAAAGCGCGAGTTGTATATCCCATGGAACGTTTTTCCTGTTTGTATTTCTAATGTTTTTGGCAAAGTCCGCAGGTTGTACTACAAATAGAAGTATAACTATGTGTCGTATGTTACTTTAAACGTACATAAAAAAGTTCATTTGCATAAATGTCCTTAATCTATAAAACTGCAATCTGGAAACGCGGTTCATTAGAAGATTCACTTACAATATAAGGACTCTCTATTAGGATCTCAATATCACTTGCTTTGCTCCATATCTGCTGTAGACGTTCTTGCAGTGTCGAGTCTTGCTTCCTACAACGCTCATTGTAAGAATCATAACGCAACTTCCTGCTCATGATGTATTTGGTGTTTCTTTCTATTATATCTCGACCGATTATCTGATCTCCAAGGTCAATTTTCGCCAATTTATATCTTTTCAAATACATGTCAGATATTTTTCGTTTAAAATGCTTCAACTTGAAGAGGAGATTGTCGTACGTTTCTGAATGAAATGCATTTATGTTATCCTCTATGACTTTGCACTGATGGCGCTTGAAAAATCTGGCGCAATCCTCAATTTTCCGCATGAAGTAGTCAGGAATAACGTTGCAACCGAACGTTGCTTGCGTTGGACACGCATCATAATGGCATCTAAGAACGTTCAGATATGGCTCTATGTAATCTCTGCCATTGAAGTTTGTGCATACTATGTACATCTCTGAGTTACCTGCTCTGCTGGTCGCCGGCTTAGTCGCGATAACTTTTTGGAAAGCGCAGGCTAACAGATACATCAAGCACACTGATTGATGTTCAAATAGAGTGAATACCTTCAGCAGAAAATTACCGCCTTTCTCTAACAGATGCATGCATGTGACAATCTCGCAGAAGTGCAAGTGCACTACAGCATTCTCCTGTTCATCTGGCATGTCTGTGCAATCGATACTCCCATCCGCGGTGATTAACATGATTGGCCCTTGACTAATGGTCTTTGATCTTTCTACTAGAGCATCCAGATTTTGCAAGTCCATAATATTACCTGTATTGTCAGCACCAAAGTACCAGTGCATTAAGGTATGTCTGATAAATCTATCATCGTCGATCATTTGACTGTAAGGATTTCCTTCACAGTAAGGATTTAATGTACTGGCAATCCAATCCCATTTCACACTGGGAGCATTTAGTTTCAGCCAATGGTTCAAGGCAACCACAAAGGCACCTGGTGCTTCGCACAGATGCACAGAACTAAAGCTACAGATATTTTCCTCATTGATCTCTTGAATTTTATTCAATGGCACTAACGAAAAATTGCAGACAATCTCATAGAACTTGCACCAGGCCTGAGTAATAAACTCTGGCTGTATGTGTTTTTTTATATCATTTAGCACATCACCTGCTTGGTTCATCTGATAAGTATGCTGCTGCCATTCATCTAGAGTAAAGTTGTTCAAGCGACTCTTCACATCGTTCAACTCATTCTTTAAAGTCTGTAGACTATCCTTCTGCCATGGTTCCTCTCTGAACATACATTCTGGCTTTGGTAACACATATTTAACTTCCTCTACATTTTGGTTGTTCTCTGTATTTTCCGAGATTATAAAATGTTTGTGGAATAATGCTTCTGCAGCGGATTTATTAAATTTCATATTGTATCACAACAAGTTCTATTGATTCTCAGGATTCTTCTTTACAGCATTCTTCTTTCATCATTGTATGATATCCTTGTTTAGAATGTTTTGTCTAATATCCGAATAAAGGACCACTTCAGAATCTTACTTTCTAGATTATGTACTTTTTTAATAATTATATATAAATATATTAAACCTTCTAAAATATACCGTATTCTTCTGTTAATTATCTATGTTATCTATTATTTTTCTCTTACTCAATTCATAGGAATTAAAATTATTTAGTTGGAACCTATAATGGATCTATTGTAAGTAGTTAATACTGACAAATCATGTTATATTAATATTGACAAATCATGTTAATTAGATAGTGACTGCATAAACCAATTTTACGAATCTATTTTTGAAATGTCATACTATATGTTATGTATTACACCAAGGCACTGATTAATAAAACATATAAATATAATGTTACAACAAAACTTAAAGAAATATTTTGTTTAGATAATATTTTAGATAGTCCGTGTAACATACCAGAATATACTTTAATCACATAGCGACGGTTTTTGTGCTAAGTTTTATATAAAATATATGCAGTAAAATTATGAATAATGGATCAAGGAACTGCAATCTCAAGCAAATAACCCTTATATTAGCAAAAAATGTGCTATCCATGTGCGAAATGTAGGAATAGTTTTAATAATTTCTGGAGTCACTTTTAGATCTTAAGGTTAGTTTTGCGAATAATGGCACTGCCTCGGCTAGCAAGAAAGGTTAAAAAAGGAAATTGCGAGTCACCTTTTTAGACAAGATCCCATCGCTATTATATTTTAACTGCAGAGCACCTTCTTCAGTTTAGTGTGAATATTACTTGTTACAGCCGTAACGTGCGTATATTTTGCGATGTGGCGAGAGATTATCTGAAGAGACATTAGATGACACATCATTGGATGACACGGTAATCGTGATACTGTAAGTATAAATTTTTCATTAGCATGAGATACACTGCAAAATAATTGGTATCGAAATGAAATGTTATGTTATAAATGTGGTTGCAACAATGGAATCTTGTATACATTTTCACACATGATATGGATTATATTCGTTGAAAATAAGGAACATACAAATAGGCTGATAATTACGCAGTTCACAATCTGTAAATGTATGTGCAGTCAATGGTCGCGTTTAGCGGAAAAAACTGCTCCGCTACCGTTCCGTAGCAAACGTCTCTGATTGGTACGTTTGTTCGGATCTGCCAGTTTTAAAAGAATTCTCCAATCATGAACATTTGCTACTGAGTGATAGTGGAGCAGTCTTCTCCGCTGAACGTGACTATTGGTCAATTTAAACGTAATGTAAAATAGTCCCAAATACATTAACAATGAAATAACGTGAAAGGTAATATTACTCGAAAAAAACAACACGTAGCTTCATAAAAATATTGAAATTAGCCAAAAAATTACTGTACTAGTGTTGTACTATTCACCGATAAAAGAGATCACATCATAATTTATATCAAGAAGCGTAGGCGCCACTTGGCACACAACGCCATAGCGTCATTGTAATCGTTGCAGACGCCATTATGGTCGCGGCGGGTAAGGAGGTATGCGAGAATGTCCCGTTCAAATGTTTCTGGCGGCAGGTAAATGATGAGATTTTTCGTATTATCGAGTATATTACCGTACGCTGAAACAAATATGTCTTTCTAGCATGTAATCGTAAAAATTGATCCGTTCGGCGGAAGTATCGAGAAAAAGAGCAGTGCGTTTTGAACATGATTGAACAACGCAAATAGAACGCGAATAGTCCGCTTGAAGGTATTACAGATTACTAACTGATTTTACATTTATATACTTTTAATATAAGAAAAGTGCATGTTATTTAGTAAGAATATTTGATCGAATTACTCTTCTTGAGATTATATATTTCGGGTAAGTGCAAAATTTGATTTTGTGATAGAAATATGGAACAAAATTTGATTAAAGATAATTTATTCATTTTATCCCCCCATTAACCTGAGCACCACAAATTAGTTGGTCAACAATTGGTCGCAATAGATATATCATTGGCCCGTTATTTTGTGCTGCTTGAGAGATACTAGCTATTATTCTATTACCTTTGATATATTATGTCTACATATTTTTAAGCGCTGCCATAAAACTGAATAAGAGGCATATTAGTCTAAAAAAATTCATTAAAACTTTTGCATTTATTTCACACATAATATTTCACATATATAACCTGAGCAATGATCTATTCGCAATGATTAATATCACAATCATACCCAGTAGTACAAAACATGTTCAGCTTACTATCAGCTTATTCTGTACTCAAAACATCCTAAGACACTTCTCAATCTTATGGATGATTCTAGGATATCTTGTGTTATACGGACTGCATTTCAAATAAGTAGATTATGTAAATCAGTTCTAAATAATTTCTCCTAAATAATATGTATTGAATAATACATCCATTATGTTACATGTACAAGTTATTGCATTAAGTTATTTTACCATATATATTTACTTATAATATTTATTAAATTATACTTATAATTATATTACTTAAAAGTAATAACTTTTCACAAAAAAGTTTTACAAAACTAAAATATATATATATGTATATATATATAGAGAGAGAGAGAGAGAGAGAGAGAGAGAGAGAGAAAACTAATAAGAAACTTGCGCGTATATAAATATTTCTTTTATATAATTTTGTCATTTTACGGTTTATTTAACTTATTTACATGGCGATTTACGCAAGCAATGACTATCTAATGGATGAGTATAGTTAATTAATTTTTTGAAACATGATTTACAGAATGTTTCTCGTCGTTGCGAACAACGATATGGATTGCGAACAGTTTTTGATATTATGGACAATGCCATTATGAAGCGGCTTCCTAGGAGGACGACGTGCTGTTTTCATCATCGGTGAGTGCTTTGCTTGCATGCAAACGCTTCTATTTTCTGTAGCCTAGCTTGCGAAGGGCCTTTAGGTCCACATCACCATAGTAATCTTGGCTGGGAAACGTATAAAAATATTATTTGCAATTTTATCGTGACGATATCTTCAACCTTCAACCAATTAAGCTGACAATTAAAGTATTTATTCTTTTTTGATATTTGATTCAAATTTATTGAACAAAATTGAATATATATATTTTTATAACTTAATATATTATAATTATTGATTGAAATTAGAGAATTTATGATTAATATTAAAATCTGCAATCAAGAAAAATCATTGAATATATTAGTTTTTTGATAATCGGGAGTAAATTATAAATTCACTGTCAAAAGTTTGTAATATGGTAAGTAAATAATTTGTAATGTAAATTGTAATACTTAGAAAAAATGTTTGAAACCTTTCCATGATTAAAGATAGCATTTGAAATTATGATCGAAAGTTAATTATAATTTTTATTACATTATTATTCTGTATTAATTACAAATATGTAGGTATTTCACTAATATGTAATCAATGTATTTGATATTTTGCGTACAATTTTGTGTGAAAGAACTCTTCATTTTTCATCTTTGATAAAATATAAGAAACACAAATTCCTCTCGATAACTTCAAGGTATATTAAACAATAAAATGTCCTTTTACTTGTACATTTTCTTACATATCTTTTAACAGATATTTGAAGCATTGGATACTTTTCTAATATTTCTCATTTTAATTTTTAATAAACGTACTTATATCTTAAAACACATTATTTTTTTCTTATATTCGGGGTTTGAAGAACTACAAAACTATTTGATACAACTATATATTCAGTGAGTTTTAAAAATTTTTTAATTGCTTTAATTATTAATTAGCTAGAATGAATTTGAACATATAGAATGATTGACTTGTGTTAATACGTTGTTTTCTATTTTTTAGTCGATATACTTTGCACATACGCGGTCAGGTTATATATGTATATATATATATATATATATTGTTAGGTTATATATATATATATGTGTATATATATATATATATATAATATATATATCATGCAATAGATGAGTATACACAGAATATGTTACCAAAATACTAAATACACTACATATATTAAATAGACAGATATTGACATTAGCAATGATCAATCAGTAGAGGATTGATTAAGATACAGGATTTAGGACAACTATATATAAATAATATATTCGCATTCTCATTACGCATTTAGAGCTAAACGAGATTGCACAATATTCTCTTTATCATGCAATGTAAATATTATACATATTAACAGGTTTTGGAATCGAACATATTTTAGTTCAAATACTGTTCAATTTAGATATTGGATAAACATATTTCTTACACGCAATAGATAAATCTAGATGTTTGGAATATAAAATATTCATATCTTTTAAGTCGTTTAATATCGTTTAAGTAGATCAAATGGAAAAATTTCACGATTTAATGAAAAGATTTTATTATTTGACGGTCGCGTTTAGCATTAAACGTGTAATAAAAATGCAAGCCAAGATCTAAGAAGAATTTTCTCTTTTTTATTGTACACACTTTTCATTTTACTTAAAAATACACGATAGACCGACCGAGCTTGCCTATACACTGGCGCCAAGAGTCGGAAAGATTCCTGAATTATAAATCGTGGAGTTGTGCGAATCTGATGGACTTGTTGTCATTTGCGACTTGTCATGAAATCGACTTCTTTTATTTTTCTTTTTATCGTATTTTTCTTATATACATAAGAATTAAAATCCATGTAATCTCATATAGAGGAACAATCCTTTCTATCGAGGACATGAGGCTTACAAAATTCAATTATCGCCAAAACCACAAAATTTTCAGGAAACACATTCCATCGATAGCCTCTGTAATTATTTCTATGCATCACTAAGAAATGAGGAAATTGTAAATTATTAACGGTGACAGGACTACATTAGATAAAATATTTACAGAGACAATCGGTAAAATATATTTTCAGAAACTGTTTGACTTCACGAAACGATCGTATTGTATTGCGTCCGTTATCGCGAAATTGCAGGTTTCTAATCCCTAATGTCGCGGCGAGAAAGAGAGATTGTGCCGATGAGACATCACAATTAACATAATTTTATAAAATAGTAACTTGAGCACTTGTCAGGACAAATAATTGTGAGTTTCTGATAATAGTTTATTATATTGCAAACTGAAGTCTTATACGAAATTACTGAAGATATTATTGCTATTATTGATGGTTATACTTGATATTTTCGGAAGATTTGTAAAATAAATTATTATTAATTTTGCGCGTTGTATCAGGAACAAATTAGCAATTTTATCAGGCGGCTACATATATACATCTTGATCATACGCAGAGGTTGAATAATTTCGCATAACTTTTCAAAATTCGCGATTACCCTACTCGTTACTCTAACCGATCGCGCTTCACAAATATTTCTTTTCTTTTCTATTCTACTATAATTACAAAAATAGTATCCTTTCTGCGCACTTAGGTTGCGCGGAGATGCGCGATCGGGGCGACGAGAGAATCACGTGAAAGAATTTTCAGAAGGGGATAAAATTCACGATAGCTCGATCGCACTTCTCGTTTTCTCGGAATCTCGCGAATTCTCGGGATATCGCAAGCAACTGTCTCGGGATCGAGCCGCGTCCTTGCGCATAGGATACGTAGTGAATAATATAGGCCGAAGAATCTACGAGGGCGGTCCGATAAGTACTTAACCTCACCGCCCGATGGCGCCACTATCGCAAGAGAAATTTACTATCGTCTAGTACATTCTCGTAGACGGCTACTGTCGAAATTTCAGCCGAATCGGACTCGTAGTTTTGTTTTGACCGCGTGTGGAAGCGGGCGTGTCCGCGGATTTTAGAAAAATGGAAAAAGAGCAATATCGGTCGGTGATTCGATTCTTGTTTTTGGAAGGGAAATCGCGCAGCGAAATCAAAGAGCGCTTGGATGCTGTGTACGGTGACTCTTCTCCTTCGATGGCGACCGTCAAAAATTGGTTTAACGAGTTTCAACGTGGTCGCACGTCGGTTTTTGATGAGCCACGCCCAGGTACCCCGAAAACGGCTACCACGGAGGATAACATGACAAAAATCCACGATCTCGTATTGGCAGACCGCCGATTGAAGGTGCGCGAGATAGCTGAGACAGTAGGCATCTCAAAAGACCGCGTGGGTCATATTCTGCATGAAATTTTGGGCATGAGAAAGCTGTCGGGTGCTGCGTTTGCTCACTCCGGACAACAAGCGCAACCGTGAGACCACTTCAGAGCAGTGTTTGACGCTGTTTAAGCGCAATCCGAAGGAGTTTCTGCGTCGTTTCGTGACCGTCGACGAAACATGGATCCACTGGTACACACCAGAGACCAAGGAACAGTCGAAACAGTGGACTTCACCCGGCGAACGTGCTCCGAAGAAGGCGAAGACTGTCCTATCGGCCGGAAAGGTGATGGTCACCGTTTTCTGGGATTCACAAGGTGTGATCTACATCGACTACCTGGAGAAGGGCAAAACGGTCACAGGGCTGTACTATGGGGCCGAATTATTGGGCCGATTCGACGCCGAATTGCAGAAAAAACGGCCCCATTTGGCGAAGAAAAAAGTGCTCTTCCACCATGACAACGCACCGGCTCACACCTCCGCCCTCGCCACGGTCAAATTGGTCGAATTGGGCTACGAACTGCTGCCCCATCCACCGTATTCTCCAGATTTGGCCCCGTGCGACTTCTTTTTGTTTCCAAACTTGAAAAAGTCACTCGCCGGGCAGAAATTTGAGTCGAATGAGGAGGTCATCGCCGCCTACGGAGGCCTACTTTGCAGACCTCGAGAAAACGTATTTTTCAGACGGGTTAAAGAAGTTGGAGCATCGCTGGGTCAAGTGTATCGAGCTAAAAGGAGACTATGTTGAGAAATAAATCGCCACTTTTCCAAAATTTTCGTTTTTCTTTTGTAGGCTAAGTACTTATCGGACCACCCTCGTATGGCCTTCGAAGGCGGATTTTCAGCTCTCTTGGCTCTCGGCGCCGATTACTTCGCTCCTCGAGGAAGTTCTTTTTACGTAATATCGGGGCTGAATTTCCCTGGACTATGTAGTTGTGTGTGAACGTATTTATGTGTGTATGTGTGGATGTGTGACAGAAGAAGAAACAGAGAGGATGAGAAGAAATTGAAAAAGGAAGAGAAACATAGATGAGAATAAAGATAGAGAAGAGAAGAATAAAAGAAGAGAATAAAAGAAATGGCATAGAAGAAACAAATAGAGGATAGAGAAGTACATAGGGGATAGAGAATAGAAAGAGAGCGAGAGAGAAAATGTAGCTTGATACAATTTATTGGTACAAAAAAAAATGAAATAAATTAAAGAGGATAAAATAAATTAAGAGAGGCGTATGAAACAGAACTAGAATAAATTTGTAAAATCTTTTTATCATTAACCGGATCCATCTAGATTTTCTGAAGAATATTTTAAACAATCTAGACTTCTCACCGATAACTTGTGTTTATTTCTATAGATCTAGATATTTTTATTCGTTTTGTTTGATAATAAAGTTAAATAATAGTAACAAAGAGAGAGAAAGTAAATGAGGCAGAGAGAAGAAGAAAGAAAGGACGGATGAGGTGAGAGAGGACGAGGTATCAAGATTTATTCCTGGAGGGCTGCGGAGGGTCTCGCGGGTATTGTTGAGGGTCTGGGTTTGAGAGGCTGGTTTGGCGATGGCTTCCTTGGCTCGCTCTGGACGCCGGCAAGTAGCTCGCTCTTCCGGATGCTCTTCAGGTCCAAGTCACCATAGTAATCCTCACTGTGGAACAAAACCGAGAAAAACCCGGAGGTCAGGACATGCACGGTGCGTTGCTACTACTGCGTGGCTACGTGGCGTGCTATTGCCGTTATGTTTGCAAACGAAATGCACATGCATACATAGAGGGAGGCTACGCTAATATGAGAAAATTCATGAAAATATTCTCTTATCTGGAGTATTACGGGGAGTATTAAAATAAAAAAGAAATACAACCGTAATATTGTCGCGATATCGAATTACTTGCAGTTGTCGAGTCTATGTACATTTTCACGATTGTAAGACATTTTTTCCTAGGTTATTATGTAGATTTCCAAACATGTTAGAGTAATATTATCAATTATAGATATTCTGTTACTTTTCCTTTATATTGATTATTTATATTGACTTGGCAAATAGATCCATGTAAATTGAACATGGAAAAATATCAGTTTTCAATGATGTTTTACACCTTACCTTTAGCTAATGATCTACACAAAGAGGGGGAGGAAGAGTAGCTACTGTTACAATGAAACATTAGAACGGTGGAACAGTTAACATACACGTTAAGCACATGTTAGAGATCATTAACAAACATAATCAACAGAAATTGATGCACACATTCGCTGCTTTGCTGATTCATGATCAAGCTTTTTGTGAGATTTGTAGAAAGAGATTAGTTGTCGAGAGAGGCGGCTGTTTGTTTAACAAACGCTTCGAATCGTCTCACATAATTCATCTTTGTTGTGTATTATTGCGCGAAACGCGTCATTAGCTATCGCGAAAGCGTGCCGTGCAATGTGGTGGATATTTCCTTAATAACAGATCGTCCGTGGATGCAATTCGTACGCGACGTCTCCGAAAGTTCTTGGACGCGATTTCTGTCTTGAAGGAAACCCGAGGGAGTTTCTCGAGTCGAGGACTATAATTACCGAGATAATCGAATTCAAACACTTTTATAACGCGTCCGCAATCATTCGTTGCACAACGCAACATCGTTAACGTCCCTTTTTCACTTTCGCCAAGTCTTCGTGAATTGCAAAGAGGATTGTAGCAGCGGAAAATAACGTGACGCGACGCGACGCGACGAGACGAGACGCAGAAAATTATTATCATAACTTACAATCCAGTGGAACCTTGAACTCTGAGCCATCGGTCATCAATATTCGACGCGTGAAATGAGACGTACCGAATCGCTAATATGCTCACATTATTCATTCACATCGCGTTCGATTCGATCACGTGGTCTCGCATGGCTCAGATTAAAATCCGGACTTGGAGGGAAATTAATTAATTTTCGACGAAGCTAATGTATCAAAGGACCATGCTTACCATCCGGGTACGTCCTCGGGGTCCTCGCAGGCACCGCTACCGTCGGCATCGCCGATCTTGAAGACGGTGCCGATCGGGCAGCCGTATTCCCTGGCGATGCCCTCGAGACATATGTAGTATTTTCTGCAGTCCTCCGGATGGGCGTGTCTGCTGAAGCTGCCGGATGCACCACTCACCTCACCCGCAGCCGGACACGTGAAACCTCCGGCGACCTCTGCGCAATGCATTAAATAGGATATTGTGTACACAGAGAAAGGCATCGTGATTAGTCGTAATTGCATTACCGGTCGATCTCGAGTCGACGATGGGAAAAGATCAAGGAAACACTCGAAGCGCACTTATTCAAAAAACATATTTGTGGGATAAAGTATATCCGTTCGGCAGAAAGTCAAATGATGATTTAATGATCCTGCGTCATACGCAGGAAATCATCGTATAATTTAGTTGGGAATTATAATCGATTTATCTAAAGAAGCAGAGGAACAGCTGTCGTCGTTAGATTGTACAGTTTATCAGTTGGTTCTTAGGGAACCTAAGGGATGACGAAACTTTGGTAGTAAGGACAATGTGCGATCGAATGAAACAAAAATAAGAATATACAAAAATCAACGTCGACAGGTAGAAAGGAGCGGATGTGTAGCAAGAGTCGTGATAGTTTTATCGTCCCGATGTAGAAAGGCGAGTTGACCTCTGCGACTCGACGTTCTATGTATATAATATGTTCCATTATTCTTCTCATCAAATCGTCCGTAACGAGTTCTTGAGAGGACCAAACTAAAAATTCGCACATTTTATATTACACATGATCTGTCTTATATGATTTTTCTCACATTTGTCCAATGAAGAGTCCTTCACACAATTTCGTAACTTGTATCCTAATTTATTGTATCCTAATTTTCAAATGTGGATGTAAGATATTTTCTTCATCATTTTTCTCGATCACACGGTCGGTGGGTTAAGGTGGGCAGGATTAATTAATTAGCATGCATATCAGGCAATCGATAGAATTCGATATTCGCTGTTTCGGTACCTTCGTTTCTGCATTCGGGCACCTGATCGGCCCACATGCAGACCCTAGCCTCGCGGTCGTAGGCTAGTCCGGGGCTGCATTGGTAGCGGGACGCTTCGCCATTCCAGCAGTTCCAGAATACGTCGCATTTCTTCTCGTCGGGGAAGATGCCGTACAGGCGAGCACAGTGCGGCGTGCTGATGGGCGGCTCCAGCTGCGTTCGTTCTCCGCAGTCCACGTTGTGCAGGTAGTCACAGTTCTCAGTGAGGAACTTGTTGTCACTGGCGTCGAACGCCAGGCCGTTGCCGCATGTCTTTAGTTCTGCTACGTTGTTGTCGCACTTCCAGTACTTGTCGCATGAACTGTGATGAGGGTAGAACCCGAAGTCGTCCGGGCACTTGAAGCTCTCTTGGCCGGTCGTTCCTGAATCAAAGATTGAACACGGTGATAGAAATGCTATATTGATCTTTTGTGGACAGGGAGCAAATTTGCTCTCAGATTTGCTCGAGCCGCGAGACAGTAGCGCACCACACCACGCGTGCGTGGTTACTTTTTTTCCTCAATTTTTTCAGAAGCACAATAGAAAGTATCGCGGAAGGTAACATCCCCATTGTATTGTCTAAACTTTTTGGCGGGAAATAAAAAGAAATATTATGTTTCGACACTGCGCGGCCGGCGCGTCGCGTCGATTTCCTCGGATCATGGTTGAAGCAGCGGCTCGCTTTCGGCTCGATATGACCGTTCGCCGACGGGAAATCGCTGGCTAAAATTAACCGCGTCGATCGCGAACACCTCCATTCCAGTTCCCTCTTCCCGGTCCAGTTTGCCTCTCTTAATCGACGCTCGCATAAAATACGGCGCGAGCAACAGGAAGTCGATGTCGTTTACGGGCAAAGTAAAATCGGTCGGGGTTGTCGGTGGTAGATAAGAGCCAGCCAAGCCGCTTTTTCGCGCGATGCCAGCCACCACGCTAATGGCGCCTAATCGCGCCTCTTTTGCGAGCACAGGGGCACACGATGCCTGAATATCTTAGCTAAAATGTCTTATGTAAGAGGGGCACGGGACGGTAACTTTCGCCAGGACGCTTTCACTTTGGGCCCCTCGGTCGCTCGTGACTGCGCGCGCGGGCTCTCCCAGCATCCCGTTCACCGGCCACGGTGTAAGTCCAATGCGTGTGTATATGTACGGGTATATCGGCCGCGCGTCCGCATGAAACCAGCTGTATTCACTTTCGTTTTCCGCGGGACCGGTCCCGAAAGCGACTTCGAAATATTTACCGGCGGCTGACAAGGGGAACCGACATGGACGCGCATGTCCCCCTTGTCCCCATGTCGCGCTGCGTTCGCACGTTAAACTCGTTTTATCAAAGAGATACACGTCATTAGATTGTTATATAATTGTCTGGCTCGAATAAATACACGCGGTGATTACGTAAAAAAGGCATCAAATTGCACCTATCATATTCCAAAACAGTTTCCTTTTTTGTTTTTTTTTTTTTCCGGATATCTTGATGCCTCGTTTGTTTCTCGCGGCCGCCATGCTTTCGAGCAAATTGATCGTCGAGGATTTTTTACTCATGTTGCGCGATTATTTGACGCGTAAAGATCGACACGTTTCAGATAAGAAATTCTTTATACAATGGTATATTTCTTAAAATAAGATTGATATGTTTTTAGAACATAACGCTTCTTCATAATATCTCCCTTCTCCTCCTATTTAGAAATAATCGATTGTCTCGATCGCTTTATGTACGATGATACATTCGACATTTATAAATTTGCGTTATCTCATTTGCATCGCATCGAGACAGTTGATTATACCTGCGTAGAATCAATTCTTAGTATCAATTTATGTGATCGGGAGAACTTTAGGATAATTTTCGTCGCGAAATGGCGAATGGCATCCTTGAACCTTCTCTCGACTCGCAGGGAATAAAAAGAAGGGTCAAGATCTGGGCCAAGGTTATGCCGCGGCGGCGAGAAAGCGTGGCAAGCTTTTTTAGGCTGTAGGTGATTTTTAATTATTACGGTGCTTAATTAACTCGGTCATTCTCAGAGCATTGGAAACTCTACTGTCCATAAAGACTACAGAAGCGATTACACGATTTTACCTCGAAAAAGTAGATTAGTGAAAAGTTCTTGAACTTAATTCATTATTTCAGAAAATATGTTATTTTTTAATTTAACCGAATTGAAAAAAATAAATTTAAAGCAGAAAACACGATATTGCGTAGGATAAAATCATATAATTATGAGCTATATGTACTTATAGTATATATAGTTTCGTTCAATTACACACTTATAGTACATACAATAAATACTTATAGTTTCGTTTAATTGCATAGTTGTTAAAAATCTGCTAGTACATTTTTGCATCAAGAAACGTTTACACCGAAATCATTATCTTATTGTCTCATTATCACATACACATGCAATTACATATGCAAACGGAAAATTTTTTCAATCGACCGACAAATCTCTATAACCAAAATCAAACGTTTAAAGATTGTATCGAATATATATGGCTGTTTTTGAGAAAAGCACTTTTCTTTCCTTAACAATTCTTTTACCCCGTGAAAATTTTGCTATTTTAAACCCAAGCAATTAATGGACAATTAGCTTTAATTGTGTGTGAGATACCATAAAATACCACCGCGATTTATATTCATACAAAGGAAATGCACTCTAATAAATAATAACAAACTAATTATTCATGGTGAATCGAAACTTGCACATTCGATTCACGCGAGTGCGAATCGAGCCAGTCGCGATTATCAAAGTCCTAGAATTGTAAGGATTATTTTCGCGGATCCTTCGTTCCGGCGAGATCCCCCGCAAGACTCGGTCCCGAATTATCCTGCTTTCAGCGTAGGGCACACTGCTCTACTCTACACATGATCACACACTGATAACGGCATGTCCCGTCCACTGACTTTCCGCTGAAGTCAAAGTCGATATCGCATCGTCACTCGCGTGTTTACCGTGTTTAACTGCGGCTAATTCAACTTTGCCACCCTCTCTTTTCGCACCCTCAGCGCGTGAAACGGCTTCTATTTACGTACCGGCGATCAGTATAGCGGCTATCACGAAGTACGTCCTCATGGTTACGAAAAAGTCAAGACTGTGACACGGAAGCGAGAACGAAAAATTAAAAAAAAAAAACGAATTTTTCTACAGGCACTTTTAGGGACACCGCCTCCGCTGCGCCGAGAGAGAGAGAGAGAACTCTGTGTTTGGGCCCTGTCGTCTTCCACCTTTATATAAGTCATTGGTCACGTGTCTAGGCCCCTCTTCTCCCCCCTATGTACACCACCTCCACCACCACCTTTTCCTCCTTCTTCTCCTCCTCCATAAGACACCTCAAGAGAGAGAGAAGAGGTGTACCTCTCTACTTTTCTCGTATTTCTCTGCCTCCTCTCCCTTTCTCCCTCCGTCTTTTTTGCTCACTTTGTGAGATTTTCTGTCTCTCTTCTACTTCGTATGATAATATTCTTGCTTCCTTCTTTCTTCATTTCTGTTTTTCTTTTCTTCTCTGTCTTTGTATGTGTATGCATTACAAAGCAAATTTGTAGAATGAAATATCATGGCGTTCGATGTATTCCTACTCTTGCTAGCTTCAGATTGATTCCATTGAAATTATTGAACGTAGAAATCTGTTGTATAAAAAAAAGTATTAGTAATAATTTCGAGATATTTCGAGTGATATTTAGGCACGCATGTATGTGTACTTATTATTTCTTAAACAGGTTTTGTTCACAAAAGCTTCACTTTAGAGACATGCGTTTATTTCATCTTAAATCTCAATAGAAGAAAGCGCAGCTGAAGATAATCGAATTAAAGTTTCCTTTGTCTTATGCTATAGGTTCGTGATATCGACTCTGGTGCCAAAGTAAAAATCTCCTCTCCCTTCTTTTGCAAATATCGTCCGAAGGCTCCCCCTGAACGGCGTCTCTCCTCCAACGGCTTCTCCATCCTTTCGCCAGCGAATCCTGAAACCGCTGGAATAACTTTCGGTTCTTAAATGCCCATGGGGCATCCTTTTTTTTCCCTCTATTCGCGTTATCTGCGAGCAGCGCGACCAGTTTCGGAGCCGGTTGGTTTTCGCGTTGATTTTACCGAAGAATGGCACTTCGCGCACGAATGGATGCTTTGTCCCTTCTGAGTCGCGAGATTTCGCGACGTAAGGCGGAGAGAGAGAGAGAGAGAGAGAGAGAGAGAGAGAGAGTGAGGGGGTGGGAAGGAGGGAGAGGGGAGAGGGAGAGAGAGAGAGAGAGAGAGAGAGAGAGAGAGAGAGAGAGAGAGAGAGAGAGTGAATCTGCTGTTGCCATGGTCGTCCTTTGCAATGCAGGCGAAAGGAAGGTTAAACGTGTAAAGATCTTTGGCTATCCCACCGGTTAATGCTCGTAAAACATCGTCTTAATTCCCCTCGGTACTGAATCTTGATTTATCGAGAGGAAAATTGACCTTGCAAAGTTCCTTGATCGAAGATCATTCAACGTTCATTATTCTTGAAAGATTAATCTCCTTCAATTGCAGGAGTAACAAGTAAACGATCGGTAATTCCGTATAATTGTCATGGCTGTCACACGTTAATTATATTACATGAGAAGATTACATGAGAATGATGAGAAGACGCCTTTCCATATCGAAATTCGTCAAACTGCTTTCGCAGGCAGTCGGTGTGCGGTCATGCGACATGCAGAATATCGGCTGACACGTGGTTATAATAACAATTGTACGCGACTATGATACGTGGCTATAATGATAATCGTAAGACCGTGGCGACAGTGTCGATATAAAATAACGGGGAAGAGGCGAAGGTTAGGCTTGTGAGACGCGTGAGTCCGAGACACACCACCCTGTTCGGGATCTTGTCCGAGGACATCCGTTGAAAGAAGACACGTGGATGAAATCGAGTAGAATCCAATGGAGTCGATACTTCCGCCAAGCAATGAGTATAGCGATGAAATATACGTGAAATTCATTCTATCGAAAGTAAGACGCGCACGTCTGAATATTTTCGTCACAGTCGGTAATCACTCTCGCCAAGATAGAAGTAAAAGTTCGAGATTTACATTAATATCGCGTGTAGGGGAATAGAGATTTACCTAGATATTCGGTTCTTCCCTTTTTGTTCCCTAAGTGTACTCCTTTCAGCTGTCAAATAAAAACACTATTCTTTTTCTATAAATTTCTCTTGCATTATACTGCTCGTTATATTGTTTGAGATCAATCTTTTTAAAATTTCTTTGTATTAAAATAACATCGTCCTCGCGCTCGCGCGCGCGATGTTACGTACGTTATGACGTACTTTTATAATGTTTTTCTCTTTGTGGATTAATAGCGACAGCGATAGAAAGCAGTGAGATATTTCATGTGTCCCACATGTGGGTATTAATGGGCATAGGGCTGTCTTTACGGAGAGAGGAAAAAACCAACTCCGAAAATGGAGCACGGTTGCTAAAGCGGATTATGCAAGAGCCACTTGGAATTTCGTATGGAAAGAAAATCGCTGCTTTGACGCGAATTCAATTCGCGACTCTGGCGAATCGTAGTTTTCGAGCAAACGTTAAACGAACAGCGACGTTTCGCGGCATGCGATCTCGGGATTCGCGCTGTCTTGTGATTTCGAAATTTCTCACAAGAAAACAGCGCGCGACGCAAAAAACCAGTAAAAAGGCGCGCAATTAGACAGAATTCGAGTCGCGTTTTTCTCCGCTTTCGTCGTTCTCTTGTCAGAGAGGTTGCGAGATTGATATTTATTATGTTCTTCATACGGACATAGAGATTGCTTTAGTTTAGAGTCGCAACAATATCACCGATTGATATACCTCTTGGATTTATAACGTGGTGTGAGCCCAACACAATTTTTCCTCGCTTATGTTAGACGTTGTGAGAACTAGTTTTTGCAAATTTACGATCTTACGAAAGGTCACGTGCCGGCTCGATCAATCGTATCGACATTTAACTCGCGCTCACGCGTTTACATCCGTTTACATTTCCGGTGATTATTACGATCCATCATATAAGAAAGTCCCACGGTTTTACAACACGCAGCAACCACATTTTTCGCGAGATCCAGCCAGTTATTTCGTCATATAGGAAAATCTTTAGGTGCATATTTTTCTTTAACGCTATGCGATGGACAGTGAGAATACTCTCTTCTGTCGTTTGAGGCTCGACAACAATCGATCCGCGTGTCTTGTTTCGATTTTACGCGACCAAGGACGATTTCGATCCGAGGCGGACACGCATATTAATGCAGGACGCTTTCGACGACGACAACGGAACTTTCTCGTTCCGTTTAATCTAGTTTCTCGAATAAATCGCATCGCCGTCGCGGTTCGTCCGAGTGAGATAACTAGCGTGCGCGCGAGATTTACAAGCACACGATGAATGACTGACTGCCGACGATCGGATCTAAGTAACGATAATGATATAGTAATTACTGCACACGCAATTCTTTTGCGCGTTTTCTTCCGTGCAGAACAATTTTTTTTTTTCCAGACTCTTTCTGATTTAATCTCTAACTTTTCTGTAACTGATTGACACAATTGAATTATTCTCCTGCGATTTACCGACGCTTTATTTGTCATCTGGGATCCGATGGCTAATTGATTTGATAATCAATTCTAATTAGCAGCGCATTCTGTACACTTCTCGTGCGCGTTATCATCGAGCGGGGGGAGGGGGGCGCTTCCGGTAAAAGCGATTTGATTTCCCAGTCGCCCGAGTTCGCGCCGGTGAGTTTTCTCGCGGCACCGGTGATAACTTTCACGTTCTTTCACATTACGAATTGTAAACAGTGTTATATCTCGCGTTGCGCCGCCGTTCGGCAATTGATAATTCAACTATTTATATTTCCTGGCAGCAGAAGCAAACCTGTAGGTTGTGATTTCGAATTGGGATCAATTAATATTTCTCCGCTAGCCAAATGTAAACTGACGCGTCGCACGTGTGCGCAGTTCTTTTGCCATCGGGACACATCCGTCTGTTTTGAGCAAAATGCGACTTGCATTTTCAAGAGATCGACATGGGCCGCGGAGCGAAATATCTCGGTGACGAGAAAGGCGAATCCTTTCCGGATAACGGTAACTTTGCTCCGTGTACGGTGCATTATTGCGGTACAATGGTCGGCATTACGTGTGCAACGTGCCAAGGATGCGTGCCACGCCTCGATGTGCGATTAATATTCGGCCCGATGGTCGACCTCGTCTTTCGGACTAACCCGTCGCGTCCTTCCGCAGGATCGTCCTAGTCGTATCTTCTTCGCGTTTCTTCCCGTCTCGTGAAGTGTCCTATTCTTGTGAAAATCTCGTGAGAGATCGAGAAAGTCCGTTTATAGCGGGATACGATTCAGCTTCAATAATAGGATGGCTTGTTTGCAGCAGCGCGATTACAATCGTCCCTCCTTCTTTCTAATAATTCTTCTTTGTCTAACTATTCTTCTTTTTAATAATTCGATTAATCGCGATAACCTGTAATCTAATAATAAGAGGATTGTCTCGCTTTCTCTCCTCTTGGTCGCTTTCGTAAAACCACCAAAGTATTTGGTCGCTCTCGCGCGGTTAATAAATCCCGCGAGACTTTTTTCGCGCCTCTCTTTGACGCGCGCTGCGAAATTTAATATTCGAACGTTCATCCTCTTCTATTAACGATTTCGCGCTCGGTGCGTCGGCGGGGCTCCGTTCGCAAATGCTTCTGGTAACGCTGAGGTAACATCTCGCGAGTTGCATAATAGCGTCGCCGCAGAGGAGAGGACGGACGAATGATCGTTGGCTCTTTGCCGACTTCGCGATTTTATCTGCCGGCATCTTCGCGGCATATCGCATGCGAGAGTGAAAGTGAGGCGCTCCTCAGTCCTCGCTCTCGACGGCTCCTCCGCAGCATCCGCGCCTGGCACCCTGCGGTGATCGCGTGACTCGCGGACGATGACGTTCGCGAGGGACCGCTGAACGATATATTAATGAAGGAGGAACAATTCGGTATATGATGATGACTAAAAAGGCTCTCTCTCCCTCCATCTCTCTCCTTGACATGAAATTACGGTGATGGGAAGCTCAAATGTGCGATCTCTTATAATTAAGATTGATCGTATGAATTATTACGTAGTGAGTAGGAAAAGCATTTGTCTATATTCTATCTTTCTCCATCTTTTTTTTTTTTTTTTTTTTTTTTTTTCTTCAGTTGGAGACGAGATGCTACGAATTAACTCTGTTAGGACATGTC